ACTTACAGGCTTTTTAAGGTTTTTCAAAATCTGCATTTGCTTTTAATATCTTGGTATAGTTTCCGGAGAAAAAGATTAACAGAATGCGATAAATTTTCTCTATGCCATAGGAAATCATCATGAAATCCACGGAATAGAATTTATCTAAGTACCTACAGCATCTAATTAAAAAATTCTCTGTATGAATGGTATGAATCAATTTCTCAAGAAATCGACGCCAGTTCTTCCACGCTCGCGCGCTTGTGTATGTGATTCTGGACAAAGGAACGGGAAAAAAATGTTGAGTGAAAGAAGTGTCTATTTACAATGTAATTATTTTAGAGATGTGGCAAAGTGTGTGTCTGGTAAATTGATGTGTGTGCATAAATCAAAAGCGACTTTTGTGAAGACAGTGAGGAAAAAGCTCCCATGAGAGCGACCTTGAAAGCCAGAGAAATGAAAATGTACACAACGAATGATCGGCAGTTGCTCAAGTGCTTGTGGTCGCTTTTTTTCTCTCTCACTCACACTTCATTTGTGGTAATTTTTATTGCATTAAAAAATATATATGGGGGAGATGCTCAACTACACTCATCAACACACGATGTATTACTCCATCAAACTCTCACTTTGCTAGCGCGCTCTCGCTCTCTCTCTCTGTCGCTCTCGCGGGGATCTGGCATGTTTCTGCCTCGCTCTCGCCTCACCTCCTCACTTCGCGACTGACTATTTGAGCGAGGGACGCGAAAAATGCGATGGAGAAACATGAGAAATTTTATCTCAAATGTGAGCACAGCGTTTGATGTGAAGAAATTGAGAGTGAGATGGACAATTGCCAGTGCAGCCGCGCGATCAGGGCGTCTCTGTTGCTCATGTGTTGCACAACATTTGCGCGCTGTGAGCCACTTTTTGGATCGAGGCGTGTGTGTGTGTGTTTCCTTTCTATTCTGGAGTGGCGGCGCGCATTTTCCAATGCGCGAAACCTTTTTTCTTCCACATATACACACATTTCCTTCGATCGCGTGCAATTTTGCCTGGCTGGGAGAGTTTCTTTGACGGGGGGACGTGTTTTTTCTTCTTCTCCTCTTTTTCGAGAATGCTGAAATGTCGCAATTCTCACTCACCTCGCTTGTGCGCGCCTGCCTTTCGGCTGGAGTCTCTTGGTTGTGTGTGTGTGCGCGCAAAATTCCGCGGCACTCGCGATCTCGCGACGTGTGGGAGACACGAAGATGGCATTTTTTTCTTCTTCTTCCCTCGCTCTGCACAGTGAGATGGCATCAATTTTGTAAGGCCCCCTCATTTGTTATTCATTCTCACGAGAGCTCAGTTTTCCAGTACGCAACTGAATTATGCATGATCATGTGTGTGTGTGGCGGCATCAGGAGTCTGGATTGAGAAACCCCTTTGGGTGACCAAACCTCATCGCCTGTTGCGTCAGTGAAAGCGTCATCAGGAGAGGGATGGTCCGTCGATGAGACAGAAAAAAGAGCAGCCAGATAGCTTTCCACTGCACTCCCATGAGAAGACAGTGGATGAGGGAAGACAAGGAGAGCCTCTCAGTGTCGTCAGAAAGTCATAAATTTCGAAACGACATGCAACAAAAGCCAGAGACTCCGCCCGCATTCTCAAACACACCATCGCAAGACGCGGAGAATTCCAGCGCTCTCTCGAAAGTGCAATCGAAAAGGCCTAATGAAATGGCATCGGAAAGGGAAGGATTTGATGGTTAATGATGGGCGATTATGTGAAAATGACACACTCCTTTCACAGAATTGGCAAATTGTCCCCATTTACCCTTTAGCAAATTGCATCCTTGTCGCCTTTTGTTGGTCAACCCTTTGTGAAGCATTCGTGAAGGATTTACGGTCTTCTGTTCATGCAAAATAGTGCAGTAAAATGCAAATTCAACGAAATATAGGGTGATTTGCGCTTCAAGAGTCTGCGCACAGATCCGGTAATTCTAGTGTTAAAACCTCAAATTTCAGGTGATCGCGCAGAAAAGATCCACTCTTGAGGCTGCTTCAATAGAGACCAACAATGTCGGCAATCACCACAAAAGCCACTTCGTGGGTGTTTGGAGGCAATACAGCGTGGGCACTAATTATAGGTCCACTGTAGGTATCCGGGGTGTAGGTAGTCTGGGGCAAAATCAAAAAATATCAAATATGGCATTTGATTGCCTATCCATAGCCAAAACAAAACCCCCAATATGAGGCCCCTCCGCCGGATCCTAGGGATTCTAGGGAACTTTATCACTTTCTGGGCTGGCACTAATTATAGGTCCACTTGGGAATTTTCACTATATCTCAGTGAAAAAAAATCGGAAAATTCTGAAAATCATAAGGATCCTTCATTTTGAGCCCAGAGACCATTTACCGTCGCCACACCCCGCCTCGGTCCTCCGTGGACCCCACTGTTAAAGGTCTTTGCCTTGCATAACACGATATTCCAAAATGGCTCCTCCGCAATGGGGCGGGGGGCCCAATGCCCATAAACTGCTTCATAGGGCAAGACTGAAGCCTTTTGAGCATAATTGGGCTATCTGACCCCAATACCAGCCTTGAATCCTGGCCTTAAGCACTTCTTCCAGGGTCTTTTTCTGCTTCTAAGAGCCCAAACCACCCCAACCCCCGGACCACCCCCAATGAAATGGGGCGAAAAGTTCTTGGGACACTTCTAGGAAACCCGAGGACCCTAGATCCGGGGATGGGTAGCGCCTCGGAGGGAGCGCCCTAACGTAGAACGAGAGCCAGTTGAAATTCAATGAAAAACCATACACTTTTAGGTGGTTTTCGAATGGGTCTCATTCCACGGTGTGGCGCTCCCTTCGAGGCGCTACCAGTCCCCGGATCTAGGGTCCTCGGGTTTCCTAGAAGTGTCCAAGAACTTTTCGCCCCATTTCATTGGGGGTGGCGGGGGTTGGGGTGGTTTGGGCCCGAAGAAGCAGAAAAAGACCCTGAAGAAGTGCTTAAGGCCAGGATTCAGAAAGGGTATCGGCGCCAGAAACCCAATTATGCTCAAGAGGCTTCAATCAAGCCCTATGAAGGAGTTTGTGGCCATTGGGCCCCCGCCCCAATGCGGAGGACCATATTGGGCAATCACGTAGTACTAGGCAAAGACCTTAACAGTGGGGTCCACGGAGGACCGAGGCGGGGTGTGGCGAGGAAATGGTCTCTGGGCTCAAAATGAAGGATCCTTATGATTTTCAGAATTTTCCGATTTTTTTTCACTGAGATATAGTGAAAATTCCCAAGTGGACCTATAATTAGTGCCAGCCCAGAAAGTGATAAAGTTCCCTAGAATCCCTAGGATCCGGCGGAGGGGCCTCATATTGGGGGTTTTGTTTTGGCTATGGGTAGGCAATCAAATGCCATATTTGATATTTTTTGATTTTGCCCCAGACTACCTACCCCCGGATACCTGCAGTGGACCTATAATTAGTGCCCACGCTGTATTGCGGCAATAGAAGTGAAAAATATCAGAGAATTTGTGAAGATCGCTGTATATTTCACAAGATTTGTCACTAATAATATTGCATGCTTCTAACATAGCAAATGCAATTGCGAGCACTTTCCTTTTCTGGACATAACCGCGAAACAAAGGCAATATTGGTTGATATATTTTTTTATCTCACTTATGCAACATTTGTGCACATTTTCTCACCCACACTCATGATCTGGCCACAATTTTCAAACCTCTTTTTCCTTCTCGCTGCACGCAAATTGGCTCTCTTGGAAACCCGACAATATACGCCAAGTTGACACGTGCGATTTCCTTCCGTTTCTCTTTTTCCCCAACAACAATAAAACTTTTTCCCGCCATTGCATAATATCCCATGTTTATCAATTATACAATATCGTCTGTGACGCCCAAATTGCTATTTATATGCATTTTTCTGTGACAATTGGCGAAAGTTTCCAAAATTGTCCCCTCTAAACAAATTTAAAAATGCCTTTTGTCCTCTCAATTTTTTAAATGCTCTCTGTGGTGCTTAAGTGCCGGGCAATTAATCGAAAGAGAAGGGAGTGAGTCATGGAATTGCGTTCTAGCCAACATTTATGTCTTTTTCCCCATAAAATTCTTCAACAGCACGACAAGATAATTCCAGTGAAAATTCCCAAGCGTGATCGTGCTGTCAAAACATTTTGACGAAGTAAGACCGAAGGTCACTCGGCTGTCAACTTGTAGGATCACATTTTAAATGTCAGCTGTCCCTTTGACACTAATTTAACGCCAATTTAAGAAAGAATATACGTTCCAATTGTGTTCATTCAGTTGGAAGAATATTTTCTGCTCTTAAGTTCATTTATGTTGCTCCACAAAGAAAGCATTTATTTCAGTTTCCAATGCCAAGATTGCGTCAATCGAAACTTTTTTTTTCTACAAAATTTCCGCGAAAACTAGTGGTGGAAGGACTTAATAGTTGAATGTCTGCAAAGACCTTGAAGGGTTAAAAGAAATCAGTTAAAGTTTCTGAAGGATTCTCTCATGATGTTTTAAGACTTGTTTTCTCGTGATATGTTTCATTGGGGCGGAATTAAGTAAATTACTGCCGCCGAAAGTGTTTTCTTTAATGTCTTGTGAGGCACTCTGAGCAACATCCATTTGCAAACTGTTTTTTTTGCACCAAAATTGCCAAACATGTTGCGAATCTTTGTGTGTTTTTTTTCTCACACAAAACACAGTCTGGGGCGCTTTTTTCCGCTCTCTGCAAAAGTTGCGCACGCAAATTGCAAGTGAGAGTGTGACTCAAGAGAGTCCACAGAATTGGCGCAATCGCGCGAATTCGGCGAGAGAGAGCCAGAGCGAGAGAGAGAAGCTTTTCGACTCTGCAGCACACTCGCTCAGAGATGATCGCGCGAGATGGGGAGAGTCGACACTCACACGAGTGCAGAGAGTGACTCTCTCTCTCGCGCTTAGAGGAGGAAATGAGAGAGAGACACGGAGAAGCTCTTTCTCAACTCCTACCTCACTGTGGCGTCGATCGGGCCAGTTGAGAGTAGACAGCCGATCAGTAATATCGCGCGGCGGTTCCACTCTGCGTCCCCGAGAACGATCGCAACGTGAATCTTTTTTGGAGACTTCTTGAGCGTGTGCCCAGGACTACCAGCCAACCCCCCCTCCCCTGAGGATTAAACTGGATCTTCACAGCGGATTAACAACTCTTGATCAAGTAATTGAGCCATTGTGCGCGCGTGGGTGGGTCGGTCAATCCTGTGTGTGGTTTTTTTTTATTACATTCTGAGAGTGCGCGCGCTCTCTTCCTTGAAGTGAAAAGCCATCTCGAGGATGACATGTTGTGTGATTGTGCGTAGAAAGTGTGCCAAAGCTTCAAGGATTTTCCTTTGATCGTATACATGAATATCTGTATAGTGAAGTTCTTTTTCCATCATCATCATCATCATCTCTCCAATTTGCGCAATCATCATCTCTCTCGCGCGCTCGCTTTGAAAAAAACCTCGGAAGCCCCAGAAAATTTTGCAGCGCCTTTAGTGTCGGGCTTTAGAGTGGTGTTGATTTGAATGGGGAATTGTAAAAGTTGTGTTGCCTTGGACTGGACAATTTCGACATCAAATATTCTTTACTGCCAGTTGTAGATTTTCCAACCATCGCGCGCGCGCGCATTTCGCAACAGAATGAATTCTTTAATCGTGTGCCTCCACTAACACATTTCTTGGTGATATTTACCAATCACGACTTATAAACTCCATTCACCCATTTTCCGTGAGTGCGCGCGCGAAAGGGAGAGAGAAAAGAGTGATCCTCGGGCCTGTTGCAATTTCATCTTGCGTCACATGAAAAAAAACAAGAAATCCCTCAATTCTCAAATTTAGAGCGCCAGGAGAGGAAATGCGCGCGCGACATGGAAGCAATTTTCCGCCAACCCAAAAGAGCCACACGATCACGCTGTATTTCTCCACCATTTATTGAGTGTGTGTTTGTGTGTTGTGTTGGAAATATATATGGGTAAAAAGTTGTACTCAATTTTCCCTTTCAAACTGGAATTCTTTGCGAGCGCGCGAAACTTTTACTTTCAATCTTTTTACAAAACCTGTGTGTTGCGCGCGCGACTTGTATAGCGATCGCGCCCCGATGTTATATGGCATGTTTTGTAATCCTATGCCTGGGTAATCGTGCAGATTACGACACACCACACTTCACCTCGCCATACAATGGCAATTGCCGAAAAAAAAAGAGTCAAACCCACAGGCTCTCCGTGCCCTTTTTCCACCTCCTTCGCGCGTCTCTACCCCCTTGAGAATTTTGTCTGTGCGAAGGTGAAAGGAAGATCACATCCAGAGTGTTGTGAATTGATCAAATAAACTGGTGAAATTGGGGCGCTTCCTGTGTCGATGGCTGAAGTGTGTGATGCTTCCTGAAAAAGATAAATAAACCACCTCTTTCCGTGCTCTTTCAGATTTGTGCACCACATCGACAACTGCGAGAGAGATTAAAGTGTGATAAACGTGCTAAAGTGATCGAGCAGAGGAATATTTCACATCCTTGCGAAGGAGCAAACAACCACCAATCCAGGAGAGCAGGATTAATTGTGACAGTGATTCTGTGCTGAGTGTATTTAAGGATATAACACACACACACACACAAACATACATACATAACCTCTAGAGGTGGTGAAGCTTGTGTGATTCTGTGATCTCGAGAAGGTGGATATAAAATATTTACATTGAGTGCCACTGAGCTAAGGAAACAGAAGAAGTGAATAACAGTGCATGCAAAACAATTTATCGTGGATGATGTGCATTAATCACACTGATGATTAGGAAAAGGGCTTCAGTGACGCGGCGCCGAAACGACGACAACCCACATTCACAGCAAGAGAGTCACAATAAATTCATCAAACTGGATTATAAACGCAATTACCCCTACTACACAGACAGGTGAGACTTCCTTTCGCTCGGGCCTCTTTCCTTCCCCACGCATTGGTGTGTGTGTTGGGATTCGACGTTCGCGCGTAACTTTAACACGCTTTGCTGACCTTTCCGATACGCGCCACTGCGCGATGCCTTAAGAAATTAACCTCAAGGACTATCATTGAGTCGGAGGTTCGTGCGTTGATTGAGTGTGTGCGCCCAAAAAGCCACTCTTGTGATTTTGTAAAGGGGAGAAATTGCCATTTCCTCCATCGCGCGGGGAGAGATTGTGAAAAAGAGCCATGAGAATTTCCTCTGCTGGCTTCCTCATTAGAGGCACAGTCACGATGCTCGGCGGAATGGAAGTTTGGCTTATGTTTATACGCTTAGAAAAAGAAGTGAGGAAAAAAAAACTACGCAACATGGGTTGATTTACAATTGCTGAAATTGTAAATGAAGGAATATAAGAGAGGAGTTTAGCAAGACTTTTTCTCTTCACACACAAGCTCACTTGTAAAATGGTTAAGCCACTCATGACCTAAATTTCCAATTAAATCAACTATTTCACTTTTGCTTCGTATTTGTTTTCAACACACAAGCTCTCGTGTGACATATATATAGATATGGTTTGTGTATCGCGCGCCGTTCACACAATTTTCCATCTCTCACACACAGTATTATTGCCTAGCCTTCTTCCCATTCATATTATTTTATTTATAATCGCGGACAACTTTGAGCCTCTCCACACTTATCAACTCTCACGTCGCGGACGTACAGCATCCCAGGTGGGGTGGCCCCAGTGCATCTCCGTACAGAGATTCTGTTGCTAAATTTAGGCCCAGGAAGGCAGGACGAGCGCGCGCGCGAATTCAATGCGGCTATTCATAAAATCTCGCGCACTCTGTGTGTGCGCGCGAGAGAGATCAACTTGGGCAATAGAGTAATTTTTTCGCGCGCTTTTTTATTGCATAATTTTCATACAGTACCGTGCCTCAACATTTCTTCCTGGCGGCACTTTCTAAAGCCGCGCGCGCACGCTTTCCGCGATGTGTGGAGATTCTTTGAGAATGGGGCTTATTTTTAGCCACGACGAGGCCTATTTTTAACCCCACTGTTTACAACGTGTCGCGAGCCCTGCGCAAGAAGAAAAAAAACACCCGCAGTGAAATGCTGATGACGCGTTGAGGAATAAAAGGCCGTGGCGAAGAGAGTGAATTTCGTAATACTTTCACTAACCCAATTTCCAAATGACTGACGTTTCATTGCACGATTTTATAATTTTGCAATTGTGTCATTCTCCAACTATTATTTACTGTGGGAGATTTTCACTTTCAACGGTGTTGTGTGCCTTATTCAGCGTTGCACTTCATATACATTATTGTGTTGTTATATTTTCCGAAAGCCCATGGGGAGTTTATGAGAGAAAGAGAGTTTGTGGAATTTGTGTGTCTCGATGTTTTTGTATGAAAAATTGTGTGTTTTCTAATCAAATGATAAAGAGAGGAGACGGAGGGGAAGAGCAGAAAGTGTGCTACAAAGGATTGAATGATAGGGAGAATTCTCAATGCTCTGCTCTACATTTTCTTATCTATGGTCTCAAAGAAAAATATAACAAACACAGAGACTTTTTTTCTCTCACCAAACACAGCCACTCTGCGTTTGAATTTGTGTGTTTTGAGTTTTTCTGCCAATGTGCTTTCTGTTTGTTTTCACAGAGGGAAAAGTGCCTCATGACAATTTACTGTGTGCTTAAGATTACATTCGCTCAATACCTTATTAGGTGTTGCTCGCAACATCTTGGAATGTTCCAGGTGTTCAAGTCATTTGCCCAAAGCTTTGCAATGAGCCATGGATGATCAAAATCGACTGAGAAATAGCAGAGATAGAGAATCTATTAACTGTAGCGCCCTCTACAATCTCTAAAATCATCATATCTCGCATATTTCTTAAGAAAGCTATCTTCTGCCCTGAGAAGACACCTCTTCAAATCCACTGAGCTTTCCAATGTGCCATCAAGCTTGCAAATCGGTCAATCCAATCCTCCAAAATTGATCAATTCTTTCAACACCCAATCGCAACCAATCCAATTTGCTATTCTAATGAACTGTCCCATTTTCCGTGCTCCGTTTTATGCCCCCAAAACACAACCAGTGTGTGCCCCTTTGTGGGACATTTTTGCATAGCTCTCTGTGCAGCTCTCGGCAACTGCGGCGATGGAGAGTGATTGCAATAAATGGCAAATGCGCGGGAAAATTGAGCTGAGCCTCAAAATGGCGTTACATAATCCCTCTGCTGAATTGGAATGACATAGATTAGAGTTTTCTATGGGTATTTTGCATCTCACTCTCACTGACTGACTGGCTTTTGTTTGCCATTCTCTGGTGCGCTGAAAATTAGAACACACCCGTGCAATTTTGCCATTGTATTGAGATATTTTTGTCTAATATGTTCTATTAGGAAGGTCTCTCGTGTTCGGTTGACTCTTTTAACCCTTTCACGGCATCGTGGGATGTATTGTTAGCTGGACTAACTTTCGTATGGCTTTCTGTGTGACATTTCTCACAATCTCTCGTGCCTCATTTTGCTTGGGACTTTCCTAGCAGATCGGCGGATTCTGGGTGAAAAAGTGCTCAATCACCAACACCAGAGGGGTTAATTGAATTTAGCACTCTAGAGTCGCCTCAATCTCGATTATTTCCTTCATGAATCACTAGTCACGAATAGTATTAGTTCTGAATGCAGAGAGGAAGAAATAAAAAACAAACATTGTGAATAAATCGTGGATGTTTTCTTATGCGCAAGAGGGGCAAATTGGAAAAATTTCGCATGCGCAATTGACTCGGCAAATTGATTTTTCCATTTGGCGAACATTTCGGATTGAAGGTGTGGAAAAAAGCGCGGGAAGTCAATCGAAAATTGAATCTTTTATCTCCTTTTCCGAGGCCTCCTTTCATGCCAATTGATTTGTTTGTGCAAATAAATTGTCACACCGGAGATTACAAGCCTGTGACTCACATTTTTCTGCAATTTCCACATCAAAAGAGATCTCAGTGGATGTTGTCATTGTGCTTTTTCCAACATTGTACTGTCAATTGTGGAAAATTGCGCGCCTTTTCGCTCGTGCACGGGAAAAGGTGCGAAGGTGGGAAAATCCATGGAATTTGCGTGTGTTTTTCTATGATTCAAAGACTGTGACAAATACTATTGCGTATTATCTTCACAAATTCTCTCATGGAAAATTGCGAAAAACACTCTCGCCTTGTTTATCTCACATCTCGAGGCGTGCTCACTCTTTTTGCTTCTGTCGCACTTTGTAGTGTTCCTTTGGCACAGTGAGAAGCGAAGAAGAAGGAGAAAAAAAAACTACTGCCCATCAGAAAACTGGATTAAATATTCAATCTATCGGAATGTTTTCTCACTTTCGCAACAAAATCAACCTTGAGACAAGCACATAAGATAGAGGGAAATAGATGGGAGGGAGGGCGAAAACGACAAAAAAGTGTTCGTCGCGCCGAAATATGACACAAACATGGCACAAAGACGACGATATGAGGGAGAAAGAAGTGCGAGAGAACCTTCGCGATAAGCTTGCTATTTGATTTATGGGCAGATATGGGAGATATGATGAAGAAATTATGTCTCAACGGTGAGAAATTTCCACCCGAAAACAACCTTTTATCGTGAATTCTTGTTATACGCAAAAAAAAGTACCAAAGAAATCTACGCAACAGTATTTTAAACGGCTCCGGCTCGAAGCATCTGCTCAAAGCTTTCCAATGACCCATTGATGACTGGATTTGGTTGAGAAATACCAGAGATACAGAATGTGTTAACTGCAGCGCCCTCTACAATCTTTAAAATCCTAATATCTCGGAGAGTAGTTAGAAAATTTGTCTTTTTGTCCATGAAGACCCTTCTTCAAATCCACAGAGCTTTCGAAAGAGTCATCAAGCTTAAAAATCGGAGTGTGTTTTTCACTCATACACACACTTCAAGTGTTGACCAACCTTGGCTGATAACGGAAGCGAGAAAGAATCTCCGGAAGGAGGTCAGTTTGGGAGACGCGATTTATCCACCTTGATTAGTGTCAGAAATAAAAATAAAAAATGCAAACGAGGAAACTGCGAAGCATGTCCACATGAAAAGGTGAATAGCGTGCTGCTGCCGCACTTTGTCTCAATGCCAAGGAAAATGGCATGAGAAATTTTTCACCATAAGCATTTTTCCTTGGTGGTGATAATTGGCGGCTATTATCTATTTATAGAGAGATTTTTTCACTCTCTGTGAAGCAATTAGGAGTGAATTTTTGCATTTTTACATTCTCTCCACACCTTTTAAGCAGTTGAGAAGATGGAGCGAAATGTTATTCATTAAGAATTATAAGTTCGTGCGAATCACGCATGAAAGGCTTGTGTGTTGAGGGGAGGGCAGAAAAAGGGGATGCAGAGCAACGTGAATGAATGGAGATGAGAAAGAATAGCCGAGAATTTGCATTAATTGACTGGAGTCGAAATTATTACTCTTTTTTTCTTAATTCTTTATATACCTGGAAATTCCACACAATTTCGCGTGCTTAAAATTTGCTTTTTTCGCTCTGGTGACTCTCGAGACGCTTGGCAATGGTGGCCGCTGGAAGAAATGGTTTTCTTGGGGAAGAGGAAATGCCGAGAAATTCAATAGTCACTCAGGGAAGGAAACTTTCGGTGAGACGCGCTTCTCGAAGTGCAGAGAAAAAGGAGGAAAGGAGAGGAGATTGTGTATGCTCTCGCGAGAGAGAAGGTGAAAAAGTAAATAAGCGACGAGTCTGGCCAGGAAGCCACGAGCAAAAAAAAGTAGTTTGAAGAAAGAGAGGCGATGAGAGGCAAGAAAAAAAATAGTTGAAACAGCGGCGGAATTATAAATTTTCAGGGTCACACACTCGGAAAAAAGGGGGGAAAAACGAGCGCGCCTTATGTAAGGCCTCGGCGCGAATGAGGCGCACACAGAGGAGTCCACAAAGAGAAAGAAGTGGAGTGAAGGAGAGAAAAAAGAAGGCAAGACACAATAAATAATGTGAAACTCTTTTGTTATTTGCCCACTATTGAAGTCCACGCTCACATGCGCGCGCAGCGAGCATAAATGGCGCGAAAATTGCCCCAGTGCGCGAGAGAGGAAGAGAGTGCGAGCTTTTTCGCGATGAGCCTCGCGCGCTTGTCTCTCTTTGCAGAGAGCGAGATGGCACGAGTTGGGGTAAAAGTGTGTGTGCGCGATGGTTGAGAAATGGGGAGCTTGAGTAACTCACGCAGAGAATTTCGAAAGTAAAAGTTTGCGTCTGAGAGCAAAAAGCGTCGGTTTATGTCATACATCTCTGCGGGCCTATCTTTCACGCATGGCAAAAAGGAAAGTAAAAGTGCCCCTAATTGCCACACTTGCGTCACCCACTTCCCAAGGGCCCCCTCGGCATCGGACGAAGCGTGAAATGTCACGCGGAACATTCCAATCAGCTCCCTGACTCATGTGAAGGTGCTTCATTAGCTAGCTTTCCTGCTATTTCACCTCCTCTCTTCAGCCCAATCTTGGCGCCGAGAGATGTTAGTGATTCCCGGATGACTAATCAAGCACGAGGAAATGATTTCGGTCGTTGTGTTTTTATGATGAATACTCGGTGACTCATGGCTTTCCAAAATTGCTTTTCCATCTAATTCCACTCCTAGATGTTCTCACATTGAAACATTGGCAGTTGGTTAGATTGTCGCTAGTGGCGCTGGTGATGCATCACGCAACACATACGTTCAAAAAATACGAATTTAAGGTCATAAACGATAATCGGACGAATTTTGTGTGCTAGAACGACCTGAAGAGGAATGTATTATCTTTCACTTGCACCTCAGATTAAGAAAATCGACCCACAAACACCAGAGATAGAAGCATTTTTTTTTACATTTGTGGGTCAAACTGACCCTCAATTGTCCGCCGCTGTAAGTGACTCCCTCTAAAGGCACACCCCTGTGCTTTTCGTTTCAGCTAGGATGCTGATGTTGTACTACAGACAACACGGCGAGTGCATCCTCCAGGAAATCGGCGCGGCCTTCCGCGGTGAGCATCCGGCGGACTTGCTGCTCATCTGCGAGGGCCGCGAGACGCTGCGCGCGCACAAGCTGGTGCTGGCGGCCGCGAGTCCCCTCGTGAAGCGGCTCCTCGAGGAGACACCCTCCATCGAGTCCGTCACCACCGTCCACTTCCCCGACGTGCAGGCCAAGTACTTCCGGCTGCTGCTGGACTTCCTGTACTCCGGCCAGACGTGCGTGCCGGCCAATGAGGTGGAGCACCTGCATGACCTGCTCGCGCTGCTGCAGATCAAGCCTGGCGTGTGGCGGACGGACGACAAAACAGAGCTAGGTGGGTGTGCTGGGATCGCCGTGGGAGTGCGCGACGCGCAGGTCCGGCAACCTTGGGTGATCTCGTAGTCATTCTCATTCCAGACGGTGGCGGAGGCGAGGCCAAGGGCGACACGCATACCGACATCAACAGCAATGAGGGCGACGGACGCCGGCGGCGCTCCAAGAGCCGCGACTCCACATCCTCGCGGGTGCACGTGAAGCGGGAGCGGGGCGGGAACAGCAGCGAGGAGACGCCGGAGGCGGAGGGCGACGACGAGCGAGCGGATGTGGACGAGGAGCCGGACGAGGAGGCAAGACAGAGCAGAGACAGGAGCAGCGAAGAGAGGCGCCTGAGTGTGGACACGGCGCGCAATGACACGATCTCGAGGCGAACGGAGGAGTCTGGAGATGAGGCGGAAGAGTCCGGCGACGAGGGTGGCGACAGGGAGGACGAGAAGTCCATCAGTGGCCGGAGAAGAAGCTCCTCGGATCCTGTGAATCTTTCTCTGGGTACCAGACAGGAGGACTCCGATGACGGCGGTCACGTGGACGTGGAGACGATAGCCAATGCGCCCAGCAAGGTGAGATGTGTAAACTTTCCTTTGCTCTTTCCCAATCGCTGACCAAGTGATTCTCTTCCTTCGGCAGAGTCTCATTCCCAGTCGCCTCTTGGATCCTTTTCGAACGAAACGAAAAGTGCTGTATCACGCGCCAGAATCGGAAATCCTGAAGCCACCCGACCACGACCAGCTGCTGCACAGCTCACCCGACAACTACGTGGTCACGCCGCACCGGAAGCGCCGGCCTGGCTTTCAGAACTCACCCGCCCAGAATCCACCATTCGTCCCGTACGGACTCAACCGCAGCAACTACATTGAGGACCTGCGCTCCCGAAAGGGGCCGTCAGTGTCAGCACCACCGTCCTACTTTCCAGGTAAGCCGCTAATCGGGGCTTCCCTGTCTTGTCCTCAGTTCTGAAGCACGAATAATGTTGATAATTCTTGCAGGAGAACGCCCACCTCTGTCGCCCACGTCTCAACCCACCGATCTCTTGCTGCACAACAACCACCACCAGCACAACAACAACAGCAGCCGGCGGCGGCCGCCCAGCGCGGACGGGCCGCTGGCCGTGGCGCCCTCTTTCGTGTACCCCTGGCCGCCGCACTCGTCGGCGCTGGCGGGGCTGCCTGGCGGCCCCGGCAGCGTTCTGCCCGTGCCGCCGCCCAATCCCGCCCACAACAGCGATCGCGGCAGCCCGCTGGACGCCGGCGGGGCGTCGGGCGGCGCCCGCGCGAGCGCCTCCGGCGGCCTCTCGGCGCCCGTGCGTGAGTACCGCTGCGAGTACTGCGGCAAGCAGTTCGGCATGTCGTGGAACCTGAAGACGCACTTGCGCGTGCACACGGGCGAGAAGCCCTTCGCCTGCCGCCTGTGCGTGGCCATGTTCAAGCAGAAGGCCCACCTGCTGAAGCACCTCTGCTCCGTGCACCGGAATGTGATAAACACGCCCGAGAGCGGCGGCCGCTACAACTGCTGCTTCTGCACGATGTGGTTCGAGACGCTGCAGGAGCTGGTGAGACACCTGTCGGGCCACCACAACAATCTCCTGCTCAGCATCAACCTCACGCCCTCCAGTGGGCGGAACTCGTGAGGGGGCGCTCACGCGGAGCGCCCGCAAGGCCAGTGCAACCCGCCCGAGCGACGGCGTGGCGCCGGAGAGGCACAGCGCGGGGCGGCCGAGGGCCGGAAAGCGCCGAGAGCTGGTCATGCCTAAGGCAGACGTACATGATTCTCGAGATGGCAGTGATCAGGGGAGCCGCGCGCTCTCCTCTGGGGACGCGCATGCTGACGATTGTGCAGTTGTTACACCAAAGAACTCGCAGCTATTGACCGTCTCTCGGCCCTTTCCGAGTGCGCGCGCAGCATAAGCTTCACGGGCTTTTGCGCGATCCTCTTGCCTTCGGTTGCCTTGAAGTTTCAAAACTGGTAAATCAATTTAATTATAGTTGGCAATTAATTCAAAAGACAATACATGTAATTGTTCTGTGCCTCTCTCAAGAGCTTTTGAGGAGGGAAAACCGGAAAATTTCCCTCACTAAAGCCAAACACAATGTCGCAACTCAAGGAATTTCACAGTAAGAAAAGAAAAGAAAAAAACATTAAACCAATAAAGAGATATTAATCAATTCTGCGCGCAATTTCCGCCAGAAAGAATAAATAATTCAGAAAGAAGAAATTGCCCAGAACCGCTGAAGAGGGAAGGTGAAGAATGCAACAAAGAAAATGTACAAATAAAATATCTCATCATTCCAATACTTTTTCTTTTATATAAAAAAAAATGCAAAACCATATTTTTTTTAAATAAAAATCTTTTTTCTACTATCAATTTGTAATGTTAATAATTTAAAGTAAAAAAAAAACGTCGCATCAAAACACGGAAAACACTCACAATTTTCACCGCGAAGAGAGCTTTTGCTTTTTTCAAAGTTTCTCGTTGTTTCTCTTACAAGCACAGAAAAATTAACGACAAAAACAGTTTAATATGAATTTAATCCATCGTGAAGGAGTTTTGTTAATGTAAAATACAAGAAGCAAAAATAAAACAGAGATATTTTGACGGAGTAATAAAAGCAAAATTGTGTATAAATAATTTTTTCTGTAAATAACAATGTAAATAATTATTGTGTAAAAAAAAGAGCATTAAGTTAAGTGAAATATTTGTAATTTTTTTTTCTCTTTAGCTAGAAACTTTTTAGTGTAAATTCTACTTAAATACCAACAAAAAAAAACATGAAAAGAAAGGAAAAAATGACGAAAATCCGCAAATTTATTTATTTAACCAGCTAATCGCGTTTCTAATCGAAGGACAGAATAGTTAAAGCATAGAAGAAGAAAAAGAAACAGACAGACAACAAAAGGACCAGATATTGAATGTTATTTTATAAGTTGTGGAGAAAAAGAAGGAACGTAACGTTTGAAGGATTAACTGATAGTAAAAATTCCACCGAATTGAATAGTTTTCTTTCTTGTTTCCTCCTTAATTTTAGTAACTCTCCCACTTTTTATTTCCTCAATCTCCCTATTTTCCCTCCGCGAAATCATCAAAAACAATAAACGGTAAAAAAAAACAATCTGTGCAAATACATTTTAGGTAAAATACATTTTAGTGCAGAAAAAAGTGAATCATGACTCCGAAAGCAGAAGATAGACAAATAAACAACAGCCTCAAAACTATTTTGTATTGCAAATCTGTATTATTTTATTTGTTCAGTTTTTTTTGTAAATTATATTTATGGTTGCCGAAGTGAGACAAGAATTTTCAGAGACAGAGAAGAAAAAGCAAAACAATTCCCAGATGCAGAATCTCAAAACCACCCAAAAGAATAACAAGACACGATCGCATGTTAAAGTAAAAACGCAAGAAACCCTTTTTTTAACCTTAAAGAGAATATATTAAAAAAAACTTCTTTTTTCTGTATAGAAAGTAATTTAAATTAAGCAATTAATTAGCAAGCCCAAAAAGAAAATTGTTAATAAAAAAAACTGATCAAATTGATCAAAATGTGTTCAAAACAGAAACTTATGATTTGTTACAATAAAATGAATTCAATGTAATTTTTTAATTTCCGCGCGGAGTTTTAATTTTTTCAAAATGATTTTATATGGCAAAAAAAGTGCAAAAGAGAAGCGAGGTAAGGTTGAACAAATTTTCCATTGCAAGGTGAACGAAGAGAAAGTCATTTTTAATGTATTTTTCTTTATACTTATAATTATTTTCTCTTTACATGTAGATTTTGCAATAAGTCCAACTAATTTATAGAAGTTACAGTATTTCTTGTTTATCATCAAAAACGCATCAAATTCAACATTAGTTTGCTTACATTCGGCCTCAGACTATTTGTTCACGTTTCATGTTATGTTTTTTTTTGTTATTTTATTTTATTTTTATTATTTACCATTCAGTAAAATCAAGAGGAAAAACGAAGAGATTTTAGTGGTTTCTTTTTCTTGCTGTGTTTTAATAGGAGAAGAAATTTTCATTTATCATTAATAACATTGTTTTTTTTTGCTTAGTTTTCACACAATGGACACATGCAGAAGATTAATCTTAGTTGTCCTTTCTCCATCTTCACCACTCACAATACCGCTTTGCTTCACTTTAGCATTCATAATCTTGAAATGTTCTTAAGTTTTTCACGTTTTTAAAGTAGTCTCAACGATGATAACACATTGAATAGTGTGTCGAAAAATGGCAATATTTTAGGTGAGTTTCATTTTTTTTTTTATCTTTGTCTCTATATACTTTCATCCTTGCGCTCTTCATCCACTCTTTTACCCTTCGTCTTGGCGTGTGGAAAAACTAAGTCGGGAAGTGGAGAGCGAGCAAAATTGTTACACCTTTTCTCCCTTTTTTCTCTCTCTCAAATGTTATCTCAATAATCGCATTGTTCTTTTTTTTTTCTTCTTTTAAATTGTAATTCAATAACTTTTTTCATGTTAATTTTAAAAATTACTTCTAGGTATTGTCATTTTGTTGTTTTTGCCTCTTCACTCGCTGTTCAACGTCTTGTTCTTCACCAACTGACCAATCAATTTTCAGAGCAATTCGATAGTGAAGGAGTGGAAATCACACTTTTTCACGTTAAATTTCACTACCTCTCAATATACATAATTGACTCTCTCGACACTCTTCTCAGCATGTTTAACACATGTTAACATGTCAAAAGCATACATTGAAGATTTTGTAATCCATCGTTTTATCTTCTTCTTCTTCTTGTTTCTTCATGATAAATAGCAAATTCATACTTTTTTTTTGTTAATAGTTATTTTCAAAGAGTTTTTCATGTTCATCATTTTTACTTTTATAACTTTTAAGTCATCAAATACAACATCTATATAATAATTTCTTGCCTTTCCATGTTTTTTTTTAATTCTTTTCTTTAATAAGAGATAAATATATAGAATAGCGCGTGTTTAAGAATATTCTGTTTCTTCTCCCCTTTTTTCTCTTTTTTGTATAATCAATAAATTTTCCGACACTAAATTTCTTTACAATTTTCTTCGCCATGTTTCTCAATGGTTTCTTTTCGTGCTCCTCAAGAGATAATTTGTTACTTTTCTCACAACATTACTTATTTCAACATTTCCTCTTCTCTCTTCTTTCTTTTTGCATATTTCAAGAGATTTTTTTCTGATATTTTCTTTGTGGATATTGTGAAATGTTTTCATAAAACGGAGGGAATAATATAATTCTACCTTGACTAACAATATTAAAAGAAATATAATAAAAAATTTAAAAAAAAATCTTGCTCTTTTGTCGAGTAAAATCAATTGCTTTTCGGGTAAATTATTTGCTTTTCGCAGTTGCTTTGCATTCAATTTCATTTTTCTTATTGTTTTTGCCTGAAATTAAAATCATCCAAAGGAAGAAAAAGGCTGTTCGAAATGAGACGGATTCGAAACCAATCATCTTATTGAGCACAGAATGTGTCAAAGAGAGAAAATCCCCGCTTAATCTTCACTCGTAGCCTCGCTAAAGTAATAACTTGTGTGATTACTTATTTAGGCCATAAATAGTGTTTGAAGTGCCACAATTGTTTTCGCTCAACTCCTTTTGTCTGTCTCACATCAATTGCCACATCCTGTGCTCATCTTCTCATGCATTTTCTCTCTCTCTCTCTCTCTGCTTTTTTCCTTTCTGAGATGCAATGAATACACATATTTCTCTTTCCACTGACAATGTTTAATAAACCCTATCTAAATATTAATTCACAATAACAAATTTATTTTACTTCATCGCTTGCAATCATCAACGTGAATATCTTTTCTTTTTCTTTTTCCCGAAGAAATCCCAAAAATTAGTACACTTTTCTCATCAAATTCATTCATATTCATGTGAATAAGAGATTTAAAAATATATGTAAGATGAAAGAGGGCAAAAATTCAACCTTATTGAAGTTCAAATTGTAAAATTCTCAATAAAATTCCACTTTCAATGGGGGTAACGCGGTCACTAAAAGGGGGTTTTCTCTCTCTCTCTCTTACTCTCTCTTAAATGGCACAATTCATGATCATGCTGTATTCCTTCTTTGCCTATTTACAAATTAAAAAGACCTAAGCGTAGATTTTCTTTATGTACAAATTAGAGTCACGTAAAAAAGATTAAACTTCAACTAAATCAACAGTAAAAATTACAACTTTGAGACTTTATCTCATGACACGATTTAGCATTAAAATGAAAATTGTGTATTTTAAAATTAATTCTGAGTTATTTTACCTTTTCACTTCTTTTTTGTTTCTTCTACGAAAGAATGTCTCCATATATCAACTTCATCTCAATCATCGACTAGTGCAAATTTCTCGCGTTTCTTTGCATCTTTTTTGTTTTGTTAAATTTAATCTATGTTATGTATATGTATTATCATTGAACATAATTCTCTGCATTGAATTTTCTCTCCTCCCTCGGAAGAAAAAGAAAAAAAGACACAATTAAGACTCCTCAAGATCTCACAGAGTGTGTGTGTTGCCTTAAAGATGGAAAAAAAGAAGAAGGTCGGCTGATGCTCTTCTCTGCGCCTCATCAAACTCCTTTAGTTTGGCAATGGAACCACAACTTGAACGTAAGACTGTGGGAAGTATCCAGTCCTCCCATTCACGCTGCCCTCGAACCAATTCTCATCCACCTTGTTGATCAGCTGGATAATATCATTCTCCTGCAAAAAGAGAGAAATAATCATCAAAACATCCCTTTTTCTATCAACAAATTCACACTAAAATCACAATCGTAAGAGTTTATTATTGCGAACCACAAATTAATCTTTAAGTGCTCTAAAATGTTTATTTTTCTCACTAAGTGGTCGTGGCAAGAGTGTGGGCGTGTCTTTGCCATTCCATTGGAGAGAAGAGAAAATTTACCTTGAATCCCAATTCTCCGGGATTTTCCGGCTCAAAGTCGTACAAAGCGGAACAACACGGTCCGCTGGGACGCTGCGCCTGTGGAGCCTTTGCCGGAGACCGCATCGGTGATGGAAGTGGCGATGCTGTGGGGAGAAAAACAAGCCCTTCACATTGGATATTTTTACAACATTATTACTCATCCAGGTCACCAACAGTGAAGCACATTTTTCCCACAAAACAGTGGTGAAAGCATGAAAATTGAAAAGCCACGACAAAATACACACACATACACAGAGGAAAAACCTCATGAAATTAGCGAAAAGGCACCCCATATCCTCTTTCTCTCTCTCTCTCTCTCTCTCTCTCTCGGTTTTTGGGGTGCACTGAAAGGGAAAACATGCGCCAGAAAATTTGGAGTGGGGGAAACAAAAAATGATTTTATGGTGAAAGTTTTATACTAGTGAAATAAAAAATTTAACAAGGAATTTGTGAAGGAAAAATAATAAATTAACATGAGGTCTTCTTGTCATGCAAAATAATGAAGAAAAAAAAAGAGAAACATCAATTGACCACGTCCATCGTCTTTACCATTGGTGGAACGAGCCTGAGCTGGACCATTTCCGGCCAATTCCAGATGACTGGGTTTACTGACTACAAGAGAAAATGTAAGAGAGGAGAATGTTTGGCATCACGAGACTTGCACTAGATGAATTTGCAAAACGCACACTGAGCTTCATCATTGGGAGGAATATATATGTATGTCTATGTATGGTTTTAGGGTTGGGGAGTTGTGAAGGATTGTGGTGATAAATAGATATGGACAATGAGACCATTTACCATGGCATCATCTGCCATTGACCACCGGTAGAAAATGCATCATTTCCACTCTTCGCCACAAAGTCCTACAGAAGCACACGTGATTAACCAGACATTGTCCGGAATTCTGTCTGTGGTTTGCACCATTATTATTGCACCCTTTACTCTCTAGATGTATACAAGCAATTAGTTAGGAAATCCATTCAAAGCACACAAGAGATGCGCTTCTAATACTCCATAATTGAAGAGCCTCAAATTGATAAATATCAAAACCTTAATCATAACACAATAGAAACCCAATACATCAAATTTCTCCTCTAATTTCCCGAAAATTTTATGCTCATTTATAAGAATTATATGTACATATTTTACAATGTCGTGTGAACCTTATTGTATTTTATACTCATATTCGTCTGGTCAATTATACAATAAACACACAGAGTGAATGTGCAGAAAGAACTACAGAGCAAAGAGAGTTTTTCTTTTTGTCAATGAAACCCACCACCAAATCTGCGCCACGTGTTGAGATAGAGATTAAGAAAAAATAAAAGTAAACCAAATCATAATTCACCTGACCAGGGATCGTTGTTGAAGTGGGAATTGTGCGTGGCGACTGAGGAGGGATTGGAGGAGTTGGCCGCCGGTCTGCTGGTGACTCTCCGGCTGGCAGTGCTTCTGGCGGCTGGCGCTGGCTGCTGTTGCACCGGCGGCGCGGGCAAATCCCACGCATTTAGCCACTGATCCGCCACGCCAGACACGTAGTACGGATTCTTGTTGTGACTGTTGAAGCTACTACTGCTGCGCGCACTTTGCTGACCATTGCTCTGCCTCTGCTTGCTGGACAAGCTCTGTTGCGAGCCATACATCTTCGTGCGACTGAAGTTGCTGTCATCCGCGAGAGCACCGCCAGCTGAGCCACCAGCAGATCGGCTGGTTGAGAGATTTTGCTGTGAACTGTACATGTTCTGGCCGCGGGAGGAGGAGGAGAGCTCAGGATGGGAATTCTGTAAGTGACGCCCACCATTCAAGCCGTCCATGGAAAGACCCTCAATATTCAAGTCGGCCAGCGTCTTGGGCACGAACTCCGTCTTTGGACGCGCCTCAGCATCCTCGCGCCTGCAATTTTGCATCACAAAAAAAAGACAGAGAATAGACAGTCAAATTGAGAAATCATGAAGAACTCTCAAACACTCACTTGCTCTGGAGAGTCTCAACCAGACATTTCAGCACCTCTGTACACTGTTGATGATAATCCAGCAGTGCTTCGGAGAATGTCACTAGTTGACTCACTTGCTCCACCTTTTTTCGCCCATCCAAAACGACGACGATCGTTACAGTGTGTCCGGAAAGAAAGATCGAAGAAGACAGAGACGCATAGCGCAAGAAAAGGGGGTTAATTTAGAAGAGGCACTACCCGAAGTTAAGCTTAACCAAATAGAACAAAGAGAGAAATATTCTCTAATACTCACATCATTCTCTAATAAATTGAACATTCCCATTTGGGCTAAATGTAATGATTCGGCGAATTTCTCTTCAGCACTTCGAATCTCATCGTCTGTAATGTGAGAACCTGGCGTTTGGTACGATTTTGCGGATTGTTGTCACAACATTTTTGGGTTATAAATTATAAATGTTGTGTGTTTTGGTATAATTTTGGCACATTTTAGCGGGATTTTTACACACATTTTGTCGAAAATTGACAACATTTTTTTTTGTACAGAATTTACACACAAAAGCCAAAGAAATAAAAAAACGACAAAAAATGATAATAATTGTAGCAGCAGAGCAAATCAATGGATAAACAGTGCACGTGTGTGGTGTTGTTGGCATTCCAAAAATAAATCCACCAGGACGAAAATAAGAATACCAAGAAGCGGATGAAATAAGGAGTAACATGAAAAGAAAATACATAAAATCAAATTAATTTCTAAATTCTACAAGACTAAAGCGAATTTCTAGAGAAATCTCTCGAGACTTTTTCCATTGCCTTAGAGAAATCCTCAAGGATGTCTTTATTAAGAAATCACCTTGCAAAAATTGATTGAAAACATAAGAACTGGAAAAAGTCTTGAGAAATTGACTCTTGTTAAATGAAATCAGACAAATAAATAGGGAATTAAATAGCAGATACTCTTCCAATTTGTTCTCTCTAATTTAATTTATGAGAAAAACCACGAAGCTTTTCTCTCTTTTCTCTTTCTCTCTCTGCAATTTCTCATGGTATTTTCTTGTCACTCTGTCTCTATTCTAAAGTAGTAGTCTAGCGCGAAGAAATCCATGAAAATTGTGAACAGAGGTGATTTGTTTAAAAGAGAAGAGGATAAATAGAAAGGGAAAAAATCCAGGTGAATTTGCAGAAAAGAGTGAAGAATGTAGAGTAATCAAAGTACATCAACTTCCTCTTATTATAGTTGCTTCTCCTGCCACAAATTGTCCATCCGCGCGCTTCCATCATCTTTTCTCTTCTTCTTCATCTTCATCATTGCAAACACACAAAAATATGTACTATTATGGATCTTTGGTATATAAATATGAATATAAAAATACCTGAGAATACAACATTGGCATTATCTCATCTCAAAATAGCGCAAAATATCGACTAGAGATTAAAGTTGGAAGATAAAATAAATGGAGAAAGAAAAGAGAACATCGATGGAATTCACAGAACACCGGATAGAGTCTGCCTTTGACTGCAATGACAATGATGATTTAAAAATGAAGGGATGGGAGGATTCGAGGGTGTCTTTCAAGGGGGTGGATGGAAGAGAGAGACATTGAATGGTGCAAAGTGTGTTCGGAAATTCCACGTGTTTCATCTTGTACCTTTAGCCTGTCGTCGCCTCTTGCAGTCGTAATCCAATCTTCTTCCCTGCAGTTTTTTGCGATGATGCTGTTGAGCGAGAATTGAAGCATTAATTAAAAGTGTGAGACACACAATTCAGAGAGTAATCTTCTTACCATCACTTCCTTGAGATCCTTCGTCTGGAGATGATGAAGTGGCTCCAGGAAGTTTTGCTTGATGTTATCATCGAGGGAATATTTCACATCGGCCATCTGTTTCAGCGATTCACCCATTTCAATGAGTGCTTGAGCTGATGACAAAGATTCAAGCATTAATCAGTCTAAGATTCTCTCACGAGGAACCCAAAAGATCATGAGCATAGCCAGAGAAAGACAGACTAAAAAGTTCTTTATATAATATTGATCAATCAAAAGCATGAGTTTTACAGTTGAAAAACATTGGATATCACAATTAAGAAAGACAATTCCCTTTGAACCGTGAAAAACCACTTTTAATTGTGTTTTTACTGTGTCTTTTTATTGATCTTGAAGTTAAATTTAAACATTCAATCAAATGAAAGCAAACTTTTAACTATCCAAACTCTGCTGCAGATCAAAGAAACTATGCTGATGAATCATTAGTTAAGCCACAATGATACTGTTATCTATTAACTTTTCACCATTACACAACTCAATTCTCAGCTTCTCTCTTCTCCTGACCACGCTTATAACAAAGTTAACACTCACCAAAAATGCTGTCATCGCCCAACTTCTTCCCATAGAGGAGCATACAGTCGGCCAGGAGTCCCTCGGGCTGTGGATAAGTATTACTTTTTGCTTGACCTGATAATTTAGAGATTCCTTTTACCGCTGCCATTTTGGCCCGTGCCGTCGGATTGGGCTGCAGGAATTCCTTCGTTTTCGTCTGCAACTCTTCCACCAACTCCACAGTTACATCCGTTTTCTGCAAGCATCGATACAACACGCAAAAAGAGTAAGAAAAAAAAACCACCCCAGACAAAACATTGTGTCAGTTAATTTGTCCCTGTTGAGCAAACATATTAAATTGCCATTATTATTATCAAATGTTACCCTCTCCATGTCCATGAAGTCCAGATCGAGTTTGGTGCCCTCGGCACCACCCATCTTCTCCGTCACATACTGCAAAAGAAAAAAGAGGCACAACAGTTAGTCTTCTTGCCAGAAATCTCACATACTGCTTGCTATGTGTGAGAGGCGGAAATTTTCCCTATCTTTCCGCGCGACTCTCTTTATCGCCCACGCTCTGTATTTTATGAATGAAAAAAGAAACGACGCTCCTCCACAATAGACACAGACACCCATGGATGAGCATTTGGACACCCCTTGGCAAAAAACCAGCGCCGCGCTTACGTTGAGGAAAATCAATAATGAAGTATTTCCACAGTGGAACACGACTTTTCCCTTTCTCTCTTTCTCTCTCTTTCTCTTCCTCTGTTACTTCTCTGTTGGAGGATTTGTTATCGTCGCCACAGACTATTTTTCCAAACAATATTCACACAACATTTTCTCGTGTAATCTCATGCTAGCACACACTTTTCCCATTTTCGTGGCATTTCCACGCGCACGGTTTTTTTTTCTTTCAAACCACCACTTGCGTGGGTGCGCCAGAAAAGGTGTAGAGAAAGTCAAAATAAACATCGAAAAAAAGAACCCTTCAGAAAACCTGAAATTTTCATAATCACACACAAACGGTTTTGAGGGAGGAAAAAGTGAGAGAATTTCTATAAAAATTCTGTGCGGAAAATTCAACCGCATCAGCATGCATTATTGTAATTTTCACAATCTCCCCAATATACACACGCGCTCTTCCATTGACCGTGAGATTTGCTCCCCCTTTTCCACCAACTCCACCGCATCCAGCCGAAGAGAGGGCGAGAAAATAGGTCAGTAGGTCATGGAACATCCCCTCGAATCTACTACGTTAACTCTGACAGAGTTAATCCACTCCGCGCGTCTCTTCAGCGTGTGCTATTGGAAACTCTTTTCCCACTCTATGTGGCTTTCCCACCTTTCCCAACAATGCAATCGGCAGGCGAGAACACTGCACACAACCCCTCTTTCACCGCCGAGATTGTGGGTGGAAAATCAATGGATTGTAGAAATGCTTGCAGAATCCTTCATCATGTGTAAAGTGTGCGATTTCATTGAAAATCCTTCCTTTTGTCTTGCATTCTATTGTTCACATGAAATTTTTGCAATCACTACAATTAGTGATATGAGAATTGTCTTGAGTCCAAGTTTATGTTTTCACTCCATAAATTTTGTTCATTCTTAAATTTTCACTCTAAAAACCTTGAGTCCCTGTGGAGTCAATTAAGAAAATGTCAAGCATAAATTATGAGTCATTTTCCACCGTCTCATGATTCAAGAGGGGAAAGTTGGGTAATTTTGGACAAGAGGACAATTTAAATGATTGAAAATTTAATAAAAAATTATCTTAATAATTCCAAGTCTTCTAATAAACTATTTGTTTCAGAAATGTATTTATATGTTTCTTTTCTAATTGAAGAAACAAAACCAAATCTGTGTTGTTGAATTTTTTATCAAATTGCTTGGTTGCTTCGCTAAATAAATTACCTATAATAAACTATTCATCATTGGCAATTACACAGAGTGATAATTCCGTTACACCATTTAAGTAATTACAGAACTATTGACTTTACTTCAAATCTTTCTCTGACTACCAACTTAATTACACTTCTGCGCATTCAAATAATCTTTTCAATTACCCTCTCCTTTCCCCTATAGATCTATGAACTGAAAAACCACCCCTCAATTCTTCCCCATCAAGAATCTTGTGAATTATTTACAATCTTATTTGAAGCAGAGTGAAAATCTCCTCCTCAAAGTGAAACTTTCAAACCCGACAGAGGTAAAAAAAAACTCTCAATAAAGCTTCATATTTTTTATGTGGCAATTTTCGGAAAATGCGATGAAATTTTTAAACCGTAAAATGCGAACATCTTTGTCATTGTTGAAAATCAGCACAAAACTTTTCACCACCGACACAAAACATCTCTTTCGCTCATCAACACACCTTTTCTTCACAAGTCCTCAGAGATAAAATGAAGAGGATTTTCTCATTTACACCCATTCTCTCGTTTTCCACCTGTCTTTCCTCTGTGTTCGCCTGAAGATGAATTCACATTTTGCAACAAAACATTTCCATTTTGCCCAACTATATACACATATATATATATATGTATTCTATATAGCCAAAAGTAATGTGTGCAAATCATACGCACAAGGTTTTTGAGAAAACTTTCGAGTACTCATAAAAGTTTTCTTCAATGGAAGATGGGGAAAAAATTGATTGCAGCAATTGCCCAAGATGAAGCGCAATACTTCCATTCTTCTTCGCCTTCCTTCTACTTTCCCGAAGGGATTTTTCCCTCTCTTATCATTTTTCAATGGGGTTGAAAAACCCTTCAATTGATGTTAATCATTTCAAGCAGGAGTGGAGTAATAACTTGCAATGAATAGCGCGCCACCCCCCATTTTACTGCCCACTTTGTGGCAATACACTCAACAAGAAAAATTTGCTGGCATCGCCACTGATAGAGAGAGAAAGGAAGAGAGAAAGAAGTGGAATTGATGTGATACATTTAGGACTTTTATCGATTTTTTCCCTTATGTGCCTTCAACACAGGACAAAATAGGTTAAGAAGAAGTCACTATTTTTGCTTCATGTGCCGCACAGACTTGAGTAACACACAAATTATATTTACTGATAAATTAAGTTGCACGGCCGTAACTGAAACGCTATCAATTCCACCGTCTTTTCCTCTCTGTCTCACTCTTCAATGTCTTACACATACATCAATGAACTCTCTATGCAGTGTAATTAGCACAAATTTACCTGATTCGCCTTGTTAATTTGCTTCTTGAGTCCTGCAAACGCCATTCTCAGTTGCTGTGGGAAGATACACTCTTGTCAAGACCAAAGATTCCACGCTCACCACACGCTGTGTGCTTTCCCGACAATTTTCCTCCGCTTCTCACTCTCCACAATTTGTCTCCCTGCCGAGAGAGAGAGAGACTTGTGCGTTGGATTCCTTGAGTATCTTCTGATGCCTTCACGACCAACTCTCGTGTCGCACAGTCTGTCTTGTCGCTCTCTGGAAGACAAAGCAAATACAATACAGTGTGTAAGTTATACTTAATAAAACCATCATATATTGGATAATGGCACGAAGGCAAGGGTTGGCAAATGAGCGCAAACGAGTGAAGATTTTACGCCAGTCCAGAGGTCAATTGAATATGTGTAATTGATTGATTGTGTGTTTTTTTACAACCTCCTCTAAGCAAATTATATCATTTCACACCACCACAGTTCTCAGTCTCAGCAAACTGTCTGAATTTCTGATTATACATCCTACTTCTCTCTCTCTCCCTCTCTTTCTCTCTGTTTTCTGACCACACAAGAAAGAAAACTAGCAGAATGTGAGGCGAATAAGTTTTTTTAGGGGGGAAACAACAACACTTTCTCAATATCCAATCTCAAAAGCTCCACAATATCTCAAGTGCAGACGCGCCAGTCTCATTTTCTTGTTCTACTGACCATCTTGGGCGCCTCCTCCAGAGCATCTGGCATTCTTTTTACCGCGTGTGCGCCTCTATAATTTCAATCACCAACACACAGGCTGAGAAACAATATATTGAACGGCCAAAATTTGTTGTGAGTGAAGAAGAGGACATAAAAATAGATCATATCATTTTGCCAAAAGAAAAAAAATCAACGACAGGGGCTCACAAGTCACACATTTTGCAAACATCCATAACAAGCAACATCCAAAAAAGCTCCATAAAAGCTACGAAATCGCCTTCTTGCCCACACACACAGACAACAAGCAGTTCAATTTCTCCATGGCAGCGAAAGAGTCAAGAAGAGCCCGAAACGATAAAATCCTGCAAATTCCCTTATCAATGCCATCGTCACCCACTCAAGGATCGTGAACTCTGTGCGAGCGCGTGGGTGTTTCCAGAGCGCTTCCGACTACCAACAACCCCACACACTTTCACAAGCAACGCCAACGCACCGTGAAAATGGCTGAGAGAGAGAGAGAGAAATATCATTGGAATAATTACGAGGAAAACTTCATCAACACAGTCAAATGATTAAAGGAGCGGTGAAATTGAAACTGTGATGCAGACATTTTCCATTTCCATCTCCCTTCGCTCGTCTACCCGTGATATATATTGGGGCATATTCAATCACACGGATTTACTGGTACTAAACTGAATTTTAATTGAGTCTCTCTGCAAAGCAGCTTAAGCATTCAAATTGAAATGATTCACATGGACGAATATTTTGCACGTCAAATGCGAACAATTATATTGCGATGTCAAATCCTCATCAAGTGGAAATATTTGTCAGAAAAAACGTTCAAAAAAGGATGCACAAGTGCGTAAAAAGCATCAGTAAAAGTTTTTTTCCTGTGAAATTATTATTAATATTTTCCCTATTTGCAATGAAATCCATTTTAATCCCAGATGTATCATAGAAGTACGTTTCCCTGAAATCCGGTGATGGAAATGTTGTAATAATAAGGCATAATTCTCATTCTCTCTAAATTCTGTTGTTCACATAAATTTTTCTATGCAAAAGGCTGCAGTTTAAGCTGTGATTCTGATATATCATATAATATTTTCCTATCATTGTTATATTCCAATCAATATCGATTGATATTTTTAACCTATAGGTTAAACTCATTCAATACATATTATTTCTCATATTTCAATTTTCCCTGTAATTTCATAAAAAGAACCATTCAAAATTGCCTGCAAAATCACCCTCAATGGTTTGATGTACCAAAAATACCACGAGATTCAATAAAATCATTGGCAATGTATTAAATTTCGTCATTACATAAATAAAATAGCGGGGTTGTCAGGATAAAATCAATGAATGAAAACTTTGGGTGGTTGTAATTTGATGTCATTAATTATTGTGTTGTCACAAATATGTGTTGGAAACTGGCAGAAATTCTCAGAGACAATAGAAAGAGTGAAAGACATTCTCACCCACTCCTTCAGCCCAGTAATTGGTTTAGAGTGGTTCAACAGGACGAAGAAACGCTCATGAAGAAATCTCCGGAGGAATTCTGTGAGATATTTCAGTGATTCTCGCCTCGATTTCAGTTGAGCCTGAAGAAGTCCTCACACTATATATCGATTGAATGGCATTAGTTTCACATGCCATGGGAAAATTTAGGTCAATTCCAAACTGAGTTTTTGGCATGTGAGAGAGTTGAAGATCGACAGGAAGGTGAAACAATGGAGCATTTTGGTGGAAAATCCAACTCTAAATTATTCATCATCACCAATTGAGAGCATCACAATGTGATTTTCCTCTGCGAGCTGAGCCCTCTTTTCCTCTCATCTTTCACATCACCATTTTTCCTTCTTTCACACGAGGTGCCGCCGAGTCTGGCCCCAGAGAAGACGTGGAAAATTAATAGTGGGCAAAAATCATAGAGATTCTGCGTCTCCAGTGGAGAAATTTTCCATCACACACAATATCGGCCCAGTTGTGCCATCGACCATTGCGGAAAGCTCATTTTTACGTCCTTTAACTTGACCTACAAAGCAGACAAGAGTACACAATTTGACATTCATCGTGGAACGCACAATTGCCCAACTTCCTCTCCTGCGCACACACTTTATCGTCAAATCCTCGCCCCAACCGAAAAATTCACCCTCATTCGCCGCCACCCTCCCAAAAACACACACACTCTTTCTCTCGCTCCCCTTTCTTCTCTCTCCCCCTCATGGAAAAATTAGAGAGAATACGAGAAATTTTCCATCCCATCACGATTGTGTTGTGGAAATTGAAAAATATCCCCAATGCGTGAAATGAATATTAAATTGATATCGGAGAGACTCAGAACAGGGGATAAAATCCAACCTCATGGAAATGCACTTAACCCAACAATTTAATTACAACATTCTGAGAAAGAAAAAAACAATAACTTCTGCAGAGGAAACTTCTGGCCAATGTGTAAAGTTATAACATTGTGCCTCTGCACAAAGTGATAAGAAGACTTGTATTTTTCGCACTTGTCCGCGATAAGCGCACTGGCGAGTGTTTCCTCTCTCTCTCGGCGGGTGCAGACTTCTGAAAAACATGCCAATTCCTTGAAGAATCATCGCAAGTGAGTTTTTATAAGAATTGGAGAGAAATCTCAGCATTGAGATTGAATTACAGAGAATATTTAATCCATCATTCAACCGCTCACAATTGATTCGAAAAAAAACTCTGTAAATTTTATGCTGTTTTTGCGTGATTTGCGATAAGAGTTCGGATAGCATTTGCAGAAAATCACAAAAGGGGCGGATGAGTAAATAAACAATGCTTTCTTGTGATGCCTGGGCAAGAAGAAATCAGATAACAGAAATTGAAAATTTGCATTTCAATATGCAGAAGGTCGAGTTTAATAGTAATATTTTAGCTGAAAGTATACGATAAAATTAGCCTTATAGATTTTAAAATAAGTGCACAGAAGTGAAATTCAATATACATACAGAAAATAAACTCTGTTTTCTAACCTAATTTAAGGGTTAAGGCTTGAACGAGAGCATTTAAGGTCAAACTATTCTTTTATTAAATGCCTTTGTTCGTATATTTTTCTAATTTTTTACTTACAAAATGCGTCAAAGCAATATTATCTTAAGCCCCACCCATTCTTAAGCTCCGCCCCTCGAAAACAGCGTTTCCAATCATCAAATCCGCTAGTTTCAGAGCACCAGAGCTTAAATCCCATCATTTTGTCAATCTAAAAAAACATTTATTATCTTCAAAAAGTACTTAAAATCTTGTTTGTTCACTCAGTGCTTGTCTTTGTATAGAATTTCTTAAAGACTCTCTTATCGTTTCACTTCATTTGCCTGGTCACTAGCCTTGATTCTATTACAATTGTTTTCAACAGCCCTTCTTCTGGCGCCGATTTTGGGCCTTTCTGTGCCGAACTTTTCCACCCCTTGCTCGAGGCAGGCGCGCCGTGACCTTGACGGTGGAGATGGGGTGCTTCTGCTGCCAAATTTTCCACCAAAATGTCCCCAAATCTGGCCTCACATCAAGTGAGATTTCCCAAGAGGTCTCCCAGGGTTTCCCATGCAATTCCATTTCCAAAGGGGTGAAGCCCTTTTGGGGCCGAGACTGTCTTGCACAATATCTTGCGTCATCCACCCCCATTTTTTCTCTGGAAAAGCCACCCCCTCCCCAAATGTCTCGCTGCCGCTAAAGTGACCAGAAAAAGAGGCAGAAAAATGAGTAGAAATAAGGTCTCATTTTCTCAAACTCGCAATCTTATCACAGTCGGCCCATCATCACACGGGAGGCTCCACGAGTGAGACCCGCCGAGTGTCGCCCCAGGTGGGAGCGAGAGGGCAACAGCCAAGCGCTCTCCCCAAATTAGCCAGACGGCCAAGCCCCGCGAGCGCCCCCTTGGGGCCCGCTTCCCAGCCACTTACAGCGTCAACTCCACTATTCACTGTATCCACACAGCTTGGGGCGGTGGTTGCACAACAGTTTCCCACACGATCGCGCAGAGAAGCGACTTTTTCGCACTGTTTCAATTTTCACGGGAAAAACGCGAGCAACGCACAACAATCGCCATTGATCGCCATTGGCTGACTGCGTTGTCAAACGCAGGACCGATTTCAACCGAGCACACCAGCGCCGCCGTGTGGCCGGGGTGCGCACAATTTCGACGAGTGGGGAAATTTTAGTCCAGAAATGCGTGCGCAAAAGAGGGAAAATCGACCATTGGCTGGGGTAAGAGATTTATTAGCTATACCTATGAATTTCCAGCAATCGATTCCATGGCCTTTTGTAGTGCCTGTCCGAAGGATTTCACGTAGAGTGGCGAGATGTCTGTGAAGAGAGCGTAGGGAGTCTCGTAAATCCTCGAATTGTCCTCAATTTCCGGATTCACAGTGTCAAACTCCTCGCCAACAATGCGAAATCCCATGGCAGACACGCATATGCAGAGATTTTTATCCTCCAGAGTCGTGGCGTTCAAGTAAATTCGACTACTCTTTGATTCCAGTCGCTGAGACACTTCGACAGTCTTCAAGTGCGCCTTCACATCGTGCACAATTGCAGCGGCTTCCTGCTGCCAATCCATCAGCTCCTCAGAATCCCACATTTTACTGAAAACAGTTCTGTTTACACTTTTCACAACTACTCACCACTGTGGTGAATTGGGTTGACAGCCGGTTTTGGTGCGTGAACTGTGTGGCCAGAAGAAGTGAAATCCGAAGAAATGACTGCTTTTGAGGGTAAGAAACACTCTATTATCTTCACAATCCTCTCTTAATACAGTATATTTACATTTGCAATGCAGAATTTGGCGTTTTGCCGGAAATTGGACGCGCCGTGGATGAAATGGAGTGGACTCTCCCCACAGACGTCCAGGCAGAAGCGATTCCCCTGATCCTGGGCGGTGGAGACGTCCTGATGGCCGCTGAAACTGGCAGTGGAAAGACCGGAGCCTTCTGTCTGCCAATTCTGCAGATTGTGTGGGAGACACTGAAAGATATCGAAGAGGGGAAGGGTAAAAAAGGCGCCACGGCATCCGGAACCACAGCGAAGCCCTGGACAATGTCCTTCTTCGATCGTGGCAACGCCTTGGCAGTCTCTCCGGATGGATTTAAGTGCCAATCGAGAGAATTCAAGGAGTGGCACGGCTGTCGGTGCACGACTGGTGTTCAAGGTGCCGGAAAGTACTTCTTCGAGGCGACTGTGACGGATGAGGGACTCTGCCGTGTGGGCTGGGCCACCCAGAAGGCCAATCTCGATCTGGGCACCTGCAAGTTTGGCTTTGGCTTCGGCGGTACGGGCAAGAAGTCAAACAACCGACAATTTGATGACTATGGAGAGGCTTTTGGCATCAACGATGTGATTGGATGTCTTCTGGATCTCCAGGCGCATGAGGTGCGTTTCATAAAGAATGGAAAGGATCTGGGAGTGGCGTTCAACGTGCCCGATTTCTTGCGCACCGAGACTTTCTATCCGGCTGTTGTGCTGAAGAATGCCGAGATGCTGTTCAACTTTGGCGAAGAGGCTTTCAAGCATCCGCCAGCACAAGGATTTGTGGGTCTGGTGAATGTGGAGAAGAAGTGCGTGAAGAACAACCCTCTGGCTGCTCCCACGGCTGCTGCACTGGAGGATGCCAAGCCCAAGCCGAATGCTCCGCAGGCCATAATCATTGAGCCATCACGGGAATTGGCTGAGCAAACTCTGACGCAGATCACGAAGTTCAAGCGACACTTGAAGGATCCCCTGATCAGTGAGCTCCTGCTGATCGGTGGGGTGAACGTGAGGGATCAGATGGCTGTCCTCGAGCGGGGCGTGGATATAATAGTGGCGACGCCCGGACGTCTTGAGGATCTCATTGGCGGTGGCTATTTGCTGCTGTCGCATTGCAGATTCTTCGTGCTGGACGAAGCCGATGGACTGCTGCAGCAGGGCTATGGCGACATGATCGATCGGCTGCACAAGCAAATACCCAAGATCACAGCCGACGGCAGGCGGCTACAGATGATCGTGTGCAGCGCCACGCTGCACTCGTTCGAGGTGAAGAAGATGGCTGAGCGCCTGATGCACTTCCCCACCTGGGTGGATCTCAAGGGCGAGGACGCGGTGCCGGAGACTGTGCATCATGTGGTGGTGAAGGTAGATCCCCAGAGGGATACCGCGTGGCACAGCATGCGCCAGCGCATCCAGACTGATGCTGTGCACGCCCAGGACAACGTGAGGCCGGGAAACAGTACGGCGGAGACTCTCTCGGAGGCAGTGAAGATCCTCAAGGGTGACTACTGCGTGAAGGCGATTGAGGAGCACAACATGGATCGTGCCATTATTTTCTGTCGCACGAAGCTGGATTGCGACAACCTGGAGAGGTACTTGAAGCTGGCGGGCGGCCAGAAGTACTCGTGCGTGTGTCTTCACGGCGACCGGAAGCCGCAGGAGAGGAAGGCCAACCTGGAGGCGTTCAAGGAGAAGCGAGTGAAGTTCCTCATCTGCACTGATGTCGCGGCCAGAGGCATTGACGTCTCTGGGCTGCCCTTTATGATTAACATCACGCTGCCGGACGAGAAGTCCAACTACGTGCATCGTATTGGGCGCGTTGGCAGGGCCGAGAGAATGGGTCTGGCCATAAGTCTGGTGGCGTCGGTGCCGGAGAAGGTGTGGTACCACGGCGAGTGGTGCAAATCTCGCGGCAGAAATTGCTGGAACACGAATCTCACTGACCAGAGAGGCTGCTGCGTGTGGTACAACGAGATGAACTACTTGGCGGAGATCGAGGATCACCTGAATATCACCATTCCCCAGGTGGACAAGGACATGAAGGTGCCTGTGAATGATTTCGACGGGAAAGTCGTGTACGGCGAGAAGCTGAAGAATTCCGGCACGGGATACAAGGATCACGTGCAGCAGCTGATTCCTGTGGTGCAGCAACTCTCGGATCTCGAGTCACGCGCCCAGGTGCTCTTCCTCAAGCACCTCCCAGTGCGATAAATAAAATACTCCCCTCACGGAATAAAAAGCCCAGGAATCCCACAATATCATAATTCTCTATTGACACTCTAGCACTTTCCGGACACACAGATCAATAGGCATCCACACGGGGCGCCTTGGCGTAGTGCTCCTCGCTGCTGCGCTCGCCCTTCCACCACTGACGGTGCCTCTCGCTGCGCATGGCGTGGAAGCGCAGGATTTGCTTCTTCCTGCCCACGCACTCCTGGAAGTCGTGAATCAGATCGGCACACTTCAGTCGCCCTCTGTCCGTTCCGTACGCCTCCAGGCACTCCATCATATCAATCTCCCTCTCGCCGCACTTGTCGTAGTGCTGGCAATTGGGGATGGACGCCGTGAGGTCCGTGAAGATATTCCGCAAGAATGGTTGCCCAGACATCCTGGATTCTCGAGATTTTCACAAGGAAAAAATTTCTTATTACGCCACTTCACCTCGAGCAATCTGACAGCCCAGCAGTGGTGCCAATACTGCGGGAAATTTGAATCTCCCGAATGAGAATAACGGCCGCGAGTAAAACAAAGTCAACTTCTCTTCTGTTAATTTATTAATATTTGTGGCTTTTTCTCAAATACAATTTTCTTGTATTGATCATTTCTTGCATTTATCGATTATATTCTGAGGTATTGACACATATAGAGAGCGAACTCACAATATTTTTTTTAACAAAATTACAACCAGCATCACATCACTCTACTATTTAGACTTTTTTACACGTTTCCTTCTCATTTCTCGCCTCTAACTTTTCTCTTTTTCTCGCTTACAGGGATGAAAATCAAAAGTTTTTTTTGTCACAAGAAAACCATCAGTTCAGTTTTCCACGTGTCATTCCATAATTTTACGACATTTAAGGAGGATTGTTGAAGTTCGGTGTGGAATTACTGTGTGTGTGTGTGTGTGTGTATTTTAAAAGAAAAATCTTCAATTCTCTCTCTTGCCTTTCCCTCTTCATTTCCCTTCTGTCTAATTTTTCTCCCATTCATAGTTTTGTTGTTGTTCTTGTTGTTTATTGTAAGTTAACTTCTCGGCTAGGAAAGGTGCAAATTATCACTATTGTATCCTTTATGATTAACTCTTCCGTCATTTCTTCATTTCTCTACACTTTACAAACTTCTGTCATTGATCATAAATCCAGAAAAAAAACCCTCCTTAATACAAAATGATTTTTACAAAAAAAAGCGTGCTTTTCTACTAATTAAAAAATCACTGTTCTTTTTGTAAGTCACTTGGCAAAAAAGTCTCTCAAAAAAAAAACGCAAAAATCGGTTTTACAGTGAAAATTATACAAAAAAAAAAGATCTTCAGCGTTAAAGCGCTCGCATTTCTCTTCTATTGAATCTCAACCTCTCGTCATTTTTCTTTCTCTCTGAAGTAAATTAATAATTAAAAATAATAATAAATAACACTAAACAAAAGTCTGTTTCTTCAGTTTTTCCACATCTTCTTCTTCTTTTCTTGTTTTTTTTAGTCTATAATTTATATCACAAAAGTTAAATGAAAAAATAAAATTCATACAATAATTTCATTTTTTTCTCCACTCTCATTTCGCTTTTTCTTCATTCTCTTTTCTTATTTTTCTTTCTTCATCTCTTCTTGTTTCGCATTAAACGCAATTCATACCATTTTTTTGTCGTCTCAAGTGTATCTCAAATGAGTATTTTTTTTTTAAATTCATTTATATATATAATAAAGACCATTTCAATATTGAAGTGTTACAATAAAAAAATATTTCTTGGACAGTGTGGATATTTTTCCTTTTCATCTTCTTTTCGTGTGTTGTGAGTAAATTTTCAATCACGCGCTCTAAATAAAATGGAAAATGTTAAAAGAAAAAAAGCACAAACTACTAATTCGTGAACAAAAAAAAAAAACTAGCATATCTCGAAAGAATACAAATCAGTCAAATTGAGTTGAACATTGTTGGTTGATTCGTGAATAGAATTAATCCATTTCTCCCTCAGCTCTTATCAATCATTTCCTAATGTTTCTCTTTCTCTCTCTCTCTCTGTTTTCAACAGTTGCAGCCGGAGAAATTGAGTGGGTGACGAAGGAATTAAAGAATAAGCACAAATCGTTGGAGAACAGAAACTTATAATATAACATTTCTTCGGATTTTGTCGATTCCTTCCTTTCTTTCTCTTTCTTACCCCAAATTTTTTTCACATCATAATTCCTGTTTTTCTCAACTGTCCTCGCAATTGTGAATGAAGAAAAAATCATACATACGTACCTCATCTCTCTCTCTTTCTCACTCTCTCGCGCGCGCGCGCGCAATCGCTGATAAATGATCCTCAGCTTTAGTGTTCAGATGGAAGATTGTTGGGGAATCTCCTTTACACCACGCGATCCAGTCAGGCCTCCGTGCCGCCCACGAGGGACGAATTCTTGGGCGTGTACGCCGTGGCATTGGGATCAAGATTCGACGAATTGCCACCCATGTTGCCCACGCCAGGCGCCTCGCGCTGCTGCTGAACGCAATTCGACACACCCTGACTGGCCGCCGTCAGTTGGCAGATGATCGACGGCGCGCCGAGGCCCATCTGCACCTGACTCGGACTCTGTTGCGCCATGATCAGCGGCGGTGTGTCATTGAGGCGCAACATTGAGCTGCCGGCTGACGAATTGGGCGTCAAACTGAAGGATTCCGTCGGCATGGCCGGCATCACGGCCAGCAATTGAGCAATCTTCCCCTTCAGCTCCAGCATCTCCTTCTCCATGCTGCGAATCAGTGCTGCAAAAGGACACACAGAAACCGAAATCAAAAATCACCTCCAATCATCAAAGCCAATCACTCTACTCACAATCCTTTATGTCCACTTCACGTCGCGCCTCGCCGAGTGCAGAAAACAAGTCCAATTTAAATCTCGTCTCAGCTGACAAATTCTTCTCCAGCGTCGAATTCTTATCCTGCATCGCCGCCAATGCTGACATAAGCATCTCTGTGCTCTGCTGAGCGTCGCGATTTCTCATCTCTGCCTCCAATTTGCGAATCTGTCACACAAAAAAAACAAACACACACAAACAATAATGCATTGCACTTCATCATGTTTGCAGAGGAATTTACCTCATCTTCATATCTTCTGTTCTGCTGTTCACTACTCTTCCTCTGCTCATCGGTTGTTGACAATTCACGTCTTAAGCGTCCAGCTTCGGACTCCAAATGTCTCTTCTTCATCTTGCACGATTCGCCACATTCAGTTCTATGTGAAAACAATGAATTTGTCAGTGCGTTAACATAAACTCCCAAAGACAGATACTCACAATTTAGCCGCTTTCTCTTCAATCTTCACACGAATCTTCCGCTCATTAGTCAATTGGGCTTCCAAGGCGAGTCGCTGACGGCGCTCCTCGCCGAGCCTCTTCTCAGCATTCTGCAAATTCTGCCTGTCCACGTGCCTCGAGTTGTTGAGATCTTGAATCCTATAAAGCCAAACAATTAGGCATTTGATGATTCAGCAAACATTCCACTTCACTCACTTCTTCTCCAGCTCATCATTCTCCTTCTGCTTGGCCTGCAGACAAGACTTGATGGTCGCCCCAGAGTCCACTTTCTGCCTCAGATCGTGCTCCACTTGTCTCATGTGCCCCATATCCGATCGCATCTTCTTCACCTCACCCTCGAGTCGCAGACACGATTCGCACACCTGCGGCAGCGTCTGTGACGTCTGACTGTGATTCTGTGCACTCTGGCCACCACTCTCCATGCCATTCACATGCTGCTGATGATGATTGTCCCGCGCTGAGTCCTTTTGCTTGGCGCGATTCCTTTTCTTGCCCCGCTCCATGGTCACATCCGCCTCCTGTTCGCTGCAATTGTAATTGATGCCACCATTCTGTTGTACTCTGTTGCTGCTGCTCTGTGATGATGATTTTGTCGATGATGGCGATCCGTCGCCAGCACTCTGTCCATTCGGTTCTGGACTATTGTGTATTATGGATCGGTGATCAGTCTTTGTGTTCTGCTCTCTGTCGCGCTCACGCGACGATCCACCAGACAGACTGTCACTCGATGAACGCGTCACATCCTTCGTGGCCGCCGCGGCGGAATTATGCGTGGAAGATGATGCGGAAGAGCACGGCTGCTGCTGATGATATGACGTGTGATGAATGGATGATTTACTACTACTATGATTGTTAAGATCACATTTGCTGCTCGCATCCGCAGTGCTGTTCCTCTTGCCATGTCCACGGCCACCCGGATAGCCACTCGCCACGCTGCCGTTCGACGACGCTGACGCGCCCACGGCATGACCATTCGACTGGCTCGACGTCACTGTGACTATGCTGAGCGCCTTCGGTGGACTCTTGGCGCCGCTGCCACTGCTGCTCCTCGTCACGTCGCCATTGTTGATCGTCGTGGTCGTGGTCGTGGTCGTCGTCGACGTCATCGTCGTCGTCGTCGCGGCAGCCGTCACACTGATGCTCTCCGTCAGCGCTATCGCGTCCTCGGCGGGCTCCTCCTGCGGCAGCGCCTGCTGCAGCAGTTGCATGTAAAACTCATTCTCCTTCGCCACCTCGCGCTGCTTTCGCTGGCGCATCCGGAAGCCGACGTAGCTCTTGAAGCCGAAACCCAGTGTCACCACTGGATAGCCAATGCTGTCGAGAGAGACACAAGGAGAACAATTAACACATGAAATTGGACAGTTTGGGTTAGAGAAGAGAGTCTTCATGTGGAACAACGTAAAAAATGCAAATTTGCCTGAATATCAAGTTTGAGAACCACATCATCTCTTCATTTTGAAAAACATACGCCGTCACAACTCACCAATGGGCAGCAAAAGGTCGACAGAGATCCAAATGTGGCATATGTCGACTGTCTTTCCAGCGAACTGCACCCTCAATGTACAGGAAAAGCATCCACAGCACGATTGTCGGCAAGCAAATGCCCTTTTCTGCAAAAGAAAATCATCGTGTGAAAATCCAACTGGACTGTCTCACTTCTTCTCACCTGTGTGCCACACATATTGTACCCAAACGTATGTGCTTGCTGCAAAAAACAGCCAGTGGACTGGTATAAAAAATAAACATATGAGATCCGATGTGATGGCGATGCACACAAAGAGAACGGAAAAAGCCTACAGAGAGAGAGATAATATGATGACATCAAATACTCTTTCATCAGGGAAGGAGGATTGCAAGTCCTCAGATTGAGTGACACAACAACTCACCAGTCCCTTGTACTTGAAAGAGTCATGAACGGAACGGAGAAGCAGCCAGAACGGCCAGAGAAACTCAAAGCGGAATTCCAACATGAAATCGGCTGTAATCACAATGGCCCACAGTAACAGGAACTTGATGTACAATATTGTATTGCTGCAAGAAGAAGAAGGAAAGGATGATCTCATGTGCATTAGACAATTCACTTCTTATCTCTGCAAAAACCGCAGAAACACACACACACATACACACATGCAACCACACATAATGTCGCGAGGGGAGAAAGGTGTGTTATCAATGGTATTAATAGGTAATGTTTGTGGTGAGACAATTCACATCTCTTGGCGTTGGCGAATGTTAACAAAAAGTAGGTGAATTATGCAATTATTTGTGCACGCGCTGCATTTCAGCCTCTTCTCCTCTGCCTTGGTGAACTTGAGCTCTTGTCGCACACTCACTTTTCGGCCACAAGAAGGATTGCAGATGATTTTCTCATCACACCAATTATTGTGCTTCATCGACACTTGAGCCCTTCAGTGGCCACAACAGCTATTGTCATCGTCAGACTGACGGTCAATGTGACCAAATGTCGTGAAGCAAAGTAAAAACCACAGAAATTTAATATAAGTCGAATGGGTGAAAATTCTCAATTACATGTGTGATGTTTAAACCCTAATACAATGGTTAAGATTGTTTACCACATCACAATTTCACAAAGAATGACTCTATAAATACAAATATAAGTACTTTGATTCCTCAAAAGTACTGAAATAATTTAGCTGTGATCTTCTTTTCTCTCTTTATGAACTCTTATTTGCTTCCCATAGAATCCCATGTCTTATAAGACGATGCAGTCTTATTGTTGCATTTCGACTTCTTCCCATGGAATTTCACAGTGTGTTTCACGCATTTTGACGGCCCCCGTGCCCTGTCCACGCTCTACTCGCACTCTTGCGCCCCTCAGCGCGTTCCCGCGCCAAAGGGGGTCACGAAGGATGGCTCGCGAGGCCACAGCAGCGGAAACTTCGGCGGCAGCTGCGACAGCTGTTGCAGCAATTGCCTCTGAAGGGGGCAAGGGAGGTGGGGAAAGGCACCCGATACAGCCGGGAGGCGCTGCTGGAGCGCAAAGACGCCGCGTGCACGCGGCCAACGGTGCGGAGTGCCTCTGATACGCGATGGGAAGAGAATTTTGATACTGAAACAGCCATTTTGGTAGGAAGAGCACACAAGGAAGCCTCAACAAACTCCCCGTCAACATAGTCACGGCACTCCGCCAGCGTTGCACAGCACACGCCCCCCGCGACACAGCAGCTTGTGCCCCATGCGCGCACAGGCCCTGTGAGAGCATCGCGGAGACCGCGCGAGGACGATATGTGTGAAAAAGGTAGCGTTCTTTACCTTCCGTACATTCCTTCCGTGATTTTATTGCGTTTTATGGGGCGCCTCAATTTACAATCGGCATTTCTTCTCTTCATCGCTTATTGTGGGGTGTTTATCGCTCGATTTTCCACAGTTTGTTGCCTCCAGAATGCACTTTTGACGCCAAAACCCCGCTTTTCTTGCCTTTTTCTCCCTATTTTCTTCTTCGCACTTGTCACTTTTTGTCAGAAAACTGCGTAGGCAGCGCCACTATCGTGCTGCGGAATTGCAAAGCAGCAGAGAGCGCGCAAGAGTTGCTCAGAGGTGTCGCTGCAGTATCTCTCTTCTCTGGCAACCCGCTTGCTTTCACTTTGCGTTTTTTATTATTTCCTCGCTTTTTTACCGCGTTTCCGTGAAAAATACTGGCAGGAAAGATGTCTTTTGGCGACGTGAATACACCCAAGGGCCTTGGTGAGCTCAACAAACACCTGGCAGCGAACAGCTACGTGGTTGGGTAAGGATTTTAGGTGTTTTTGTGCTTCTGAGGTTATGTCCACGTGGATGATCGCTCTTTGCAGGTACACTCCATCCAAGGCGGATTTGTCGGTATTTGAGGCCCTCGGGAGCAATCCCGGCGAGAAGTTCGTGCACGTCCAGCGCTGGTACCGTCACATTGCCTCTTACACGCCGGCGGAGCGCAGCAAGTGGGGCGGTCAGGCTGTTCCTCAGGTGTCCGGAGGGCAGCCCACTGTGGCAAGCAAGGCGGCGGACGATGACGATGATGTGGACCTGTTCGGATCGGACGAGGAGGATGATGCCGAGGCGGAGCGCCTTAGGGAGGAGCGCGTGAAGGCGTATTCGGAGAAGAAATCAAAGAAGCCAGCCTTGATCGCCAAGAGCTCAATTCTGCTGGATGTGAAGCCGTGGGACGATGAGACTGACATGGCGAAGATGGAGGAACTGGTGCGCACCATCGTGATGGACGGCCTCGTGTGGGGCGCCTCGAAGCTCGTGCCCCTCGCGTACGGCATCCGTAAGCTGCAGATCATGTGCGTGATCGAGGATGAGAAGATTTCCGTGGATCTTCTGCAAGAGAAGATCCAGGAGTTTGAGGACTTTGTCCAGTCCGTCGACATTGCCGCCTTTAACAAGATCTAGGAATGATGAGATGCTCATTAAAGATGCTCTTGCTGCACAGAAATTTAATCGTGACTTTGAACTTAAGCGTTGATCTTTGCCTGAGTCCTTCGTCTTCACTTTCTCCAAGGAGAATCATTGGCTGGGTATCATAACAGACGCACCAGGTACGCTATTAGTCAGAGAAATGATGACAGTTTCAGAATATAAGACAAAGAGAAACAATAATCGCGATCTTAACGCTTCTTATTTCCATGTCTTCATCTTCGCTGCTCTTCTTATTGGAAAGCAGGCGAAGAAAGCATTTCTTATTAGATGTCATTGACTTTAATTTCATATTACACTTTGAGCAACTTTACCTCTGGCACTCATTCTCCAAATAAGACGTGTTAATCTTCAAGAGATTCTTGTAAGAATGCTTTTAATGCACTTCAGAACCCATTCAGAACGCACGCAAGTCTTTGAAAGTCTCAAAAAGCAGGTAAAATAAACGTGATGTCATATGAAACAGTTTGATGATCGCTTCAGATCAATCGCAATCAGAGATGCTTTAACAACTCTTTGTCATGCTTGCAAATTGACCTCAAAAGCTCATCTCAGGCGCTCATTGTCCTTTTCCACAGTCGCGCAAGTCATTCAATCCAGCGCAGATGATCGCAGCCGAGTGTCACTGAGTGTATCGCCTTATCGGCTCGGCGTTTTGTCTCTGGAGAGTGGGGATCGCGCGATCTCATATAAATGTTAATCGTTCTGCTGACCAGTTCGCAGTTGATTTTTGCTAATCCCACGGACAGTATTCGAGGCGTGCGCCGCAGAGTGGCATTCTTGTGTCCCCCGTTTGTGTTCTTTCACTGTGCCCAAAGTCAAGAAACTCCAACGCTATGTGCACCTCCTCCCGGTGGATAATCTGCGCTCTCCTGCTGGCCGCGATCGCGCTGGCCAACGCGGATGTGTCGCATGTTGGTGAGTGTGTTGTTCTCAGAAGGTCTTGTCGCCGATTGAATAATTCATGTTTGACGACAGAGGATGGCTTTTTTGGTGGCGATACTCCGTATTCGCGCGTGGTTTTCTCATTTTATTATATCAGCGATATTAATGCAATTGACATTGGACTTGAGGTATGTTGGGTGAGAGTGTGGTGTTGACCACACATGGCCGAAAAAGGTGGGAGACGCGAACTCTTGCGATGGTGAGAAACAAGGCGGAGACATTGTGATCCCAAGTGGTGTACAGTTGAAATTCCAGTAAAATACCAATTTTACTGCACTTCTTTGAATCCCCTTTGTATGGTTTTGTGTGCAAAACTGGGCAGATAAACTCCAGAAACATAAATTCCTAAGCTTGGTCTGCTTAAGAAATATTGAGAGAATCTAGAAATTCGCCTAATCTTACGCAAATAACAGCTGGAAACTTGCAATTATCTCGCAATTGAAATAATGCAAAGCAGAAATCTTAGTTTAGAACATGATAAGTAAGAAATAAATATACCAACAGTGCAATACTGAAGAAATGCACCAGTCTATAAGTGGTGTACAATTTGTAGTCATATTATCGCCCCTTTGGTGAAAAACATCAAAACCGGATTTTCTCGTGAGTCCCGTGATTTGGCTGCGCTGGAAAGCCATGTGAAGACGCTGCTGGGCAGTGTTTTGGGGCCTTGACGCGAGGGAAATCTCAATATCTCTGCCGTGACGCCAGAGATGACCAGGCGTGCGATGGTGATCTCAAGCAGTGACCTTTGGGGAGTTGCACAGATTGATGGCTTATTTATTCAGCGCGACAAAATTTGGAGATTCTCAGGGTAGAGGAACAAAAGACTGTTAGGAATGTGAGCAATTTCCGCAAATTCTGATTTATGGCTGTGCTTGGAAAGTTTTGTAAACACCACTAAAAATCTGATCGTCAGCGAAGCCTTGAAAAGCTTAGCGTCCCATTGGATGCAGAGTGCTAAAGATCGCTATTTTATAAATAAATCTACGAGATGTGTGTTTTTTCCCCTCTAATGGAAGAAAAGAGTTTAATTGAATCGCAAAACATCCCCAAGATTGCTTCTTTGTCCAGAGAGCTTGGAAGGAAGCCCGCGCACTTGCTAATTGTTCCGCTAATGAGGAAATAATTGCCACCATTGTTAATCTCTCAATCCAATATCTTTCCCATAATTACTATCAACTTGCAAATACGATCTTTCATGTTAACTTAATAGTGTGTCTCTCAGCATTTTCTATCGCTGTCCGAGCGAACAATTAAATGAGAGTGAAACTCTCAGGGCATCTCAGAACGTGGACTTTTCTCCCACGCGCGCGTGAATTACGCGAAAGGCATTCCCCACCTGAGATCCGGCTAATGCGATTCTCTGGGCAGTTGCAGGCAACCAGACGCCGCTGTCGGACATCTGCCTGGGCTGCATCTGCGAGGCCATGTCGGGCTGCAACAGGGCGGCGTCCTGTGATGGCAACGTGTGCGGCCTCTTCAAAATCACGCATCCCTACTGGGTGGACGCCGGGAAGCCCGTGCAGCAGGCTGACTCCCCCGAAGCCACCGGAGCCTTCGCCAATTGCGTCACGGAGCCCTTCTGCGCCGGCCGCGCTGTGCAGAACTACATGAGTCGCTTCGGGCAGGTAAAAACCGAATTCGTTGTGATAAATGAAAGTTTATCACGGTCTTAGAGACACCTGACTTTCGTTTATTAATCAGAAGCAGGGCTGAAATCGCCTTATCTAGGCAGTGTTATAGAGTGCATCGATTGCCAATCAATGTTTTCATTTATTTAATGCTGCACTCTTGTCGGCAGGATTGCAACAAGGACGGCGTGATTGACTGCTCAGACTACCTGGCTGTTCACATCCTGGGCGGATACGGATGCAGCGGCGAGATTCCGGCCAAGTTCACGAACGCACTCAGCAATTGCCTGTACCAAGCGAGCGCCTTCCAAAACGCCTTTCAATAACTCGCGCGAAAAGATGATAAAGTGACGAGATTAAAGGGCTTTTTATAGAAGCACAGCATAGTTTTCATGTCATGGTTTATTTCAAACATTTAACAATTCTAATCATCCAGTCTATTCAAGTTTATTAATGCGTAAACGGTTCTCTTGTCATCCTAGATATTTGGTTTTAGTGTCTATTCACGTTTTTTTGCAATTCAGTTTATCTCAATAATATTAACATTAAATAAGTTTTTTTTATTGATATTATTTCATTTTATACTTGTTGAGAAAGTCCAGAGAAACGTCTCTGGAAAGAGCGAAAAGGTTTTGGTTTTTTCCCCATAGAAATTGACAAAAATCTATTAAGATGAAATTCTCTCAATTCAAAATACGTATATATTTTTTCATCGGTTTGTTTTTTAGATGTGAAACGCTTTACACGAGATATTTTCTTTGGGAGAAAAAATTCAATTGGCAACATTTTTCTGGCCTGTTTTCATCTTTTAATCTCTTAATGAATTTTAATTTCCTTTTCTTCTTCTCTAATATCTTAAATATACACGAGACAATTTCATAAAGTAATAAATTTAAGGAATAATTGTGTCTTTAAAAAAAATGAGCGAAAATAGGGTAGAAAATATTGCTCAAGATTTAAATATTGCTCACTAAATTGAGAGAACATAAATTTCTGATTTACAATTTAATTTCTTAAACTCTACTCTTCACCCTTTCAATACACTTTTCTCTCTCTAATCATCGATTCTCATCGTTAAAAATCGTCAGTCAAAAATAGTTTCTTTTTCTCATTTTTTATGCTATCTTTAAATTTCAACTGACTCATAAACATCTTCTATAGCTGATTACAATTCTGGATATATAGAATTCAACTTATTCTTCTGTTTTTCTCCTTTCAATTTGAATATTTCGGGTATATAAGTGATTATATTCAATGGTTAGTTAAATTGCAATGCGGTTTTCTCTCCTGGCAATGAAACATTGTTGCCAGATGAGGGAAAATGCATCTGCATTGGCATTTTGTTAGAAATCCTTTCTCTTGGAGAAATTTTATGTGGTTTCTTTTCCTTTTTTTGAAATATTCTCATGTCGAAGAGTGGGAAGGAAACGAGGGCGGACATAAGGTATATATCTCTCTCACATGTACAGATTTATGCCTAACCGAAGAAACTTTTGGCAGCGGAAGCCTCCTTTTTCCTCCGCTTCTTCTCCTCCTTGGCCAGCATCTTGGCGAGGCGCTCCTCCTCTTTGGCAATTCGTTTCTCTTCCTGCAATGGTTATCATTTTACAATCGACTCCACCAGCGGAGTGCCTAATAAAACTCACCTTTCTCATTTCCTTCTCTGCCTTTAGTCGCGCCTTCTCCTCCTTCTTGTCCTCACGCGAGGCGCTCGCGGCCGCCGCGACCACGGCGGGGGCGGTCTTGGAGGTGGAGGGCGCTGGGAGGTCTGATTTGCTCTTCACGGACACACTTTTGCCACTCATGGGCGACTTGGCGCGGATCGGGGCGACTTTCGAGCCCACGCCGAGGCTCTTGGCGCCACCGGGGGGAGCGGAAGAGGATGCGTCGGCTACCAGGAGGGGAATGATGTCCGTAGGACTGCTGGACTTTCCGGTGTAAGTGCCATATCTGTGGGAAAACAGTGGCGTTTTGAGGAATCGCAGAGAAACACTTAACCAGAGTTACCGCCCTCTCGAATGCCCCGCCCATTTACACGTCTTACAATTACACCCTGACGACGTATAGCAATTTATTTGGAAGCAGAACACTACTGTGACATTATCTACATAGAATTCTCAATTATTTAGAGCATTGAATTTATTTAGAGCAAAAGCTCATAAAATCTGTAAAACTGCAGTATCACGTGTGAAAATTGTTCCCTAAATAACTTGAACATGAAAAGGAAAACTTTAACCATCGTCTTGCTTGAATTATTCCCATTATTCTTTTCATCCAGAGAATATCGTGATTTCAGCACATTTAGTACAGTGTACCTATACATATAATTGTGGGAATATTATTACATAGACCACAATTTCCACTCATGAAACATAAGAATTCTGGAGAATTGACGCTTTTTCTGCGCGGAAGTTTGAATTTAGTCAAAGTCTTACGTGCAATTCAAGAAGAGAATTGTACGGAGTCAGACTTCTTAAGCACAGCAATTTCAGGAAAAAACTTCCTCAGTTTCTCAACACATAAAATTTGTTCTTCAGCGGCACGATATGCGGAAGTTATTGGAAGTTAAGATGGGGATGGGAATGTGGCCTGGACTCACCTGAGTCGTGGATTGGTTGCGTGCACTGGAGAGGGCGTCGGGAGGCGCCGAGCTGGGCTCCTGAATTCCTTGATTGTGGGCAGGCGGGAGCGCAGCATGATCTCTGACACCCTCTCCTTGCTAGGGCGATTCAGATAGGCCGGATTGCGCGGGATGGCGCCCAGGCATCCGCTGGGGCAGCTGCCGTTGTGCTTGTGAAGTGAGCTGGCCGATGATGTGGACGACAGGCCGGAATTGGTGGAGTTCTCTGAGCACGAGGACGTGTTGGAGACACCTTGGCGGGAGGCAAAGAGAGAAACCATTAACCCGCGCCCCCATCGTCAGTGTCAGCCTCGTTACCTGACACGCACGATGAACCAGAGCTCATTGAGTAGAGGCTGGCCGACTGGGCCACGCGGCTGTTCATGCTGTACGCACTCGCCGACCCGGGCACCTGCGGAATACAAATGACGAGTCAATCGGGCGCTCGAGTGTGACGGAGAGTGCGAAGGAATAGAGGAATGTGAGGAGAGGCATTCGATGTGCCTCATAAACTGACCCCCCAACTCTTGCTGCTGCCCATCGAGTAACTCGACGCTGATCCCTGAAGTCGCCATGACCCAGAACCAGAAGTCAATCGATTGATGCGTGCTCTGCATGGATTGGCAAACACAAACGATTCAATATTGCCTCTTCAGGACCCCACCAGCCATGCCCATCCTGATCCCCCAACACTTACCGACAAATCACACAACGCAGCGGCAGCAGTCGCTGGGCCACGGCAGCCTGCAAAGACCGGGACATTGTTCAATGCATTTTCGTCACAATTCCGCGCATTGTAGTTCGCGCGCGGGACGTTAATCGGCCAATCTGCCCACTAATTGGTCATTATGCTGACTAATTTATTGTTGGAAGTCATTACAGAAAAATGCCACGATATTGTTTATCGTTTAATTGAAAAGGAAATTTATTAAATTGTGGAAGTTGTTGCTCGATTGCAGACACTTTCCGTTTCACTCCACTTTCCCTTGAATATGGACGCTCTTGTGTGCTCACCTGAATCGTCTTCACGAAGCACCGCCGGCACACAACTCTATGGCCACAAGGGGAGGTTTGCATCGTGGCTCGGGCATTGATGCAGATCACACACTCATCCTCCTGCGACGTTGGTGGCTCCGGCTCGCTCTCCTCCAGCTTATTGAGGAGTTTATCCTGGCAAGAAATAGAGAAAAGTGTCAGTTATTATTTGAAATTCAGATGCTTCAGACATTCGTGCATTTATCGCCTAGACAATCGAAAGACAGTCAAATGATAATCGCATGAAAAGTCTTTTTTTTGTGTGATATTGATGTGATTTTTAAATAACAGCAAAATATTCCTATTTAATGATATTGTTGTTTTACGTTTTGACTGTTTGAACAGAACGATTGTTTTAAATATGACCAGAATCAATAGAGAAAGGTGTGAAAAAATCCGTTTAATGCTTCTATGTAAACATCATCGTATTTGCTGAGGTAAATAAAAGGAGGAAATGTTCAATGCAGTGTTATTATCTGGAAAACATATGAAACTATGAGAGCATCGCAGTTTTATGAGCGGCATATTGTGGCTTGAAATGAAAATAAAAAGCACCGACAATTTATTATCAGTGAGAAATTTTTTTTTCCCAACTGTCAGAAGAGTCGTGATATTTGCACAACTCCCTCTCTTATTGTTACACATTTTCTCAATGCGGGAAATTATGTGCTCAGATGCACGGAAGAGCTGGAAAGTGCCGCGATGATGCTGAGCAATGGCGCGAGGGAGATAAAATATGGCATATTTGCATAATTGCTCTCTATGAAAACACATTCCAGCTGAAATCAGTGCAAATTGCCGAGGACAATGCGAGACATCCTCCAAAGACAGAAATAAGACTTTTCTTTTCGCAACTTCTGGCGACAAAAGTGGACCAAGGTTGAGTGATAAAGCCAGATGCATATCATTATGGCGCGATGCGATAATTTGATTAGACGTCACGATGTTGATCTCTTTGGACTGCTCTCTTGCCATTTAACATTTAATTCCTAATTCACTGGACAGCGAGCGCCTGACGAAGGCCTGCTGAAATGTCGCCCAGTTCGCTCTGTAAATCAATGTTGGCAGAAGGCAGAAAAAACATGATATATATTGTATCATATCTTGCTCAGCACTTCGGAAAGATTATATTGATTGGATGTTGTAATTCGGATTTAATTTGCAATGGTAATTCCGGTGGTCTTTTGCATTACAATGCACTCTCGCCAGAGCTTTTTTTCCACTTCTTTATTGTGTCATTAGGTTACTTATTGTGCTCTCATTGTTCTTTCACTGAAATATGTATTCTGCACATCGCATAAATCTCCATGCACCACTGAATTCCATTCCTTTCGTCATACAACCTTCTTCCGCAATTCTTAAGGGGATAACAAAACTTGAGAAATATCCATATCATATTCTGCTATGTTTGCTTTGCACTTTTATTAACTAGCGCGCGCGAGCATAAAGAAAAGAATTTCTCCATATATGTGGAGAAATTTCTACACAATAAAACCTAATCTTTCTAATTGGGAGAACAAGTTTGATATTTTTTCCCCATTACAATTCTTATTTGGAGCGAAAGACGCGAGTTTTTTTTGGAGATAGAAAGACCCAGATAAAATTCACATCCAGTGCGAAGAAATAGATATTAATTTCCGTTTTAGGTAAAAGGGAGAAACACACAATTACGATCGTTAATTTGCGATAAAAAAGAGGTACTTTGACGCTCTCTTATTGTGCAATTGGACACAACGACACTTCCGACTTTCTTGGCCAAGCAGAAGGAGAAGAAAAAAACGATTGCCTTTTGGGAGTTGCCCAGCAAATATATGAGAGGCTCAAATGCACGGCATTTGATCATGAAATTCTCTGCCATTCACCAAAAAAAAACCCGTGCTTAGACGATATGTAGTGATGAGTGGCCAAGGTAATGAGAAAGAGGTGGTAAAAAAGTGTGCGATTTTTAAACATTATCCCCATTTTCATTGCCCTCACTTTGCGCTGCAAAGATAAATATGCCTATTGACCTTAGGCTCGAAATTCATGAAGAAAAACTCGCAAAGTTGTGTTTGTATGTTAAAAAATAAATTTTCAATTCACGTCCAATTGCCAAACCTCCGCTGGAGATGATGTATTGACTTATTTGGCTTCAAAAAAGTCTTCATGAGCTCTTCTATGTGCGCCACACGTGATCTCAAGAGAGATGCAGAGTTGAGCGATGCTGAGATTTTTGGTTGAGAAAGAAGATAAAGATGTCAAATTGTCGCAACTGGCGGAATTCTGGCTGAATGTGGGCGGGGCTTCTGAATAGGCGGAGTTGTTTGCAAATTAAATTATTCATTGATTACCTCAATTACGCCCAAAAACTCAAACTTTACCAATGCCAGAAACACCTCTGAACATCAGCTGGAAATGATTTATTTTCAAGATACCACGAAATCTTTCATCTCGTCATAAAATCCGTCTTTAGCTTCATATATTATATTATAGAGAAGAAAGCCGTGCTTTTTGAAAGAAAATTTGGTAACTTATGCAAATGTTGATTGGAAAATTGTCGAAATCAGGCGCAAAATGTGGTCCTCCCCACCGCTTGACCGCATAAATCTTGAGCATAGCTATTGTTGGTCGGCTGGTCAGCCGCTCTGGTGCAACACTCCTCACTTGGTCGTGATACCGCGCACTTGGTCAGGTGCTCTCGCCACACACCCACCGTCTGGCTGCCCAGGAAGTTCCCATTCGCGCCACCGACCCAAATTGATCCAGATCGTGCGGAAGTTGCGAAGTTGCCAGAAATTATGCGTGTGAGTGCTTAAATAAGTGGCGAATCCAGTGGTTTTAATTGGACTTGTGAAGCGCACATTATTATTGTGAAAACCGTGAAAACTCTTTTGCTGCCGGGGAAATATAGTGCGCAGGATGAACGCCGTTGCCAACACCACGGCGGCTCTCTGCTCAGTCTTCACACTGATCTTCGGTGAGACACGCCACCATGTACTTCCTCAGGTTCAAGACGGACATAATTGGACAGAAAATTGTGCAACTCTGTGAGCGGCAAATTGACCGAAGACAGAATCCATTGAACTTGACATTTTCACACATTTTCGCCTTGTGTTGCTTTGGCATCGCGGCAAGACAATATGTTTAGAGAAGACCCCATCAAGAGACGTGAAGAACATTGAAAATCCATGTCGACAGCAATGAGGGCATAACAATTAACCTGCCATATGATTAAATTATAATTTGATTGTTGTTTTCTATCCCCCCAACTCACGCGAGAGTCCATTCATGGCTAATCGCGATATCGCCTTCATTCATTCATCGGCATCTCATTGAGAATTTTTGATTTCGCCCCAAGATTACTCTCAAACCACGAAGCTCCTTCAATTGAAATTGGAAAACACAGTTATGACGTTTGCTGATGGAATCGACGATCGATTTGATGATCTCTAAAAATAATAGCCTGACGAGATATTGAGCAAACTTTTTATTATCTCTTAGTGTTTTAAGGTTGGAATCAATTGCACAAGAGCTCGTCTCTTTCAATGATAAACTATGTGGTTTGACAGATTTTTAATATATAAATTTTAATATCCGTCAAATCATGTAATATCATATAATTTTGTCTAATTACTAAAAATTTTTTCACCTTGATCGCTCGAAAAAAAAGTCAACAACTTCATATAGTTTCAAGTTAATGTAATTGCTGCATTTTGGGTAACATAGAAATTCTCGTTGACGATCTTGACCCAAAATTATTATTTCTCAGTTTTCCAATTCAACACACGCCAAGTAACCTCCTAATTCGCAGTGCGGCGACTTCTCATCAAAATGCAATTAATTAATAAACTGACCAGTGGCGGTATAAAAAAGCCATTTTTCAGCGATAGTGTTGAGCAAGACAATTTCAAAATGCGCCTTTGGATCATGACCGTGAATTTTTTCTGCGCTCACGCTTTCAAATACCCCACAGGAGGATCGCCGCTGATCTTCAGCCCCGCGCCACGCGGTGACTGTGTCAATTGCTGCGCAATTCGCGAGCCGAAGGACATCAGATTCCTCCTGTACACGCGGGACAATCCCACCACGCCCGATCATCTCTACGTGTCGGACGAGAAGAGGCTCATGGCGTCGCATCTCAACACCGCCAATCCGCTGATTCTCTATTTGCACGGCTTCTCGGAACAGGCGCCTGGAGACACTGGCCAGAGCTCCTTCGAGGTGCGCCAGGCCTTCCTCGAGATGGGCGACTACAACGTGATCCTCGTCGACTGGCGATCGCTCACAGCGCTGCCCTGGTACGTCACTTCAGTGCAGGTAATCCGAAGAGGAGTTCCCAAAAATTCAATAATTGAAGAATGCTTTGAAATTCATCTTAAGAACGGTCCGCGCGTTGGACGCTACATTGCGAGATTCGTGAGATTCCTCATCAAGACCGGGGGAGTGGATTTGGAGAAAGTTCACGTGATTGGATTCAGTCTGGGTGCCGAAGTGGCTGGATTTATTGGAAAGATCCTCAAAACATGGGGACTCTTCTTGCCACGAATTACAGGTGAGATTCGAGCGTACGGCGAAAGATTTCCTGCCTTTAACATCCCAAGTAATGAGGGTGAATCAAGTAAATTCTTGCGATCTTAATCAGTTCAGAGAGCTTGAGAAGCTCCGTCAAATGAGCATTTGCATAATTATTGAGGCTGGAAATAGAGGTAAATATGCAGAAATAATTCCTACAGAATATTTCTGAATACTTTTATAGCCACCACACATCCATAAACTGATATTTTCTGATGCGTTTGATTTATCGCTGAATTGTTGAATAATACATTTGATAGGGCAGAGCGGGGTTTTTTGGAGTACTTATGAACCACGATTGCAATTTCACTTCAAAAACTTTTTCCATCATTGTGATATTACATAGATAAAAAGCCCTGCCTTGCCCTATTTGAAGTTTTCAATCCATATTTCACGTCTTCAGTGTTTATAGACCGCTGATGATGACTTTGATGTGTGTAAACCTTTCAAAATCAGAGCATAAGCACACAAGATTCATCATCCCAGTGAATGTGGAACTCCGCGAAGGTCTTGCTATTTGTGGAGAATGCTCAAAATAGCAGTACTTTCACTCTTCGTCTCGACGCTGTCGTAAATTGCGGAGCGCACGAAAAATTCCCTTCTTAGCATCCATGTTAACGTCATGAAAACTTTTTACGACATCTCCAGAACGCCACCCTGTGTGGGGTGGCGAATTCCGCGGGAGGATTTTTCCAACCATTTCATCCAATCCAAGGGGAAGACATTATAGCAAATTGGCTCTCTTTTCCCAGGTCTCGATCCGGCATTTCCCGTCTACATGTTCATGGGAAGCTCAGATCGCCTCAGTGCCTCGGACGCACGCTTTGTGGATGTGATTCACAGCGACGGCGGCATCTTGGGCTTCCCTTGGCCACTCGGCGACGCGGACTTCTTCCCCAACGAGGGCGTGCCGCTGCAGCCGGGCTGCGCGCGCGAGGAGATCTCCAAGAACCGCTGGGTGGGCATCTTCGTAGGCTGCAGCCACCAGCGCGCCTGGCAGTACTTCGTGGAGTCCATCCGGCGCCCGAAGGCCTTCCTGGCCACCAAGTGCGAGAAGTCCAGTCAGAAGGTGAAGGGCAAGCCGAAGCTGGAGAGTTGCGACAGGAACATCACAGCTTACATGGGTCTGCATGCCGATCATCGTCTGCGGGGCCGCTTCTTCCTCACCACCAACGACGAGCCGCCGTTCGGCAGGAATTTTCCACTTTAGTCTCCACCACGGCGCTGCTCCAGCCGCAACGGTTACCTTAGTACAATTCAATTTCCGTCCAGATGCTATTTATGTCTCTTAGGCCAAGTGATTTTTTCTATGTCATAAAGAAATTGCATTTGAAAATTTAGGGGTGGTTTTCCCGCTTTCCCCATCTCATGGTCAGAGGTTTCTGGCGGTAATTGACACTTTAACCAAAGCGTGGATGCCAAATTTCCACATGCAGAAAAGTGATCAATTTTCTCTCTGATTTGTTCGCCAAGGAAATTTCCATATATACACCTTATTTTCATAATTCTGCGACAACAACATGAGTTTTCCGCCTTGGTGATAAATTTCCTCATCTATCACTGCTATTTATGAACATGATTATTTTATTGTGGCCCAAAAAGGAACGACAGAAGAAAGCTCTGTGGCGCGAAGGAGCTTTTTCGATATGCTGTATTTCTGCCGAAATAAGGTTCTTGTGGTAAAATTTGCATATATTTGTCAGAATACTCTGATGTGGTGGCTCTTTTTGGGTATTAAAATCAAATTTAGTGGGTCAATTAATGCTTTTCATCGCTAATTAAACCGTCGATTTCACCCACTAGAAAAGTAGACAGGAAAAATTCTATACGAATCATTTAAAGTCAATTAAAACGTAATTACTGCATTGAATATTTATTGCCAATTATAGGTTATCAACTGGATGCTTTTTTTAGCACACTTCTACTGTGTTTAAAAGTGGTTCAAGCTGAGCTTTCTCCGAAGAAAATTCCAGCACCCTTCGTCGAAAGCCACACATTTAGAAAATTGCGGTAAAAATATACATTCCGATCATAATGTTTCAGGAAGAGAAAGTTGTTTCCCTCAAGAATATGAATTTGTGCCGCCCCGAGGGTTGGAGTGCATGTATTGTAGGTTGTTTTGAGAATCGCGTGCTCAGCCGTTCATTCCACTCGCGCCGGAGCCGTTCATTCATCAGTTCACCCCAAAGTTCTTTGTACTTCCTTGCAGATACGCTGCTATATGCACAGGAAAGGGTGGCCTTACGTAAGCTGATCGATGGTGGTCGATAAGCAAAAAGCTCACTGCCTTCCGCCTCGCCAGAAGCGCGTCTTCTTTGTCTCCCCTCGACGTCGTGGCACGCGATTTTCATATTTTTCTTCATGCTCCCAATATTCCGTAGTAAAAGAGTCCGTGTGGGTTTTTTTTTCTTTCTTCTTCTTCCCCACATTCTTAATGCGACTCCACCATAAATACATATATCTCTCCTTCCGTGGCAGTTCGCCTGTCGCTGCGATAAAAATTAAAAATCGATCACCCACTCTGAGACAGTGGCGAAGTGGGTGGAATTCCTGGCGAGCCAGAAAGCCCATAAGACACCCTCTAATTAGGCGCAATTCCCCATAATAAAAAGTCTGCGTCTCAGGCACGCAAAAGGGACGCAAATTACATGACGAGTGACTAATTAGAATCACAATGATTTTTATCATTTCGCCATGACGAGAAGAGAGCTGTTTTTTGCGCCGCACACACGCGGTGTCATTGTGCAAATTCTCCGTCTGTCGCTGGCGTGACACGCAATCAAAGCTGTGGTGTCGCGATGGGCATAATGTAAATGAAAGCTGTGTGGCTGGAAGAGCATTTCGCAGCCCACCTCAAGGCGTGATAGATCACTTTTCATGTTCACCACCATAAATTCGACGAAATGGTGAAGCGGCGGAATGAAGGTGTAATTCCAACCCCAGCATTGACGACTTCTCCAACACGCCGCCAATTTTTGGCGAGCAAAAGCCACAACCGCAGACTCATACATTATTCGCCACTTAATTTATATTTATTTGACCCCAAGTGGATGGAAAAAGGGCGCGGATTTTTTGGTGCCTCCGCAAATCGATCACGTGCGGCGCGCTTTGCATGCATACAATCATTGCAAAATCCCAAAAATATCACCCCATTTCACATGAATAGTTTACACACCCCATCAGACATTTTCCAATGGGGTGAAGATGAATTAAAAATAGATGCAGCAAAATTGGATTAATCATTGAAATACTTCACACTGCCTTCAATGGAATCTATTATCGGCTGATTGAAGTCTCTGTGAAGTGCAGAGGAAAGAGTACATTGTCACAGAGCAATTCTTTGGTAAATTCTCCTTCTTGGGAGTTTCATTATGAGACATAATACCGTAGAAAGAGTTTCAATTAAAGATACAAAAGAAGCGAAAAGTTCCAATCTTTCTATATTGTTGAAAAATCTTCATTTTCCGAGTTACACGTGCAATCATGGAAATTTAGACATATCTTATACTCACAGTGAAGTTCTTGTGTTTTAGAGAGTTGTAGGCTGTGAAGTCAACTTTCCAAATTTGCTCTAGCAAATCCGATTACAATTTTGCTAGATTTATGAAAAATAAAGGAAATACACAAAAATACCTCTCAACAATCCGATTTCACAGGCCTACAGCTCAAATCATACCCAAATAGTTTCTTTTATTGCATTTTTATGGTGCCACTTAAGCTGCCCAGTGAACTTTTATCCCCAAAACGCCCTCCGCAATCACAATTTGCAAGAGGGTCGAAAGCTTCTGTCGACAGTTGCCAGAGTATCGCTGGGGTCAGGAATTTGCATTTATCCGTTTCACTGTGATTTGCCATTCATTATTTCAATGCGAAATCCTGATAGCGCTGTCCCGGCTAATCTCCTGATTGGAGCAATGTGATTTTGGGCGCGCGATTTGGGCGCGCAAAGTGGGTGAGAGTTGGATCGATAAGTGGGGCGGATGAGCGAAAAGTGCGATTAAAGCTCGAGCACTCCTTGAACTCATCAATCCAAGCCACCCGGGTTGACGACGCGTATTTTAAGCACACTATCATGTTACAGGATAATAACGCTGTCACAAGGACGACTCGAGATCAAGTGAGACAGGTGAGCAGCAGAGCGTGAGGATGAAGTATTGATTTTCCCCACGCATCAGGTGAAATGCCATTTCCATCGCAAATATGTTGCATATAAACAGTCTGGGCGTCAGTGTGCATCTGTGGCAGATGTTCAAGGTGTGACGGAGACACCGGGTCTGGCCAGGACAGTCTTCTTGCGCGTATCGCTCCACAGTCAGCGGAATTATCGACACTTCGCGCCAATTTGTGCGCTATTGTGATTACCATGAGGGTGGCTTTCACGTGTGCTCCATGGGAGATAATTGGATCTCTCCGCAAATGGGGAGCAATTAAGTGACGAAAATTCAATTTGGATGGGATATCCTTGGAAGGAAATTATGTCTGCTGGCTGATGGGATGTGCGAGAAAATAGCAGGTCAAGTGTAGGAAGTTGTATTTTGTTAATAAACCCCCACGAAATCATACCTGAAAACCCATTATTAAATACAAATGCCGAATCCCAAATAAATTCTCTCTCTCTACACACAATTTCATATTCCTCAAATGTTGCACGTTAAAGTTTTCATTACATTGCTTACAGCACTACAGTTGCACAAATATGAGTAGGATCGCGTTGAATAGCAAAGGAATGATTGTTTATTGATTCAATGTAAATATATTAATAGTATATTTTTATATATTTTTGTATATTTTTTTTTATTTGATCTTTAAAGCTTGCGATTAATCGAATAAACACATAAAATCGCAATCTTTGACATCTTCTCTCTGATTTGAAGGCATTTCAGTGGGCGTGGACTAGACATGGGTGGAGCTTAGCATTTGGCAATGATTCTACTCAATTTCTCATCAGTGTAAATTGTCTTGAAAAATTTATTTCACCGCAAAATTGCTTCTTCTCATCGTAACATGACGAAATGTGTCATAAATGTTTAAAAGCGAAAGAAATTCCATATAATACATTTAACAGGAAATTCCAATTTTCTTCTTGTCTTGTATAGAAAATTAATGTTTCACATGCAATCCTCGTCCAATTTTCCTGCCCGAATGGATTTTTAATCATTCCACCGAAAAAAGTCAGCGCATTGATTTTCCTGGGCTCTTTTCCTCTCCCGCCAAAAATGCTCACTTGTCAACCTGACCAAAATAAATCTGTGACTTGCAGAATTCTCGCTGGTCTTGATGGTGGAAAATGAGACTTTTTGGCTCAGCGCGCGACAGTCCAAAAGAATGTTGCGTGCTGTGTGGATTTGTCACAATTGGACAAGTTCCAATGCAGGATGAGACGCTAATTGGAATCGATTAAGCGGAGCGGCAAATTTAGGGCCATGTAATGAGGATGATAATTCCGCCACCCTTTTTCCGGGTGGTGCACATTGGGGTGGGGGCGAAACATGCTGAATTGTGCATTTTGTGCGCGTGTGAATTGCGTCATCAATGCGTCAAGGGACTTTTTGGAATTGGACTGTAGTAGAAAGTGTACAAAAGTTGGAAGTTAATGATTGTACCTTGACGTCATTTGGAAATGGTCTTGTTTTCCAGTGACGCAAAGAGGCAAAAGTGTTTTGCAACATACATATATCCAGAAGACTTACGATTTTGTGATGCAGTGCAGTGAGTTCACGCTCGGTGACTCGCCGATTGGCGGCCTCGCGCCTCCTCTGGCGAAACTGGCTGTACTTGTAGGCCAGGATGACACCTGGCAGCGCCAGGGCCTCCAGAGGTGATCGTCTGCCGAAGGGCATCCTCACCACCGGGCGCGCGCGACAATCCTCTAATTTGCGATGCTGCAGCAATGCAGATATGCTGGAGAATTGTTTTTTGCCACAACTTCTCCACCCATTTTCTCACTCACCCACCGATGTTTGTTTGTCTTTTGCACCACACTCTGCAGACTCCCACCGCCCTGGAGCACATCTCGCACTGCAGGTCCTCACAATTTCGCACACACAGACAATCGATGGCGCTTTCGCGCGACTTTCATCTCTTCACCTGCGTCTCTCGATGGCTTTTGTCTTGGACCACCTCCAATTTTTCACCTTGAACCCATTCCAACTCTGCCCACTTCTCCAGAATAATCTCCACAGGGACTTCACCAATTCTTTTCCACACTCTGCAATGTGCAGAATTTAGTCCTTGGGCGCGATTCGCAGGAAAATCGGTGATTGATTGAGAAAATTCGGATGTTGAGAATGTTAGAATAAAATAAGGGGGAGAAATTGTAGTGAAAGCTCCGAAGCAACTGTTCAATCTTAATGCCGGAGTGAAACTGAGAGGATAGTTTGTGATTCTCACATTTTGGCGAGAAGAAAAGGCCATGAAGCAGTGGCGTAGTGGCAAAAAGGACTCAGAAGTTCTTTGAGTATCTCTTAAATTCGCAACTTCGAGAGTTTTCTTCGTTTCCTTTGTTTTAATGGCTTCAAAAAAATCACTGCATTTTGAGTTGGAATTTAAAGCTTTTTTTACACACTTATCAAGTTACTTTCTTCTGGTCAAAAGGCAGAACATTAAAGGAAAGCTTGTGTTTATTTAATGCTGACTTCCAAGTTAGTGAAATAGTTAACATTATATCTTTTCTTCACTTGCAAACTGGCTACGCCACTGCCACGAAAAGAGACATTGGAAAATCTGTCTGTACGCCGACGCAGTGGAGGAACATTCACAGAGTCTCTCGCTCCACCAGCACTCCTGGGGAATTAAAAATTCCAACTATTCCTCTGTCCAAAGGACAGCCACAAAGGCACTTCACGTGCCAAATCCCTAAAATGCACACCGAAAAAATGGCCCAGCAAAGGAGGCAGAAAACATTGGGAAGCCTGATGAATCGATAGTGGAGAGGCGCATGTCCAGAGAGTGGAATTTGCACATGGGGAGGCCTTTGGCGGTGTGTGGAAGCACCCTAGAGTCGAAGACACAACATCTCCGTCGTCAAATCAACACCACGCAATTTTCCTCGCAATTTCGCGTGTTGGGCAGCACAATTACATGAATAATGCATTTAAGTGGCTGTGACGTCACGGAGTCCTTATCTTCGCTGGGCGTCTCATCAGCTCCGATGCTGAGTTCGCCTTGCTCGGATAATTAATTGCACTCTGGCGCTCTGTCTGTCCCAGCGGAGAGCATCCGAGTGAGTGGGAAAACATGCTGAAATCCGCACAGTTTCCTTGATGGAATTCCCCTGTGGAATTTCATCATTGGGTCACAAAACACACAACCATCTCTGGCATCATTTTATATTGAGAAACATACACATATATATATATATATCTTCTGAGAGCGCGAGAATAATCAGTTGCCATCTTTCACAAAGTTGGTACAAAGTAACTATGATTATTATAACAAATTGTAAAGAGCAGAATTTTAACCACATTTTCAGTGACCATCCACGACAAGCTCATCGAGCGTATCCTCAGATCCGGATCCCGTGAGATCGGACAACTCATCAAGGCACTTCTGGCGCTTCCTCACGTTCCAGTGAAGACACTCGGCCAGCGAATCGAACCAGTCCGAGATCTGATCCTGAGCACAAATACTTGGCACCGGATATATCGACGTCGTCACGCGCAAGCTGTCGCCGTGCAGCAACTCCTGCCGATTGCGCCCGTCGAAAGACACCCACGCCGTGTTGCGACTGTCGGGTGAGATTGATATCTGCCGAGAGAGCGGAGGGAAGACATTAGTTACAAGACATTGTTGCATGAACCCCAAGAGTTCTCTCTCACCTTGAGTTCAACACCAGCCGGCACAACGATGGGCCGGAAGCTGAGCGAGTGCGGACAAATGGGTGTGACCATGATGGCTGGCACCGATGGATGAATCATGGAGGCTCCGGCCGCCACGGCGTACGCCGTGCTGCCCGTTGGCGTGGACACAATCAGGCCGTCACCCTGCACGGACGTGATGTGCTTCCCATCGAGGAACAGGTCGATGTTGCTGAGATACGGACTTGGTCCGCGATCGATCACCACCTCGTTCAGCACCAGAATATTGGTTGAACCGTCGCGCGACGAGCCATGCATGTTCTCCAGCATCGGCAGATAGTCAAAGTCCATCTTGGCCGACTTCTGCACAATCATGCACCGCAGCCGGCTGCGCAATGTGAGCGCCGCGTGACCCTCCAGCACATTGGTCACCTGCTCCTGGAAATTGTCAAACTGGAATGGCGTGAGGAAGCCCAGAGAGCCCAAGTGGAATGCCATCACCGGCGGCACGGACTTCTGGAACAACAGTGACGCATACAGGAGCGTCCCATCGCCGCCCAGGCACACGATGAAGTCAATCCTGTCCGTCAGATCGTCCTTGCCGTCCCTGCAACAAATGAAACACACGTCAATCTCAGATAACACGCCATCGGTAAATACCTCAATCTGCCACTCACTTGAACGTCACTAACTTGTCCTTGATCTTGTGGAATCGCTTGTCTTCGAGAAGGAGTGGATCTTCCAGAACCGCCGACTCCACCCAAACCACCATGTGCTTCTCCTGTCGAATAAAATCATCAGAAAAGAGGTTTAGTTGATTTTTAAGGCTAATTTATTGAGATTAATGTCTTCTTTAGCGTTTTACATAGAAAATGATCAAAATTTCCATTGATTTTTCTAAGAGTTCCTGTATTTTGAAGATAATCTACAATTCTCAGGAACACATAATTCTCATTATAATACCTCTTCGTTGGTAAAATGTATAGATTTTTCAACATTTTCATATCTTCTTCTCATGTTTAATTGTAAAATACATTTTCTCTGCCACATTTAGAATCGTTTAGTCCGGAAGACAAAAGCGGAAATCTATTCAGCAATCAATTAAAGTGCGTTGTGTGAAATACCCAGTGATTGGGCAATTGAGCGTTTACGCAGATAACAACGCTTTTGAGGTGTAAAGGATGTAAAAATCGTACAAGTCTGTAATTTGCCACACACTGTGACGGCAAAGACAGCCAAATTGTTGTCTTCACCACGCAAATCTAGTGTTAAAAAAAATCACCATGATCACATTAAAGTGGCATTGCGAGTAAAAAAAACACGCCCCAATCAAAAAATTATTAATCACTCTTATAGAAATAGTATCACGGAAGTGATGATTTATGAATTAAATTCTTGTGCACAACAATAAACCACCCAAAAGTTCATTGGAGTTTCCCACCAAAAATCTTAAATCTCTCGAGGGCAAACCACTCTCAAAAGATATTTGCCATCACTGGAGGATTTTCACACACATGGCAGACAATTTTGTGGAGATTGCAAGAGGCACGAAAACTCACCTGAATGAGCCACTCGACGAGCTGGACAAAAGGTGGCAGTACTGTTGAGTCACGAACCTTCTTGATAACGAGCACGGCTAGCGGTGGCTTGTACCATGTTAACCGTTGACTAGCCGGATCTTGTATTTGCCTTCAATGAAAGAGACAATGATCAGGACACTGTGATAAGTGGCTTCTGGCTAGGAACACTTACATAACCATCGCCGAGTTCTTCATAATACGTCCACATGGTCCAAATTGCTGGAACGGCGACGGTGCGTTGAGACTTCTTGTACGCCTGCAAGGAGAACCAGAGGAACAGACGTTAGTGATCTGATAAAGCTCCAATCACACACTCTAACTCTCTCTCTTCCATGTCCTCTCTCTCTCTCTCTCTCTCTCTCTCTTTGTCAATTGATGGTGGTTGATGAAAATGCGTGTAACCTAAGAATTCTGAGCGATGGATCCAATTTCTTCACACTGCTCGAGTTCATCTCCTTCAAGTCCGGCAAATTGTTGCCCGTCTCATCACTGGAATCCATGATCAGGCAGATAAAATGGGGCACTAAACACACAACAACAACGAACCAATTGAAATTTCCACAATACACGGGGAGAAAAGCGTTCACCGTTCGTTCGAAGACGAGCGTGAATGCTCATGTGGCTGCGATGAGCACACTCAGCTAACTGATCACCTATCAAATTGCCAACCAGAGTGTCTCTATTTAGCATATTAAAATTCCCTCAACATCACCAGCCAGCCAGCCAGTGGCGAGAGAGGCGAGCACACAGTGAAAATGCGAGAAATCTCAAGAGTGTGGAACACGTTTGAGTTGAAATTAAAAGTTGTTTTGTTTTCAATATCATCATCATCATTAATGGATACATCATTTTCGTGTGCGTTGTCTCTTCGCGCGTGTCATTCTCTCACCACGCAGATCAAACTGCTGCACTTGGGAACCCATCGCGAAGCTCCACGCTCACACATCACCCCTGATAATGTGCAGAAGATCCGCCAGTGCAGCTTAAGGTGATCTTTTTACACAAAACAAAAAAAACAACTTGAAATTCAACACAATCACACACCGAATGGGTATTTTAATCTCATGCGACACTGTCTTTGTCGCTCACTCTCAATATTGCATCTCGAAAAATGCACTCAGACAAAACGGTATTCAACAATCTGCACAAATATTTTCATTCACAACGCTGTATTTTCAAATATCACTTTTACACCCTGAGTTGAGAATAAACTTCCCAGCAAGCCAAAAGAGCTAAAAAAAAAGCAGGTAATTTAGCTGAAAAGTGCTAACTTGTCTGAGCTAAAATTTTAGCAGTAGCTTTGCATTTAATTGCAGCATCAATACTTTGACCAATGGCTAAAATTTTAGGGAAAAAATTTGCTTTTACAATCTTAATGTTGAGATCTTAACATTTTGTGATCGCTGCGTTTCTTTTATTAATCAATTTACCCGTCTTATTAATAGATCTTGCACTCCATTCGCCCAAAATTACACCAACCCAGTGACACACAACATTTCCTCAGTGATAATTCCACACGAAGAGTCACTCAAGTCGGGAATGTTCTATTTATTGTGTCTCTGTTTCAGTGGCCCAGAAGATGGCCAAAAGTTATGGCGGAACCGCATTAAAAAAAACACTAAAAAATTTTAATTTGCAGTGAAATCACTGGTCAAAACTTAATGTCTCTCCTTGCCACGAAAATAAATACTGTTCCCGTGTGTGCATTTAATGTACGAAAACGATGTAAAGCAAGGTGTGTAAAAGTCACAAGTTATAAATGATTGATTTGATAATGTTCCGGCTTTGTGTTCTGAATCCCATCACAAACTCCACTCTGTGGCTCTCTATTCTGTGTGCACAATATAATTATGCACTACTTTGTGCGGTTTCCTATATCCATTTATAATTCATTGACTAACAAATGTACAGTTCATGCTGTTCCATCATTTCCGATCTCGCGGCAATTGTATTCAAATGCGGCAGCCAAAGGAATATACAACATTATGTCCACAGAATTGAGGAGTGTTTGACACACATTTCGCCTGAGTGTAAAAGTGAGACTTCTTTGCCAGAAAATTCTTCAGCAAATTTCACGATGAGCGCGCGCGCGTGTGTCTTCAAACATGTGAATATTATGGAATAAAAGCTTAGGAGATATATTGAAGTTGAGCTGTAAATTCCGGATCACCTTGTGTCAAGTAGAAAGTAATTCATACGCGCCAAAATGACCTTAAGACTCGCCTCTCGCGCACTCTTTCCCTCAACTCTTTCTCACTCTAGCAAATATATGTACATCACATGGAAAAACGCATTCGGAGGCACATTTTTACCTTTTTTGATCTCCCGCTTCACCGTTTTTCTTCTTCTTCTTTTCCCCTTCAAAATTCGACCATTCAACCACAGCACATAATCTCACGTAAGATCAATACACATTCCTGATACAATTCTCTCATTAACTGGGCAAATTGTGTGCTTGAAGACGTTGTAGAATTAGCCGATGTTATCCAATAATATTTGTGCAAAGAGAGAAATTTAATTGGCACAAATTGCTGGGCAATGCAGCAGCAAAAAAAAGAACTCTTGTATAATGTTAATAAGATTACAACTCAAAAATATGGTCAGCAGTGTTGAATGCACATCAGAGTCGAAAAAATTTCCGTGATTGTAGCCACAAATACAATTTCCTCACTTTTATGACGGCTCAAATTAAATTGAAAAGCCAGTGAGTTGTGCTAAAGAGTCAGCCAATAAATCAATAGCTGATTTCCATTCAATGACACCACTTAGCATAATGTATTTATTTAAATATTTCAAAGAACAAAAACCACGCCTTATTTACACTCTTCTTTTTCCCATCACAAAAACCCTAAAAATGTCTCGTCACAACAAGGCTCTCTCATCATTAGAGGGGAAAATTCAATGAAAATTAAACAACGATAAACGGATAATTTCCATGTCCCAATTTTCCAAATATGTTCTCCAATGTCAGGAGATATGATTTTTCTGCAACTCTTTCCATGCGTGAAACCAATTGGAAAACCTCGAGTCATTGCCACTGACGAATCAACTACAAAGAAGCACATTTTAAAGCTCTTTTGTCAAGATAAGGGAGGCCATAAAGAGGGAAATACAAGTATATTTCCTAGATTAGCTCATTGAATTGAAGTTTGAGAGAAGGAAAATAATTTTCAACGTCAAACAGAGACTTAAAGAGAGGATTTGTGAAGGAAGATTGAATTTATAGACACCATAGAATCGATTATATCATCGAGAATATGGAAAATATCAAATAACACCCAATATATTTTCCCCTTGGCATCATTTTTGACCATCAAATCCAAAAAAATCACACGAGGAGTACGTGAATTTGACGTGGTGTTGACCAGCAAAAGCCGGACTTGCGACATGGGCAAAACTTACGGCCACGTTCCGGAGCGTCTCCTTCTTGTGGATGACGTAAAGTAGTCTTTGCGGAACTCATTGTCCACCCCGTTGACGTTCTCACATATTACACCATGCGTTCGGTTATCACAATCACGTGCTCGGTCGCACTTCTCACTGTGCTGCACTCTCGTCTGCCCGCTCTGTCCGGTCGTGATCTCCTTGGGCTGCCTGAGCAGCGGACGCCTCGGCGCGCACCACGACAGCTTGTACTTGATCTGCTCCTCGAGGCGCGTCTTGTGCAGAGTGGCCAAGTCAATATCCGATACGCAGGCCATCGTTTTCCGGACACACACACACGCGCTCGCAAGACACCACGTTAGATAAGATTTCGTCTATTGCCACCTAATCTCGCGGTGGAAAAAAAAGAGATCCGCGATCGACTGACTAGTGCAGTCTCATAACAACAGCACTGCAGTTAGTGATCTCTTTGCATTCGCCACTTTGGTTATTATATTCAACATGGGTGACTAATAGGTGGGGAAAATGCCAATTTCAGCCTTGTTCTGGCCAAAATAAACCTCTCAAATTCACGTATGGAAATCGCCTTAAGCGTGTGTATTTGTTGGATATCTCTTTGCTCAATTATGTTGTCTTTTTGGGGTCACGGGCGATGTTGATTTAACAACAACCAGAAAAAAAATCACCCATGCGCGCACATGAAATCACAAGAATTTACTTTATTTACACACATCAGATGCCCAAAATTCCCGGAAGTTTTTTTTTCCTGTGTCTTTTAGCACTATGTCAAAAACCCCCAAAAGAACAAAAAAAAATCCATTGAGCAACTCCCAATATATGCATCAACCATTTAGATGTTGTATTGGGTTATGTTCAATTGAACACTTGAGCCGCGAAAGAAGCTTATGATTTCTCAATTTGACCCACTTTGTGACACACAAACAAATTTATAGTCGTACACTTTATAATTATTATTTGTCTCTCCTTTTTACACTCGCGCAAATGAAAACCAGTGAAATCCAACCCAGTAAATTTGAGTCAACTTTAGACCACGCCAGATCACAAAATCATATCTTCTCTCCAACATCAAATTGCACTCTCCAGAGTGTTAGAAAAATGATGAATAATGTATTTTAGCCATTTTAGGTGGCGTTTTATCATGCGCTTCTGAGAAACTTTCACTAAATCGTTGGAATTTGTACATATATTAAACAGTATCAATCCGCCAATGTTGACACCGCGCGTAGACAACAATTGATTACAAAACTTCACACAGAACACTCTCAGAAGGGCTCCAAATTGCACACAGTCACAACTTGAGTGTGATCAGTAATAAAAAGCCGCCAAATTGGATATTTTGGACGCGATATAATTTACCATGAGGAGACTTTTATTAGATTCGCCTGGCTTTTTAACCGTCGCGTGCAACTGACGGACCACAACTAAAAGTGGGGAGAGACTCGAGTTGCCACTTGGCGCGCGCGAATTAAGCTCAACAGCCGCCTCATCTCCTCCCTTCGCTACCCGCGGGCCCGCAACACATAATACTTAATGATATGTATTACGCACTCCATCATTTCTCCACGGCGCACTAACCATCAATATTGTGCCCTGAAACGACACATTCCCAGGCGAAAAATCATGGAAAAATGGCACAGAAAATGCCCACGAATTGCGCCTCTCATCGCGAGGGCCACTGTCCGCCCGCTGACCGTCTGGCGGCCGGTCAAACCCTGTGGAATTTACCCAAAGTGAAGAGACACAGATCCATCAAGTCGCGCAATTCTATGGCAATCTGGGCAAGAACTAGTTTATGCTATTTGAATAAATTTTAATTACAACTTAGTGCGTTATTTCACTTGTATTATATTTGCATTGAAGTTATCAACACCAACCGATACTTATCGATACGAATTGCGTGCAATTTTCTCAATTTTAAAACAATTTTAGGGGAAGAAATCGGTAAAATTGATAGTTTAAGGATTAATTAGTCCATTTGTATGCTATTTTTCCTCTAAAATCGTGTTAAAAAGGTAAAAATTCCACGCATTTCGTATCAATAACTTCAATCACTTCACGGCAAGACAAGAAACGTCTTAATCACAAAAACGCAAGTTGACAAACCTGGACACAATCAAGAAGAGTGTTTTCCACAACACCTTACTTTTTACTCTCTAAATCACACCACTGGAAAACAGACCGTTTCTTCTCACCTAAATTCCAAAGACTGCCTTAGTCAGCATTGTTAATATTTCTTTTTCTGTGGAAAATTGTGCTTGAATTAAAAGCAAAAAAATGCATAATTGAAAATCATTGTTCTCTTCTATTATCATTGACAAATTGCTCTATTGAAGGATGGGATTTTTACTGAAACACAAAGTCATACCAAGAAAAGCGGTAAAATCTTTTCAGAAAAGCCAACATTCATTTTTCCGTATAAAGCCTGAGATAAGATTATAATTATGAAATCTCTAGTTGAAAGAAATGTCATGAATTTATCAAGTCATCTCGACTCGACGGTTTTTTTTTGTCGCCTAAGACCCAGAAAAAGTCACCCGAAAGAGTGGAATTGCAGCTGATAGTCTGCTAATCCTCGGATCACTCCAATGAACTTTTGCGCGTGAAAAACAAGGTCAGATGCTGAGCCATTAAAGTGATAGTGAAACAGACAGAGAGAACAATAAATGATTCATGGGAACAAAGACTAGTAGACTTTCCCGCAATATTTCCTCAATTTTCTGCTCTAGAGTTTTTCCTAAAAAATTCACTGTGATTTCCCCATTTACAGAGACAATGACGTGAGTAATCTTTCGCACCGCATTGATGACACGCACGTGTGTAGACAATTGTCCAACCAGCGGAAATGTGTGCAGAAAACTGGCGCGACAAAAGGTGGGTTAAATGCAAGTCACGGCCTTGTGACCAGGCAATTACAATCTGATAATATTGATTACTTCTTCTCACGATAAAGTTGCTAAATATCTTGCTAAATTAAGTCATTATAGTGAGTATTCTGTGCTTTGCCACTCATCTCGAAGGGAGTTCAGATTTCAAGGCGAGCACTGCTGGTGTAGTGGTATCACGCAAGACTCCCATTCTTGCAACCCGGGTTCGATTCCCGGGCAGTGCAACTCTTTTGTGCATTTTCTTTTTTTTCCCACACTTTCTTACCACTCGCGGAGAGCATCGGTGTCCGTGGCCCCATTTTGTGGTGGCAGAGGCCCCATATCAGTCTGCGTGGTCTCCAAATCGTTGTTCATTGACATCTCACAAGTTTCCTGAGCAACTTCCGCAAGTTGTGCACTTTCTCCCAACGCCCACTCTCTTATTTCCCACTAATCAGCATCTCGACTGTTGCGACACACTTTGCCAGAGAAAATTGACGGAAAATTTCACGATAACAGCGTGGAAAAGCGCGTGATATGAGCAGTTTTCACTTCACGGTTCATTCAATTTCACAAATACACCACATTTTCATGGGCGTCACCGTGTTATTTCACCACCAACACTTCACTGACGCCCCACTTGGTGTCTTTACAGGGAAATTGGACAATCTTCCTGATGAGAAAGGCAGTGAAAATGGAAAATTTAAGGATATTTTGGTGGGTGGCTTTTGTTTGTTATGTGGGAGAAACTTCAAAATCACCTGACAGCTGCGCTGCCTTTTTGTCGCTCAGTGGCGCTTCGAGCGTTCTATGTTTTCAGCGCGATGTTTTCATTGGCGGGATATTTCTGTGTGCACAAAAGAAAATTTTTGCGACTTCTTGTGCAATTTCTGGAGCCTTTTGGGCACTTTGGAGAAAAATTTGGTGTGGAAAAAGTGAAAAATAGCATAAGTGTATGGGGGAAAAAGCAAAAAAAGATACCGCCCGAGCAGGGACTTGAACCCTGGACCCTTGGATTAAAAGTCCAATGCTCTACCGACTGAGCTACCCGGGCTTAATATCATGGCACCCAAAGTCGCATAAGAGAACAGCCTTTTATCTCAAATCAATACAGTTTTTACACCTCCATTCATCATTATCACAATCAATTTCATTCAACCTATTTTATATGTAATTGTTCAAGAGGACAAATGAATATTTCATCAGTGTGAAAATCACTGAAAAGTGAATGGAAAATTCCACCTTCACAGGGAGGATTTTGACCAGTTTGATCTTCTTCAGCGGTTTATTGGGAGTCCCAGTGAATCCGCCGTCCAGCGGTAGGCTTTTCACCCACACAGAAGCAAAGTGGGGTGGAAAAACCGAGGGAAATCCCACCTGATGGGGTGCTGCGACTGGGATCCAATGGGCTCCATGCCCGGGTAGCTCAGTCGGTAGAGCATTGGACTTTTAATCCAAGGGTCCAGGGTTCAAGTCCCTGCTCGGGCGGTTTCCTTTTGCCGCCGCACCCCCTTCAAACTACCCACCTCATCGCCCGTGACGTCATTAACGATCCACCTTGAATTGGACTCGACTCCTCATTTATTCGCCACACATTTTCTCACATTCATCTCAACGTCACCGCGTGTCAATAATCTCTAATTTAATGCAAAAACACATTTTTCATTCTCTTATATGGTCGCACTCTTAGCACACATTTGTGCGGTGAGTGAGAAAATGTGCGTGCTCGAGAGAATTGCTCGCGAAAAATGAGAGTTTTCCATCAGTGGCGTAGTGAGCAACCTTTTCGATTGTTCTACGAATATTTATCCAAAACTTCAATTGGCTGAAAGAAGCAGAAAATCTATCCGAACGGCTGTTTGTGTACCAACTAACCGCTCAAGTTTTCAGAGGGTTTTTACTCAATGAGTGTAGAATTTAGCAAATTGTGTTGGATGGCATGATCTGTCCATTTTAGATAAATTAAACATTGGCTTTGAATTAAAGTCGTTGAAAGTAAATTCCCTAAATAAACAGAAAAAATTATCAAAATAATCATTCAAGAAGTATTTCAGCAAGAATATTGCGTAAATAAATGAAAATAAAATGTTTAAAATGACATTCAAGACAATTAGAAGTCATAACTTGAATATGCATCATAGCCAGTGTTCTGTGACACCTGAAAATGACGAGTATCCAAATGAATTTTGTGCTGTTTATACGATCTTTTTGCACATAAATTACCGCCTAAAAATTCTACTCTCAATTATAGCGTAAATATGCGGAAAACCCTTGGGAAAACTCTTTATAATTGCTAAGCTACTGATATCTGAGGTGAACATTTTTTATTTTTTAAAGAACACACGCTTATTGAGCAGAACAAGGCACAGCCAAATTCACCTGAAAAACTGCATTGAAATTGTGCATTTTGCACAGTGAAAAGAGAGCGGCCTTCGGGAAACCTTGTCAGTTCTGATGTTTCTCTGGCCGAATATCAAATTACTGGAACTTCAGGTGTTTGCGGAAAATTACAGGAAATGGCAAGATCGCAGATCAATCAAATGAGTGCTCATCCTTGACCAAAAACGCACAGTACGTGTGGGTATGTGTAAAAATTGCGTGCGCTCGACTTTCGCGCGAGACTTCTTGGCAGATTTCTGGAGCTGTGATTTCACTGTTTTTTCCCACAACGATGAGGCTTTTCTTGTGGCCCGCTTTTCAGCTATAAATATCACCCCGCATTTCAGAAATAAACACACTCGCGCGCACACCGTCAATCTACGGCTGTGCGGTGATCATGAATGTATAAATAAGTCGCAAGATCGCTGGAAAAACTTACCTAAACGTCTTGGTTTTCTCATTGTAGTTCAAGATGGTTTTTCGCAGTGCGGCCGGACTGTCGGGATCACTCTGCTCCGCCACAATGGCGCGCGCCTTGGCTAAGTCCTCCTCCAGCATCGTGAGATCCGTCCAGGGATTACTTCAAAATGACCAAGCACTTAGTTTTGCATCCTCCGGAAATGCGACATGCCCCAGTGACGCTTGGAGAGCAACTGAGAGGCGATCAGATGAGATGCTGGGGCCAAAGCGCGAGGATATCGTTGGCTGCATCACCTTCTGTCGTACCTGATAATCTCAGTGATTCTGAGATTATTCTGGAGTTTTCCCATGTGAATTCCACAATTTCTCTAATGGAAAGAATGGAAAATTATAAAGAGAATTCTAAAGAAACGCTAACGTTTTGACCATGTCTGGTGGCAAAATAAAGCTCTCCATAGTGCCTTCAATATGATAATGGGTGATTCAACAGACGTTTTGCTGGAGACGCGCTCACAATTTCATTCTCTTGCGAGAGACACACCTCTTGATCACCTTTGAGCCCCTTCTTTCGTCACGGCGATCGCTGCAGCGCGCTGCATTTTAGCATTTCTCGACGGAGATCGCCAAGAAGTGACCTCGCCAGGTGACCATCTCCGTCCTTCGACCTCCAATCGAGCGCCACTCACTCACTGCAGTGCGCGGAAAACTCTCACCTTTGCGCGCACGACCGTTACTCCAATCTCGAATTCTGCAGAAAACATCGCAAACTCAGCGACGCGCGCTGGCATGCCATCTGGCGATGTGTCAAGCCGCGCTAGCGAAGAAGAAGAAGAAGAGAGTGGAGTTTGCTGACATTTGTTTTCGTGCGTTGAGTGTAAATGTGAATTTTAGGTGTTTTCCACCCCACTGCCAGGTGATTTTCCACTTGAAATCCCATCTTGAGGCTCTGGGGCGGGTGTAGACAGTGAAAATGTTGGGGTTTTAGCGAAATTAATGGGGTTTTTCGACATGGCAATTTCCATGATTTCAAAGAGAGAGGTTATGAAGTGTGAAAGAGAAATTCCCCATTCGTGATTACTTAACTGTTCTTAGGATCGTCAATAGTGTTTTAGGGGTGTTTAGAGAGTCAGAAGAGGCTTTGTTGGGGAAAATCTGGACACTCTTTGCGTGACATTTGCAAGAAATTTTCCCAAGAGAGGGGCGCCACAGACGATTCTCTCCTTTCTGCATATTACACAATTCTCTGACCAGTGGCGTCCACATGTATATTTATCTCTTTCACACTCATGTTCTCCTGAGGGACTGATGTGATCATATGTCTCCGTCACACGTCACTCTCTTTCTCGCGATTTGGGATGGAGAAAACTCGGGTTTTTCCTCCAGACTGAGGATGAAATTGATGTGTTGTGGCAAAAACAACAAATGAATTTTCCCAATCTTCCCTATTTGGTTGTGGAAAATCTTTAAGGGGGAGTCTTTCTCTTTTGTTTATGCCTCCCATCGCCTTGGTTTGATGGCGCGAGTGAGAGGACAAGAGAGAGTCTTGACGTTTGCAATTGTTTTCGCCAGTCTCTGGTGCGGAAGAAAGCCCGGAAGACTGAGGTTAAATCGCAATTTCCGCAGGGAGTCTAATGAATTTCCCTTCTCTCTTGCAGATTGTCTCCCCGGTGATCCCGAAGCGTGGCAGAAGAGCCCCCAAAAAGTGGTGCGGAGAGAAAGTGAGAGAAGTGGCTAGACAGAGACAGCTGGAGCGCCTGCTTCGCGTGCGTGTGAGACTGTGTGTGTTGGTGTGGTGAGAGTGCGGAGAAAAATAAGGGAAAAGAACTAATTAAGAGAGGAAGCAAAGAGGAGGTGGAGAAGTGAGGAGGGCGAAAAGGCGGCGATTCACGGCAGTGCACAAGAGAGTGGAAAAGGGATAGCGAAGAAGGCCAGAGGAAAGAAAGGAAAATCAATAATGGGAGATCAACAGTTCTTTTTAAAATGGAACGACTTCCAAACGAACATGGTGACGTCCTTTCGGCATCTGCGGGATGAGAAGAGCTTCACGGACGTGAGTCACATTTATTCTTTATATCGGCACAGACACACTTATTTCCTCCCCCTGAACAACGGTTGTTCGTCTGAAGGCGGTTGGGATGTTGGAGTGTCAACGCGAGTGGGTTGAGTCAGTTTCGGGGCTGCTTTTTTTTGTCTCAACTCATTATGAATCAAAAGCAAATAAGAGACTCGTTTCCCAGGAGATTTCGGCGGGTGTTCTTCAAGCGTGGATTACGTTCTTGTGCGGATTCGGCGACAATACGGGATTTAATCCGCATAAACCCTTTTTTTCTCGTTGAATTTTTTTTTGACAATATCTGCAAAAGAATAATTCATTCTAGGGCAATTTTATTAAAATAACTTCCTATTTTTGTGAGTCTTTTCTTGGCTAATGGTGTTAAAAATCAAGGAAGAAAATATTGCAATATTTTGTCAAAAAAAATTTCCTTAGATAAGATAAGAATGTGAGATTTGAAATTCTGAGAAAGGTAATATTAATTGCATATTCATTATCTGGTCGATGTCCTTATCAAATGGTATAAAAGTAAGAGAATGTATGGCAAATTGTCAGTTATTTCTTGAGTGTGATCTTGGACAAAAATCGCAAGAATGCTTCGTTGTGGCTTTCTTTCTGTTATTTTCCTCCTGAATTCATTACTGATTGGATGTCACTCCGAGTCAGTTGTTTTCGCTGATGACCACTTTCCCTTCCTGGTGGACATCAGAACGGATCAGAACGATCATCTGTGCACAGGTTTCATCGTGAATTGGGACTGGGCAGTTACAGTGGCGCACACACTTGTGGGCAGAACTCCAGCCAACACTTGGCTCTTCGTGGGACGACACAAATCGAGCAGGAACCACTTCAGTGTCCTCTTGGCTCCTCATCCACGTTTCCGTGTTATTCCTGACACTTTTCAGTATGAGAACGATGTTGCGCTTATTCGACCAAGACAAGCGATGTTGTACAATGAGAATGTGCAACCAATTGGTGTGGGATTTCAAGATATCCGCGAATCGACTAGAGTCACGACAGTGGGATGGAGATCATCTGGAGTCCAGGAAGTGATCTCTTCCCATAAGAGTTCGAATTTCTATTGCATGTCCACGTTGCCGATTGATGTGCCTTTAACAGGATCAACAATGTGCACAAGACCATCATCCAATGTCACTCACACTGGAATTCAGCCTGGAGATGTGATGATATTTGGAAATCGTGCTTATGGTCTTGGCAGTTGGAGAGTAGTTCGAGATGCCATCGTTCAAGACTCTCCTTTTGTCTACACCGATCTTACTATGTTCTGGCCTTGGATTATGCATATAGTTCAGTAGATTAAGTCTTTTTTCTGATCATTTTAAAAATCCCTGATTGATGCAATAAAACTCTTCTTTCTTCCCGCAATATTGAGGTAATTATTATGGTTATCTGATAGTAATTTGGTGTGAATTGATTGTTGGGAAAACCCTGATAAGATATGGTCACATTTGGGAAGGTTTGAATCACGACAATATTTCACTTTGGGCAATTAAGCAATGTTTATGGATCTCTTCTTCCTCAAGAGCATTTTTTAATGGTCAAAATTTGATCTAAAATGCCCTTAATTGCAAGGAAATAGGAGAATTATAGTATAAAATGTTATTGCTACACTTCTTAGGCATACTTGTTGGCGGAATATTGAGTGATAAACAGACTTTTGTTGTTTTTCCGAACACTTTGATCTAATGGGTTAATTACTCATGCAGAGAGTCTCATCTCGTTGGTGGGAGGTGAACTCCATGGCATGGCTTGAGTGGGTGGAGAAAGAGGCGCACAAGAGAGCGGAGGAAAATTAAGAAGCGCGCCTCGTCGTTTGAGGGATGAGCAGCGAGGGGCATAAATAAATTTCACCGCTGAGTTCGCTGGCATTGTAACCCGTTCGGCTCGGCGTTGATTATTAATCAGCGGACGGGAAAATGCGTCTGGCTGAGGAGGGAGGGAGGGATGCTTTCTCCAAGCGAGAAGGGTGAATTAATTCCACTCTCTTCACAGGTGACACTGGCTTGCGAAGGGCAGACGTGCAAAGCTCACAAGATGGTTCTCTCCGCCTGCAGTCCGTACTTCAAGTCACTGCTGGAGGTAAGATGAGCTGAATGAGACGACATTCTCTTGTTCTCTTGCCCCTCTTGAAATGGGTTAGAGAAAAATGAGGAAAATGGAAAGCAATAAACTTTGATAACTATTCAATAATTTGCCACAAAAAGGAAAATCACAAGCCGTTTTTTGAGCAATCTCGATGTTTCAATCAAATAAAAGGAAAATAATTCAATCAAAGGAAAATAATTTGCCTTCATGAAATACATTTGGAACTTCTACATAACTTTAAAGTTTAAACTGCTGCCCTCTGGCGGTAATATGTGGAGAAAATTTGAGAAATAATCCAAGAATTCATACAGTAATCAAATATGAAAGTATTTTTAATTGAAAAGATAAAAATGATTGAATCATTACGAAGTTAATGGTCTGTAGTCGCGAGTGACTTTCCTCTTGTTTGCCACACTTTTCAAATGACGGGGATTGAGAGAATTGCGTTGGGGTCGCTTCTGGGGCTGATGTCTGTGTGTGTGTGTTTGCAGGAAAACCCATCGAAACACCCGATAATCATCCTGAAGGATGTTTCCTACAGTCACCTGCAGGCCATTCTGGAGTTCATGTATGCTGGCGAGGTGAATGTGTCGCAGGAGCAGCTTCCCGCCTTTCTCAAGACCGCCGATCGGCTCAAAGTCAAGGGCCTGGCCGAGACTCCGGCCACGATTAAGCGGGAAGGTTGATGCTGGGCAGGACGCGACAGAATCGGTTTAATATACATTTCTTTTCGGAAACCTAACAGTAGAAGAAGCACGTAAAAAATATTGACAAAAAGAGAGAGAGTGAGAGAGAGAGAATATTGGTTTTTTCTATCAGTGAAAAAGATTTTTTTTCTTGTAATAGAATAAATAATGTAATGCATTTTTATTTTACGCGATTTAGTAATGGAAGAAGTGTAGGCAAAAATTTATCATTTCTCTTTAGTGGATTTTTCTCATGGGCACGAAAATGTTTTTTTTTCTAAAAAAATATATCACAATTGCAAGCATTTTTGGTGGTTGAAAAAAAAAAAACACAGATAAAAAGATAACAGAGACTCTTGCTTTTTTGCACAATCCAATGAAAATGACACTATGTTACCACAATAAACCTTAGCATGTTTTTTTATTATTGATTTTTATTTTATGAATCATTTTTTTTAATTATTTTATAGACAAGAAAAGCGAAATGATAAACACTTTTGTTTCTCATAGTGTAAAACTGAGGAGAAATCTTTTTAAGAGTGACGATAGAGTTTAAAAAAAAGAAAGGAAGATGAAAAAAAAGAGAAAAGAACCCATTTTTAAGTGATTCTGTTAGTTGTTTAAGTTTCTACTGAAAACAAAAAAAAATATAGCGAGAGTGGAAATTTTGAGAAAATAAGTGAGAAATTAAGGTGTAAGCTATAATAGAGTAAATTTATGGGCAATTTGTAGTTAATTTAGAAATCCCACTGGCATATTTTTTCTCAATAAATAAAAAAAAACAACAATAAATTAAGAAAACTATCGAAATTGTCATTTAAGTTAATTGTATTTTTGGGTAAAATTGTGCGAAATTCATGAAACTGATTTAGAGCAATTTCCTTTTATTCATTCGTATAACAAGTTTAAGCAGAAGAAGATGAAGACGGAAGAAGAAGAAGATGTACAAACCAAACGGAAGATCGTTTCTTTTTTAGGGTGGATTTTGGAGATTGAGCGCGCGAAGTTGGGAAATAAAAGCTCCAAAGGAGACAAAATAACCGGACACACTGTAGAAGAGGAACAAAGTTATATTTTATTAAGGACAATATAGTAATTAAACGTATAATTGTTTCTTTTCTCACTCAAACTTCTTTCCAACACGTCCATTTTTTCTTTGTATTGTAATGTGTTTCGTTTTCTTTTTAAGGGCAAAAATGTGAGGCGAAGAAGAGAAGGTGAAAAAAAACATGAGCTAGGCGAGTAATTTTTGCAAAGGAGAGAATAAATAAATAATTGTAAAGATGATAATGATGTGAGAAATCCCAAGAGTATAATTTCCAAAAAAAAAAGAAAAGAAGAGATACATTTCAGAATGGAAAATGTTTTTTTACACCATACTTTACTGTCACACATGATATTTTAAAAAGAATGATGAAAAAACACACACTAAATGAAGGAAATACAGTAAATATTTAATTGAAATAGGCATGAGAAGTGTATTTTACCTAATATAATTAATTATTCTTGATAAAAGCGATTTATATACATTATATAAAATGATTAATTTAGAAAGAAATTGTCTTTTTTTCCTCTTGTGGACGGCATTCATTTTCACAGGTGGAAAAGTTCCCTGAATCGATTGGTTGGTTTCCAAAGACGGATGAAGTCAAGTTCTCAAGCTGAAAAGTGCGACAACATTTAATAATAATACAAGGTAATTTACAATTTTCAAAAATTTATTTTCCACATGATTTCTTTTTTTAATGAATGAAACACAAAATTGGCAATAAATCGATTAACAACTTCCAATAAACCATCTCATGATCTCTCAAATTCAAGATGAAACAATTCGAAATTAAGAACAAATATTGATTTAACATCATGTCAAAGACTAGATACATTTTTTTCGGCATCGGTGCAAAACATTAGGCAGAGAGTTGCAAAAAAACAGTAACAGAAAACAAGATCATAAAAAAATATTATATTAAATATAAATGCCTGAATAAAGTATCATCATTTCCGGAATGTGTTATTATTGAACCCGTTTAAATCTCGGCTTAACCTGTATAAAAATGTCACAAAATTCTCGTTGAGGGAAGATATGGGGTGTTTTTTTTCTTTCTTTGAAACCATTTTAACACGTGCTGCTGTATAAATATTCCTTCCTCCAGAGTTATTAACATTTTTCATTCATTTTCACAACGGATTTCCTGACGGCAGAAACAAGAAATGGGAAAATTAGCGCTCATAGCGAAGAATGAAACGAGAGTTTGGCAATAGAAGAGCGAATAAATAAACGGAGAAACAAAGTGCGCATGAATTTGGAGAAATTAAGCACAGCGCTGAGCTAAGAAGATGCGTCACTACTTCCAGAACTTGTTGAAGAGCTCCATGAAGGAGTCGTAGATCATGAAGGTGATGGCGACGTCCAGGCACACGCGGCTGAGGCGCGGCACGGTGCCCTTGTAGAAGGCCATCGGGCCCTCGTTGCGCCAGATCTTCATGAAGCAGTCCGCCGTGCTCTTGTACTTGGCCGCCTCGAGGCCCTGCATGCGCGTCTTCACTACGTCGATTGGCGTGTTGCCAAACACCGACGCCGCACCGGCAATGGCACCGAAGCCACCCACGACCAGCTTCGGCACGGGCTTCTGTGGATCGCCGTCCTTGTACCAATCCTTAAGCGATTCCATGACGAAGAAGCGGATCGCCTGGTTGGAGCCCTGCTTCATGATGGTGGCCGTGAGGCCCTTGTACACACCAGAGAGGCCCTCCTGGCGCACGATGGCGCCCACGCCGTGGAAGAAGCCCTTGAACTTGGGATTGGCGCTGCGCTGGTCATTGATGAACTTCACCTTGATCGTCTCCATCGGCGTCACGGCGAAGATCGCCTCGGCCACACCGGCGCCCAGGCCGGCCGACAGCTTGCCAGCGGTGGACAATTGACCCTTCTCGTCCACCATCTGACTCTTGAACTTCTCGAAGGCGCCGAAGCGCACCGCCGACTTGGGGATGGAGCCGTACAGCAGCACGCTGAGGCCGCGATACAGGCCGAAGAAGCCATTGGTTCGCACGGTCTTCTGCACGCAATCCCAGATTCCATTGTATTTCTTCACGGCTCCTGCAAAGAAGCACCGTTTAATTGTGGCTTAAGTGAGTCAAGGAGAGTATCTGATCAACACTAGAACCTATTTAGCTTCGCGCATTAATGTGAAACATGTGAATGAGCATTAAGAAAAATCTCAGTATGTCCAGTGTTAACAGTGCGCACATGTTAGAAAATGAAAGTTTTAATTATATATCTAGCCTATCTAGCAAAGCTCATTTTTCTCATCCATACTTTTCTCCCAAAATAAATTCAACATTTCCAACCAAGAACGCAGATCTCGAGATCTGCAACAAGAAAGTCTCTACAAACATCATGAAGCTGATGTCGCGATAGCGTAAGTAAATATAAATAAAAAAAAACCAAATGTACATAAGAAGTTCGAAATGTTAGTCGTTTGCAGATTTTGTAAAAATGATTGACATGAAATTATCACATTTAATAGGCCACAACTCTGAAAATAACCGCTTTTGACAACTTCATCGCCTATTTTGCCAATACCAAAACCTCGTTACACAATTTTTCCTTGAAAATACATGGGAAAAATCAGTGTTGCATAATCACGAGTCGCGCGATAAGCGCGCGTTTGCCGGGCGGTGAAGATCTCGCGATCTTACATAAAGATCTGTACGTGAGCCTCAACTCACCCTTTTCGTCCAGTTGCAGCTGTGTCTTCACGTATTCGGTGGGGAATGTGATGCAAATCTCGATGCCACCCGTGATGCCGCCGGCTACGATGCCCTTAACACTTGTGCCAGCGCCACCGCCGGCCGCCGCCGCGGCGCCGTGATTGTCCAGCCATGGGCGGAAGAAGGGATTTCCTGAGTGTTTTCTTGTGGCAAAGTTGTACATTTTTCAACTGTAATGATAAAAAACAACGGATTATTGTGATAACCTCTGTGCTAGAACTATTTGTTCAGGTGTTTTTTTCTTCATCATTTGTTGGGAAAAGTGGTGATAAATTAATAAAGAAACTTTATCAGAATTTCCTATGAAAGTCATGAGACTAAGCACAGACAGTCTTGTGTTTTTTCCTGTGATAAAATGTACGAATGTGTCTCAAGTCAAATCAACGAACCTTTGCCTTTACCTTTACTTTTCTTTCTGCATAAAACAGTTAGCAGAACACACCACTGAAAGGTTAATTGATCTTTAATGTAATTTTGATTTCGTCTTGTACTGCAAACCGATGGAAATGTAAAAATCGGAGATTATTTATTGAAGAGATTTTCAAGAGCGCAAATGCTGAAGTACAACTTTCAACAATCGCACATGGCAACTAACTTGATTTCCCCCGTGGTTTCCCTGTGAATCACAGTAACTGTGAACTCTTGTAATCTCACGCGGAGAGCAAAGTGTGTTTTCGGCGGGCATGCGCAAAGGTCAAAAATACCCCAATTGCGACAGCACGACATGATATTCCCATAGAAATCTCACGTTTTCACACTTTCGTCCTTTCCAAATTCCACCGCAAAATCACTGTCCAGTCGCACAAGTGCCCAACAGAAGGCCATAAAGTGTGATTTACAATTTACATCACACTTGAGGAATACCACTTTGGGCGCGATTAGATAATCACTAGCGCGAGTCAATTACTTACATGCTGGATAGAAATCTCTCGTGATATGAACTGTACGGCAATTTATCACTCGATGTGTGGACTAAAACATCACTTTATACTGGGATCTCGGGCGAAATAAAGCGTATTTTGGTAAAAAATGCAAAAATGCAGCACCAACTTAGGAGAAATGTGGGGTGGGGAAAGAGTGAGCTCGGCTGTCAGCGGCCGGAAGAGGTCGGCCAGTGATCGGACTGGAAGTGTCGGTGGATTTGTCCGCCAACCGGCAGGAAAAGTGATTACTCATACAGCATATGCTGCATGGCAGCCATTCTAGGGCGCTTTCTTTGTTCTACTCCAACATTTGCGTGATTCCCTAATTTGTGGAGGTGAGCTTCGCGAGTGGCTGAGTGAAAAAGTGCGAAGGGAGGAATTTCGTGGAAATTTACAGTGTGAGAAGCCATCAATATTGCACCGCTGTGTGTCCAATATTGACCTGATCCCCTCTGAGTGACTCGCAGTGTGGTAATTCCTATGTAATCGACGCCTGGACAACAGAGACGAGAGAGACAAAAAAGAGCAACGCGTGGATTTGGCTCGACTGCGAACCGTCACACGCGTCTAAGGAACATCATTGGCTCCATTCGGGACTGTGCGTCCGATGTCTAGTGGTTTTGCTGAATACTCCGTTGATCCCCCAGCCGCCAAGAAGCGGAAGCTGCCAACTGCATCGTCGTCGTCAACTTCCTCAGATCAAATGGCGAAGAACAACGGATCGACTTCGCTCGACGCGCCCCAGGCCGGAGATATCGATGAGGGCCTGTACTCGCGCCAGCTGTACGTCCTCGGGCACGACGCCATGCGCCGCATGGCTAAGTCTGACGTCCTGATCTCGGGCCTGGGCGGCCTGGGCGTGGAGATTGCCAAGAACGTAATCCTGGGCGGCGTCAAGTCCGTCACGCTGCACGACGACCAGCCGTGCACGCTGCAGGATCTCAGCTCGCAGTTCTACCTCACGGAGGAGACTGTGGGCCAGAATCGCGCCGAGGCGTGCTGCCAGCAGCTGTCCGAGCTGAACAGCTACGTGCCCACACGCGCGTACACGGGCGCCCTCACGGAGGACTTCCTGGGCCAGTTCCACTGCGTGGTGCTCACCGAGTCCAGCCTGGCGGAGCAGGAGCGCATCTCCCAGATCACCCGCGCCGCCGGCATTGCGCTCATCATCGGCGAGTCGCGTGGCCTGTTCGCCAAGGTCTTCTGTGACTTTGGCGAGGAGTTCGTGGTGTACGACAAGGATGGCGCCAATCCCGTCTCCGCCATGATCGCCAGCATCACGAGCGACAAGGAGGGCATCGTGGCGTGCCTGGACGAGACACGTCACGGCCTCGAGGATGGCGACTACGTGACATTTTCCGAGGTAATTATGACTCCTCAGACAGTGGCGTAGCGCCCCGCACAGGAGGACAAACTCTCCGGCCAAGAGACTTCGCGCATTTGCGCTGAAGAAGCTGATATGGCAAGTCTAATGACTTACAAATGCGATAAATGGATTAGAGATCTTACTCATCACAGGGTGAAAAGAAATTGAAAGTACTCGCAATTGCAATCCAGTCAGAATCTTATAAGACTCGTATCAAACTCTGTCTTCTTACCATGTTATTCAGTCCATTTTCCTCTTGATTTTTTTCCAATATAACTCGCCAGAGAGTGAACTCTACCACAATTTGATCAATGATTCGTTATGTTTGTGATTTATGCATTATTGAGATTAACAGAGGATGGCTTTGCCACTACGCCACTGTCTCCAATCGATTCCCTGCGCACTGATACCAATCGATTTGGCCTCTGGTAATTGCAGGTGAACGGCATGGTGGAGCTGAACAAGTGCGAGCCGCGAAGGATCACCGTTCTGGGTCCGTACACCTTCAGTATTGGCGACACGAGCAACTACTCGCGCTACATTCGCGGCGGCATTGCCACGCAGGTGAAGATGCCGATGACTGTGAAGTTTAAGTCCTTCACGGAGACCCAGAAGGGGCCGCTGCAGGACTTTGTGCCCTTCGACTATGGCAAGTTCGATCATCCGCGCCAGCTTCATGTGGCCTTTAAGGCGCTCCATGCCTTCGTGGAGCAGAATCAGCGTCTGCCGAAGCCGTGGAATGAGCAGGATGCCCAGCAATTTGTGCAGCTGGCCAAGCAGCAGGGCGAAGAGGATCTGGATGAGGCATTGCTCACCACTTTTGCCAAGGTAAGGTGGCGTCTCTGTAATTAAACTTTTATTGCGCAATAATGCTGGAATGTTCTGGCAAAAGTGCGTGTGTGATTCAGAGGAAAGAATGACGTCGATTTAACAAACTGTACTTTCAGGTCTGCTCTGGCGATCTCAGTCCCATCAATGCCTCCATTGGCGGGATAATTGCTCAGGAGGTGATGAAGGCGTGCTCGGGAAAGTTCACGCCAATCATGCAGTATCTCTACTACGATGCCGTGGAGTGCTTGGTGAACTTGAAGCCAACTGAGGAGGATTGCAAGCCACTTGGCACTCGCTATGATCGTCAGATTGCTGTGTTCGGCAAGTCCTTCCAGGACAAGCTGGGCGCGCTGCGCTACTTCATCGTGGGCAGTGGCGCAATTGGGTGTGAGTTGCTGAAGAACTTCGCCATGTGTGGCATCGGTGCGGGCGATGGTGGGCGTGTGTTCCTCACGGACATGGATCTGATTGAGAAGTCCAATCTCAACAGGCAATTCCTCTTCCGGCCGCACGATGTGCAGAAGCCAAAGTCCGTCACGGCCGCGCAGGCGGTGAAGCGCATGAATCCGCTCGTGAATGTCGTGGCGCATGAGAATCGTGTGGGTGTGGAGACGGAGAATACGTACGATGACAAGTTCTTCAATGATCTGGATGGGATTGCCAATGCGCTGGACAATGTGGATGCCAGGAGTTATGTGGATCGTCGCTGTGTGTACTACAGGAAGCCACTGATTGAGTCCGGCACGCTCGGCACGATGGGCAACATTCAGGTGATTGTGCCGTATATGACGGAGTCGTACAACTCCAGTCAGGATCCGCCGGAGAAGAGCATCCCAATTTGCACACTGAAGAACTTCCCCAACGCAATTGAGCACACACTGCAGTGGGCGCGTGACATCTTCGAGGGTGTGTTCAAGCAGGCAGCCGAGAATGCGTCGCAGTACATCTCTGATCCGTCATTCATTGAGCGCGTGATTAAGCTGCCCGGACTGCAGCCGCTGGAGATTCTGGAGTCGGTGAAGGCGGCTCTGGTGGATCACAGGCCGCAATCGTTTGAGGATTGCGTGAAGTGGGCGCGCTTCCACTGGCAAGAGCAGTACTCCAATCAGATACAGCAGCTGCTGTTCAACTTCCCAGCCGATCAGACCACCTCCAGTGGTGATTTGTTCTGGTCTGGACCCAAGCGATGCCCTGCTCCGTTGGAGTTTGATCCCAATGACAGCCTCCACTTGAGCTACATCTATGCGGCGGCTAATCTCAAGGCTGAGGTGTACGGAATCCCACAGCAGCGTGACAAGAGCGTGGTCAAGGAGATCGTCAGCGCAATTGTGGTGAGTGTTTTTTGGTTCATATTCTTGTAAAGATCTGATCAAAACAGTTGATGTATTTGTCCATCTGCAGGTGCCACAATTCAGGCCACGCTCTGGCGTGAAAATCGCCGTCACGGACGCCGCGATGCAACAGGAGCAGAATGGCAGCGACAATATTGATCAGGATCGTGTGAAGGAGATTTTGACTGAGTTGAACAAGATTGGGCAGCCAAACTTCCGCGTGACGCCGCTGGAGTTTGAGAAGGATGACGACACAAATTTGCACATGGACTTCATTGTCGCGGCGTCGAATTTGCGCGCGACCAACTATAAAATTGAGCCAGCCGATCGTCACAAATCCAAACTGATTGCCGGCAAGATTATTCCCGCCATTGCAACGACCACGTCAGTTGTGGCTGGATTTGTGGTGCTGGAACTCTTCAAGTTGGCACAGAAGTATATATTTGTCTCCCTTTTTGTGGTTGAATTGACGGGTGAAGAGATGATTAATGTGTGTTTGCTTTGCAGTTGCAAGGACATGTCGGCGTACAAGAACGCCTTCGCCAATCTGGCGTTGCCGCTGTTCACGCTGTCGGAGCCGATGCCAGTGCCGAAGAGCACGTACTATGACATCGAGTGGACACTGTGGGATCGCTTCGAGGTGACTGGTGAGCTGACGCTGGCGGAGTTCTTGGACTACTTCAAGAAGGAGCACAAGCTGGAGATCACGATGTTGTCGCAGGGCGTGTGCATGCTGTACTCGTTCTTCATGCAGAAGTCGAAGCGCCAAGAGCGGATGGGCCTCGTGATGTCTGAGGTGGTGCAGAAGGTGTCGAAGAAGAAGATTGAGCCGCACGTGACGGCGCTGATCTTTGAGATTTGCTGCAATGATGAGTCAGGCAATGACGTTGAAGTTCCGTATGTGAGATACACTTTGCCGTAAAAGGACACACACACAAAACATGATTTATATACATATATTTCCTTTCTAAACAACACTACAAAATTCATGGCAAATCACGTGAGCAATTGCAAAAGAGTAAGAAGAAATGAATGGAAGAAAAGAGAAGAAAATTGAAATAATTGATGAATTTGCACTCATATAAATAGATGAGAAGAATAAGAAAGGAAAAATCATCTCTGCGGTAAATAATATATATATATTTTAAAGATAATTTATGAACGTAACATTGGCTATTCCACAGAAGCACTCTGATGATGTCTTTAGTTTTTGTGTCCCTGCCATTCGACATTTGTGAATGGTTCAGGAGAGAAGTTTAGAAGAGTGGAAGAGGCGCGTTTCTGATGGAGTTTTTAGCTTAGCCACCTTAACACTTAAAGAAAATATTTAGGTTTTTCTCCTTTGATTCTTTCGAGAATTTGTGTCTTTTCTAATGATTTTTTTCAAATATAATATAAATTTCACGAAAATGCTATTATTAATGAAGAGCAAGAGGAAGAGAGAGAGAGAGAGAAAAGAGTTTTCAATAAATTTCTGGTGAATTGATAACACATCTTTTGAGGTAAGAAGAATCCTTTTAGTCTTTGCTTTGGTTTTTACTGTACAAATCCACAATCTTCCTTGCTTGCTCCACTCCAGACGCAAAGGCACCGTGTGCGGTGGAGAAGTACTTCGTGTGGCATGCTTCGCCGGCGAGGAAGACAGCAGGATGGCTGGGCATGTTGAGGAAGGGAAGAGGATCTGTGAGGCAGCACTCATCTCTGAGGAGGCACTTGGAGACACTGGTGAAGCTGTAGGCGCCACGGATGAAGGGATCGTGGCTCCAGCGCGTGATGAAGAAGCTGCTAGGCGATGGCACGTTCTTGCCGGTGAATTTCCTCAGCAGATCCGAACACGCGTGGAGGACAGTGTCTTCGGGAAAAGTCTCCATTTGCACAGCTCCTGCGCCACCAATCCAGCCCACAAGGGTGTTCGGACAGCCCGGCTTCAGGAGATCAAAGCCAGTGAAGTGCCTCGTCCAGGAGTCAGTCTGCTGTGGCTGGAAGATGAACTGAACACCCTCCCAGTCGTCATCCCACCAGGGAGTGTCGTATTTCAGGTAAATTTTGTTGATTGTGCCAAAACCGAAGGCATTTATCAGGCGTTGCAGCGAGAGTGGCAACTGAGGGTGAAAGAGTGTGTCCATTGAGGCCTTCAGGACGCCCAGGGAGAATGTCACGATGCAGTGTCTCGCCCTGAACATCCTGCCGTCGAGGGTCTCCACGCAAACCTTATATCTTCCATCCTCCAGATTCTCGCCGTAATTGATCTTCACGACTTCGCAGTTCAACTCCAACTGTTGCGATGGCACTCGTGACACCAGGGCCGAGATGAGCTTCCCAAAACCATTCCGGAAGTTTATGTGGGTCTGGCAGGATTCACCGTTGAAAGAATACTGTCCCCAATCGCGCGCAGAGACTTCGCTCAACGCCAGACACGCATTGTCAATGACCTGGAAGCGAATGTGCCACTCCAGCAACAATCTCGCATCATCTCTGCGCTCAGGCGCAATCGTTGGCATCACGCGCTCCTCAAAATTCACCCTCAAGTATTCCTCAACGGACAATCCTCGGGCATCCTCCGGATTCTGTGCGTGGAACAAACGCTCGCACTCCTCCAGAATCGCCCCAATCTTGAAGTCAATCATCTGCACGAAGAAATCCTCCAACACACTTCCATCCTCCTTCGCATAGACTCCCAATCCCTCATCGCTGAGCTCTTGCGACAGACAATCGATCGCCTCAGCCTCGGAATACAGTTGATTCTGCTTGCCGTGCAGCCACTGAGCGCCAGCCTCAACCGCCACCTTGTCACACTTGGCGCGATTATCGAGTGCCAGAGATTCCATCGGCACAGTCCGGATGCGACCGCCAGGCTGACTCTTGCCCTCGATCAGTCGGGTCCGGAATCCCGCCTTCTGCAGCGCCAGAGTCGCCCCAATCCCGGCCAATCCCGCCCCCAACACTATTACATCATCCTCGATGTGGCACTCTTCCGCAGGCCTACAAAGAAGACAATGCATTACAACGCGTCCTGGCTGACAACATTTGTTGCAAAAGGTGATCAAATGGACTTTCTAAGCCTTCCCAATTGGATTTCAATCTTCCAACAGCGCAATTGCGCTGTGGAATATTTACGTCAATTATTAAGTATAATATCAAATAAAAACTTATGAGAAACAACTGATTGTACTGAAAAAGTCTGCAAGGTTAACGATAAAAGACTTTTATTAGAGACATCAACTCTCACACAACAAAGCGATAATTTTCGCATAATTAAAAAAAAATCCAGAATAACGATCATCTCCGGTTAATTTAAATGCGAACCAAGGGAAGAACCACTGTTTTTTGGGGGAGGAGAATTAATTAAATTCTAAAGGTGAGCAGTTGGCCTATAAGAGAAATTTAGAGAAACATTTTCAACAAAAAAGAAAACCCATGCAAAAATTGTGACAAAAAAAGTCAAAACTCACTTTCTGTACAAACTCGTGAGCCTCTCGGCTTCTCGCCACCCAGACTCGATGGCTCCGTGCACGGTGGAGTAATAGTGAGGATGCGTAGCTTCGCCGGCAAAGCAAACCACAGGTTTTCCCACAGAGTTCGTCAGAGGCTTGGCCAAATCATCCGGACAGGTGTTGAGCAAGTCTGTGGTGATTGAGCGGAACGTGTAGGAGCCCCTGAAGTTGGGATTGCTGAACCATTGAGATCTAAAGAAGGGGAAGGAAAATTGAATAAAATCCGGGAACCGTTGTGGCAGAGATTTTTCCACAAATACCTTCGAATCGCCTTCGGTTCTGGAATGTTTCTTTTCAGGAACTTCTTCAGGAGAAACATCACGCCACGCTTCACATTCTCATCAGTGTCCCTCTCCATTTTCCTGGCTTTCACGCCAGATATCCAGCCACAGAGGACATTCGGCTGATAGTCCACGACGTAGAATCCGAACACGTCCTCAAGCCAGTCCATCATTTCGGACTTGCGCAACTCCTCGAGATCCGCCTTGTGCCAGAGCAGTGCGAATCCCAGCCATTTTCGCGCCCAGAAAGGCTCCTCGAACTCCACGAATATCTTGTCCACCGATCCAATGCTCAGTCCCTCGATGGCGTTCCGCTTCACGGGCGGCAGCGGTGGCGTGAACATGGTATGGTAGTTCTCCTTGAGGACGCCCAAGGATGCGGTCAGGATCACGTGGTCTGCGGTGTAGGAAGTGCCGTCCTGACACTTGATCACCACACACGGATCGATCTGCTCGTTGCTCCAAGAGATATTGGTCACCGTCTTGCGCAACTGCACGTGGGATTCAATGGGAATGCCATCGGTGATGAGATCCAGCACTGTCCGGTAGCCCTTGTCGCGCCAATTCAGCAGACGCTCACCTTCGCAGTCCCAGTACTCCAAGTAGCCTCTGGCTGACGTGTCGAACCACGTGTCAGAGGCTTCAATAGAGTTCTCGTACTTGTGGAAGAAGTCCAGAAATTGCTCAGCCACCACCGGATCCACATTCTCGTAGGCATCATCCTTCAGGCACTCCTTATATCTGCAAAAAAGCACCCAGGGTTTAGAGTGCGCTACTCTTTGCGGAAGCTCCGAAGCAATTTATCTCACTTATTGACAATGAAGGATCCCAGCGAACCGTCATGCTTGGCAATCTCCTCCTTGTACAGCTCCACAGTGGACACCGCCAAGGCCATCAGCAGATCTGCCGTGTCGTCATCGATTTTCCTGCCATTGGACTGGATCAGGTGTGTCCTGTCGTACTGATATTCTGCCACTTCCAGCAAATTCTTCCGCGATGCCATCTCGAAGACCACATTGTTCTTCTCGCCATGACACCACTGCGCTCCCAGATCCACCACATTGTTCCCGAACGGCTCAGTGCAGATCCTGCCGCCGATGCGACTCTCCGCTTCCAGGATCAGCACATTCGTGAATTTGTCCTTCAACAGGCGACTGGCGGCCGAGATGCCGGACGCTCCGGCGCCAATGATCACAATTCTCGAGTTCATCTTCTTCTGCTGAATTTCACCACCTTGCCCGGGCACTTATATAACACCACTAAGACTAGATTAGCAGATAACAACACTGATAAGAAGACAAGGCGCGGATATATGCAAAATAAAGCTCCGTCGCTACGCACAATCGCCCTTGATAATGAGGTAGGAAAATTACATTATATTTTGACAAGCACATTGACCGGCCGGCAGTGACGGCGTAGACAAAGATAGCAGTGTCTGAAATTATTTCCCTTCTGTCGATTCAATCGAGGGCAATTTTCTGAAAAAAAAAACCAATTACCATTGTCATTTGTGATTGTTAAAATTCACGATGATTATTTCATTTTCACTGCATTGCAGTTTTATCGCGATATTTCCACGCCACTGCTTTTTCCTTTAAACACGATCACTGCGCTCTCTGTGAGATTTCTGTGCATTTGCTTTGACACTTTGAGCGAAAACAAAAACATTGTGGGTGGAAAACACAAAATGAGAAATAATCTCGATTTTTACACGGTGAAGGAGAGGATTTTCCTCGTGAAGACATTCTACAAGAATGACAGTGATGCAAAGTGCGTGAAGAGTAAGTATTTACTGGAATACGGAGCCACAATCGATGGGCCGACGGAGGAACTTATTTTTGAAGTCATTAATCTGTTTGAGGAAACTGGCAGCGTCCGGGAGATTCCAGAGCAGAAGGTAAGACTGCGGTGGCTTTCATATATCTGCGTTGGGTGCTAATGATGAGTGTCTTTCAGGTGTCACTCGACGATCCGTTCGGTGACAGCGGACTTTTGTGTGAAATCAAGGTTGAAGCACCGGAAATCAAGACTGAGGATGTAGATTACACTCAGGATTCTCATGGTGTGGATGACAATGTGTTCCACACGGAAGACAGTGAACATAAGCGGGTGCAAAAGGAAAAAACATCCACCATGCGAAGAAATAGGGTAAGGATAAAAGGCGGCGGGGGAGAATTTGCCTGTGACATTTGCAAGCAGACCAGCAAGACGATTCGTGGCATCAGAATCCACATGGCTCGTCATGCCACCGAGAGGCTGTCCTGCAAGTATTGCCAGGAGACTTTCCCGTCCAAGTTCCAGCTGAAGCGGCACAGAGCGGAGATGCACAAGAAGGCGCCGAAAGTCAAGGCGCCAGTCCAGTGTCCGCTGTGCCCCAAGACATTCCGAGAGGCGAACAACATGCGCAAGCACCTGCCAGTGCACTCGGACAAGAAGGATGCGGTGTGTGAGGTGTGTGGCAATGCCTACAAGAGCAAGCACACGCTGCGCATCCACATGAGACTGCACACTGGAGAGGAGCCCTTCAAGTGTGACTACCAAGGCTGCGGCCGCACGTTCAGGAGCCAGGGCTCCTTCATTATCCACAAGCGGAGCCACACGGACGAGAGACCCTATCCGTGTCCGCACTGCGGCAAGGGATTCAAGGACCGCGGCAACCTGAGGGCACACATCCGAGTGCACACGGGCGAGAATCCCTACAAATGCGAATTGTGCGGCAAGGAAACGAAACAGAAGCAAAATCTGCAGAGCCACATGATCCATTACCACAAAATATACGGCAGTAAATAAAGTCGTGACGGCACGGGTCTGATCACTGATCTTCTTTTTCATTTTGCACCCATCTTCTAATAAAAATCTTCCTGAAAGTGTTGGTAAAAACAGTAAACAAATACGCATTTTTTCAAATGGTTCTTGTGGTGAACTGCAAAAGTCACGCACAAATGGTGAATTGTATTCAAGTGGTGAGTATTTCCTTCGTTCAGTTGCTGTGTTTTGTTTGGGATCGCATGCCTTTGGGGTAAATCTTGATTTTCCTTCGAATAACAGCGCAAAATATATAAATTCGCAAGTAAGAAGACTCTTTATTTGTAATTCAATGCAATTGCTATGTAACTTTCATGTTATATTGCAGATTAAGGGAGAAATTGAGGAAAAATAAGAATCTAACCTCAATTGGCAGCGCGATGAAGATGAAAAAAGAGGAGACAGTCGATGAGGATGCTCTGGAGAGCTTCAGAAGTCTCCTGACGGCTGAGAAAAGGACGGCCGACGCTGACCAGTCAGACGATGAAATCAATCCACGAGCTCACCGACAGCTCTTGTCGGCTATTGAGAGAATTGATCGGACGCAACATATTAAAGCTCCCACGAGGACAGAAGTGTCTGGGAAGGAGTCAGAGTTTCATGTGGTCAAGTCGAAGGGTGTCGTGGATCGTAATGAGAAATTGACATTCCACCAATTGAAGAATGTGCCTAGGAAAACGAGTGAGAACGTGGCGAGGGACTTGAAAAAGCTCAGTCGATCGAAGAAGCGATTGGCCAAGCCTCTGGAGAAGCCTGTGGCGGAGCGGATTGCTCGAGGGATTGCTTATGAGAAGGCACGCGTTCAGTTGGATCGCTGGGAAGCGGTGGTGCAGAAGAATCGCTTCGACGATTGCCTGGTTTTCCCTCAAAAGAGCGCCGATGAGGTTACAATTCACGATGCTTCCCAGGAGAAGACGTCCTCATATCGAATCAAGTCTGATCTGATGCTAGAGCTGGAGGCCTTGGAGGCCAGAAGACCAGGAAAGGTGGCTGAAGTGGTGAAACTAGTTGAAGAACAGAATCTGTCGAAGAAAGAACTCGTGGCGCAGCAGAAGGAAATGGCCAGATTGCGTCGGAAGGAGTCTTATGAGATTGAGAAGGCACGCAGGCAGAATAAGATCAAGAGCAAGAAGTATCACAAGGTTCTGAAGAAGGACAGAATCAAGAAGCAGTTGGCGGAGTTCGAAAAGCTGCAGAAAAGTGATCCTGAAGAGGCGCTGAGACGCTTAGAATTGATTGAGAGGAATCGCGTGGCTGAGAGATCTCATCTCAGGCACAGGAACACGGGAGCCTGGGCGAAGAGTCTCCAGGTTCGTGCGAAATACGACAAGGATGCGAGGAAGGATTTGTCAGAACAGCTGGCAATTGGGCGCGAGTTAAAGCAACAGAAGCAATTTGAGGAGTCCGAGGACACTGACCAGGAGACTTCGGAGAAGGAGGTGGAGAAAGATGAGGATTACGATCCATTCGATCCATGGAAGGCCAAGAAGGAGACTTCTGAGGAGGATTCTGTGAATTACAGAAAATACTGGACAGTGAGGAATGATAATGAGCAGAAGAGGAAGGAATTTGAAGCTATGGAAGTGACTGACAAAGGACTCTCGTGGACTGTGGAGGATATACAGGAAGGTGAAGTACAGCTGAGTACAGTATGTCTTCCTCCGGAGAGGAAGAAGTCCGGCCGGAAGCTTGCAAAGTTCAAGAAGAGGTCCATTGATGAGATGTTTGATTCTGCTGAGCAGAAAATGACACAGAAAGTGGCGAAGAAACTGAAGAATCTTCAGAAGAAAACCGTGAAATCCAATCGAACGGTGAAGAAGAGTGCCAAGAATAGAGATCATTTGAATTTGGGGCTCAAGAAAACAGCTCAGCGTCCGGAAATTGATGAGGCTCTCAGTGAATCAACGAGAAAAGAAACTGAAGACACTGAAATTTTTGCGAATCTTAGCAAGATCATCTCTTCGAGTGCTGAAAAGGACAAGGAAATCGAACCTGACAACTTCGCAACGGTGAAGCCTAAGATTCTGCGAACTGCCCTGCCGGATGGTGTTTTTCATGGGGAGGAGGAAGATGAGATTGGCAATGGGAAGCTTTCTCTTATGGAAGCAATTGAAGATGAAGACATTTTCACGGATTTCTCACGTGAGAAAAGCGACCAGATTGCCACTGATCAGCCACAGGATATCGACATGACGCTGCCGGGTTGGGGCTCATGGACTGGTCAGGGTGTGAAGAAGCCGCAGAAGCGGATGATGCTGAAATTCCCGAAGAATCTTCCCAGGAAGGATTCAAAGAAGGATTCCGTGATCATCAATGAGATTGTGAGCGACAGGACGAAGCAGCATCTGGTCAGGGACTTGCCGTTCCCCTTCACCAGTGTCAAGGACTTCGAGGCGTCCATCCGGGCGCCGGTGGGTAGGACTTTTGTGCCGGAAACTGCTCATCGTGTGCTGACGAAGCCGAGCGTTGTGACGAAGATGGGCACAATAATTGAGCCAATGGACGAGAAATTCCTCATGGAGGGTCAGAAGCCGCAGAGGGTGAAGAGCAAGACGGACAGGAGGATTGAGAAGATTCCAGAAATGCCGAAGATTGAGTAAAGTAAAATTTTATTGTTGCAATAAAAGGACCGTTGAATTCAAATGTGTTAGTATCCCTTGGCGATGGAAGCGCTCCGTGGCGGTGACATTTGTAGACAGAGAATGTCAGTGAGTGGTGGAATTTCCATGGTGCGTATTTTCCTGGAAAATCAGTAGGAAAAATAGTAGAATTTGGGAATAAAAAGTGTCTGCGGCGTGTTGCGATGGTGATGGACATGTGAGGGAAGCCACATGCCGTCAGAGTGGAGTATGGGGCGCAACTATGGATGACCAATCACACGGTGGTCAGCTTCCTCCTCCCAGCGTCCGCGTGAAGAGGAAGTGCATGCGAAACTTGGAGAATCATCTCGAGAAGATCGTTGTCTTCTACGGCGTGAAGCTCCTCGAGGCGCCCGCCGAGGATGGCGAGGCCCCGTGGGTGACACTGCAAGTCGTGCCAGCCGACGCGGGAAGTGGCATTGACATTCCCGAAGTCACGAAGCGCGTCCAGGTGAGCCATTCCCTCTCTATTTTCCCCCAATTGTGGTGAGGAATTGCGCCTCCCAAAAGTCTGAACAGATTTCCAGAGCGAGAGACGTGATTCCGTGAGTCAGAGCGCGGAAATGTTGATAGAATCTCATAATGTTGCTGACCCGGATGTTGAGATTCTGATGGCGCTAGAAATGTTCGGCTTGTCTTCCAACTGGCCAAAGATTAGATTCGTGTTGTCTCGAGGGCATGAAAAATAATGTGATTCCAAGAATTTCATCTCAACTTCCTCGTGGCGATTCTGAAGAGCGCAGAAAGAAGAGCTTGACTGTGACCGAACACCCAAACACAGTCAAGACAGCAGAGGAGGGTTTTTTAACCCTTTACTGCAACACTGATTTGAGAAGAGTAGGAATAATTTCTTGCTGCTTGATTTTTAAGAAACCACGTCTTTAGGAACTCTCCATAGAGTTGTTCACTGAAGAATTAAAAAACATTTCATTTTTGTCCCATTTTGGGTGCATTTTTCCAATGAAGCGTTAACTGTCCTGTGTTTCGTGGCACTCTGGTGCGCTTGAAGAGTGGGCGGCTTGTGGTATTTATTTCTTTTCTCTCTCTCTCTCTATATATATATATATATAAGAAATTATATTGGTTTTATTGTGATGCTCTCATCATTGATATTTGACACATCTTTTGTTGTTCAGCGTATTCTTTATGGTTCACGTGCACAGGAACAAGTCATGCCGCCGTCGAATGGTGATTGCTGAGGAAAAATATTTAGCATTGAGATAGGAGAGAATGTTGCTCCCTCGCTTTATGGCCTAGACTTGAGGCCGAAAAATGGTTGAGGCTTTTTGGGTTTGGAAAAATATATCGGCGAATAGATCGTCAGCTTCCAGTCAATTTTGTCAGATTATTCTCACATCGAGATGACATCATGTTTTTGTGTCTAAGCAATTTATTCAGCAACTCTGGCTATCTTGTGTTTGTTTCTCCTTTTCTCGCCGTTTATGATATTTCTTCTTTTTGCTGGCTCACATCAGAAGGTGGTTGTATTTTTGTCATGAGATTTGAGGCTGTGTTTCAATCGTGGCGAAATTTGCATAAATTTTGCGCCTCCAAAGTTTGTCGATTTTCAGTTTCTCTCTCTTTCTTTTCTTGGTTGCGCTCTTTGTGCGGATTGCAATTTGAGAAAATGCGATGATGAAGAAGAAACAAAAAGGCGCGCGATGAGTTGCGAGGAGGATTTCTCAATTAATGACCAGACAGAGGTTTAAGTGAAGATGAAAAAGAGCTCAATTTCTTCTACACACTTTGCCATTGATTGAGCCGGACTTTGTGATTCCGGGAGTGGAGAAAGAGAGTTGCTCTCTTTCTCTCATGTTCACGAATAATAATAATAATGGGAAGGCGAAGAAGAAGGGAAAAAATGTTGAACAAGAAGAAGAAGAAGAAAATGTTGAATAATCGTGAAACAATGAAACAAGAGGGACTTTCTAAATATCACCCGAAACGACTCGAAAAGTGATCTTTTTTCACATTAGAAAAGATGCGTCTACAGATATTGTAAGCTGTGCAATAGCAATGAAAACTATGGAGCTTGAGGAGAGACTCGAATCATCGGAGTTTTGTATCGCAATTGCCTTCAATGTTTATTATTTCTATGTTCTCTTCACCGCAAGTTCCGTCATCGTCTTCGATGTGTACAACATCTCTTGGGTAATTTTTAATCTCTCTCACTCTCCCAGAAGGCCAGAGAGACTCCGCGACATACATTTCACTTCACGATCTGTGTGAGTCTTTCCGCCTTGCTCGCACGGTGTGTTGGTGGCCCAAAAGAAGAAACCCGGAAATCCTGAAGTTTTCGTTTCACGTTTTGACCACTTTGCTTGCCTCTGTGTGTCGGTGGTATTTTGATTGGGTATTTCACGAATGATTTTTTTCTTACCTCCTCTTATAGAACAATTCTCGTGCTTGAATATTGCCTCAGCACAAAGTGCTGAGAGATGCCAGGTGATTTTGTACACGCGGAATGTGTGTTTATGTCATTGTTCATATCGCCATCGAAAAAGGTGCTAAAGACTTCTTTTTTCTCCATCTCCTAAATTACTGGATGCACACGTAATTATTATCAGCCATTGAACCGGTTCTTCGTCACAATAATGCCAATGCTAATATGCTCCATTGGAGGGAATAATTATGATTTGATTAATTATAATATTGAGGATGTTGTCATCAAAGGTAAAGTGCTAATTGTGTGCATTTTCTCATCAATTAGTTCAATAACTGGTGTAATAAGACAAATATAAACCACACTTACACAACATACAATTTCTGGGTGATTTGCACAAATGAGAGCATCACTTTAGCCTCATCTGGATTGTCTTAAATTGAATGATGCAATAGTGAACAGGAATAGAATCACTCTTCACGGAGATTTACGGTAACATTTCTTAGAGAAAGAGGGAGAGAGAGAGAGAGATTTAGAATTGATCGCTGCCTTTTGGGGTTGTTTTGTAGTAAAAAAAAAAAAATTTTTCATACAGAAATAAAGTTTGAAGCTAAAGTAACGACAAATGGTTGTTATATTGCTATTATTATTGAATATGTAAATGGAATTATATTGAATATATTGATGAAATATATAGGATAATAGGGGATTAAAATCCATTTTCTCATTCCTATATAATTCCTTTTGCACATAAATTAGCTTCTTGAGTACTCTTTTCCCCACTTGTGATGCTGAAGTGAATTGGGTCACCGGAGTGAATTTCTGTGTTGGCTGCACAATATCGGAGGAATTATATTTCTCTCCTCTTGGCAATTTTGTCAAAGGTTCTGGAATATTTTGATTGCAATCGATTTTTTGTACATGTGATGCAGCTGACAATTTCCATTGCAAATCTCGTTCATCTCTCTTTTATTAAACTCCTTTTTGCATAGGTACTTCTTTTTTCTTTTAAATCCCATTAACACTCAGGGTTATTAGCTTTTATCTTTCATTCTCGATATGATGATTGAGTTGGGTGTGTGTTGTGTGTAATCAGAAAATTTCGCCATGTGTCCAATTAAAGGTGATTTTATGCAGAGTCAGTGAGTGTTTTTCCATTTGCCTCAACGATGGAGGGACGAGTTTGTGGGATGCCATTGAAAATTAGTGACTTTCACAATTGAATGTGCGGTTTGTGATGCTTGGGATTCCTGATTTGTTTGTTACATGCTCTGCTTGTGTGCCTGTATGTGTGTGTTTGCGAATTTTCACATTTCCCCGAAGCTTCCTCCCTTTGGTCAATTAATGGACTTTCAGTTGAATTTATCGGTGACAGGTTTGGAATATTTCCTCGTGTGTGCCACACTATAAATTTTATCGTGAAACATCGCGCACTATCACATCGATTAGCGGCACACAGAGGTGGAATTATAGTGGTTTAGACACCTGGTTCTCTCTACCCGGATCTCTCGGAGCCATTGAAGAATCTCCCATGCCTCTAATACTGCACATATGATGATCAGTATGTACAAGAAAGGTGTGTATATAACGCATGGAACAGAGGCGGAGAGATATACTAATTTACACGCGCTCAAGAGAGAGACTATGAGCACTTCTTCAGAATGTGTATTTATTTATTCTTCCTTCTCGGCTCCGGCATGATCTTTTCTTTCTTTTTTTTCAATAATGGGGTCGTTGAAATGATCGAAATTATGAAAAATATAATAGCACACAATTATCTCCCATGAAACTATAAATGTGGTAAATTGGATGAGTCAATAGAAAAGGAAAATCATAACTTTCTTGCCCTTCTTCCTTGATTGTTGAAATGAAAATATCTCCTTTGATATGCTCTTTGAATTCATGCAATTGCAATTATAATTTATTTAATATCGCACACTCTTATTGGTGGAAATTGCTTGAAAGTTTCACCTTTGACGTCCCTCTGGGTCCATAAATGCTCTCTTTCATATCACCACAGACCATGAGTGTTATCTAAAAATATGTTTCCTTTTAGCCCTGAAATGCTATGCAATATTGAATTGTGGATGTGGAAGCAAAATGCGGAAGGAAATATTAATAAAATGCTGCAACAGAGCTTTTACAGGACAATGTTGTGGAATACTTTGCCTTTAGGTGCTTTGCAGAAGTGTGCGCGGAAAATTGCAATTACCTTAGCCTCATTTGCTGGATGATGTCTTCCTCAACTTCTTATTCCGCCAATGGTTGTGTATGAGAGATGAAAACAGAATGACCATATTGAGACATAGAAAGAACGGAGAAACCGGACTTTCCGGATGTCGAGTGACGTGCGATAACAATTGACCTGTGTTGAGCTTTGTTGTTCCTCATAAATGCATGTAAACATCCACCATATACATATATGGTGCATTCACTCTTCCTCCCGCTTCGCCAGCAGACAGCCAGAGAGGGTGAAAGCCCCCTCGAGATTGAGGTTGATGTATTTTTTGCATTGCAACCTCTTAATTATTCACATCTCTCACCGTCATCTCGCAGAGATGAGAAAATCCTCCCTTTGTCTGGGCTGATATGAGTGAGGCTTTCCCATCTACTGTGCGGTGCATCGTTTAATTGGAGACTCTATAAACTCCATCCATGGAGTTACACTGAAAGTATTGCTCAGCTTGCTGATTTCTGTGCATTTTAGAAATTGAAAGATGGAGTGTGTGAAGCCACGCCTACTCGAGAGCTTCGCCCAGTTTCATTGCAAAAGTTCAAGCACAAGGCGTTGAAGAAATTCTGTAAAATTGTGACCTTTCTTGTGAGACAACCTAATAGTCAACCAGGTGTTTGACTTTGAGTATGAATTTTTGAAAAACCCGACACTGGAACAAGGTGGGTTTTTCGCGAAGAAATTTTTACATAAGTGTGGCAATTAAGTTAATGAGAAGTGCCTTGAGATAATTTGCCACTTTCGTGCGTGTGTGTCACCGCGTGAAAAAGGGGTTCTCATCTTGTCTGGCCAGAAATAGAGGTGGGAGAGGTGACTATTGTCAAAAGATGCTGCC